ATAACCCACAATAACCATTTTTTATCCTTTACTTTGTACGAGAAATAATGGCTTATTTACGAAGCGGTTTTAAGCAATACAGTGTTAATCCTTATCGAATTAAGTATCTTAAATACATTGTGCATTTAATAAAGAAAATATGGCTTTTTACAGCATGTAAATTAAATAATTTCGAAGATATCACAGATTTAAAATGCAGAGTCATAGCAATTTCGGCGATAAATACCGGCAGCGGTGCCAGGCGAACGGGGCGTGGGGGGAGCGGGGTAGGTGCGGTGGGGAAAAAGTGGCTCATCGCTAAGTGCGCGACCCGAACGCGGGCAGACGTCGTTGACGGTTGTGTCTGTTTTGCGAATTTTCAAGGCACTAGCGATTTGATATAAAACGTATGGTCGCCTACTTCAAGTTATATAGGCCTAAGGTTGTTTTTGCCAGGTTTCTTTTTGGTTAGGAGTTACACGTACAAAAAGATACTTCATTGATAATTCAATTACTATATAGATAGGTTAATTAAATAGGCAGGGATTGCATTAAAGTACAATCGTAACAATAACTACCGTACTGTATTTTTTGGAAGTATAGAAACAACACGTACTTAAGAATTATGCCGCGAAAGCGTAAGTCTAATCTTTCCCAAAGCTCTGATAAAGCTCGAAATATGAAAGTAGCTAGACTTAACGAGACGTTTCCACAAGCCGAACTGCGAAGGCTTAAACAAGCAGAGCGTGAGGCAGCTCAAAGAGCTGCTGAGACACCAGAGCAGTCCCAAGATAGACGTCGACAGCATGCTGAGTATCTAGCATCTCAACGGGCTGCAGAGACACCCGAACAGTCTCAAGCTCGACGTCAACAGAACGCTGAATATCTGGCATCTCAACGGGCTTCTGAGATACCCGAACAGTCCCAGGATCGACGTCGACAACATGCTGAGTATCTAGCATCTCAACGGGCTGCGGAGAGACCCGAACAGTCTCAAGCTCGACGTCAACAGAACGCTGAATATTTGGCATCTCAACGGGCTTCTGAGACACCCGAACAGTCTCAAGCTCGGCGTCTTCAGCAAGCGACTTACATAGGGTCCCAAAGAGCTACTGAAACTGTTGAAGCTGCTGAAGCTCGCAGACGCGCTGTTGCTGAAAGGGCACAACAGCGACGATTAATATTTACAAGAAACGCGTGGGGAGTATTCGATAAAAGCTGCATTTGAGTACGATGAAACTCTTGATTACGAAAGCCACAAGCTCATCAAAATAGAAGCGATGAATAAAGAATGCAGATTTTGCGGTGCTCTTAAATGGAAAGAGGAAGCAGCAGGCATGTGTTGTTCGGGAGGAAAAGTAGTTCTTCCTTCAATAGACGAGCCTGTTGAACCTCTTAAAGAACTTTTTTCAAATGAAACAGATGAGTCTCGCCGTTTTTTAAAAAACATAAAATTTTTCTCACGGTCAGCTCTATGTGGCTTGCTCACGTGTTTCCAAAGCGAAGAATCTGCATGTTTATGCTGAAGGAAAAAGATCGTTTAATGTAGTTTATAGGAGCATACTGCAGTAGCTACCTATAGACCTATGATTAGGGCTCTGCAGTGCTTAGTTACCGTATTTTTTACTTATCACTAGACTAGACGGGACGAACCTGAAGTCCACGCGAACGAAGTCGCGGGCAAAAGCTAGTTTATTCAATAATTTATAAGAATATGTCTAAGCAGGGAGACAATGGAACAAATTCTCTTAATTTGACTGAATTATATTTAAAACTATTTTTTCTTTTATCTTATTGACTTATGTGCCTGTGTGTGTTTACCTCAGAAACATTTGCACATCATGACTATTAGATTAAAAAATAATAATATAAGCTATTGTATCCACATCGGAGTATCGGGTATGGGGAGCGGGATCGCCATCGGCAACCGCCACTCTTTATAATTTGATCACATTTGTACCACGGACAATTCGTGCCCAAAGCGTAAGACGACAAGTGAACAGAGGTGGCGTAGAGTCGCTATTTATTCTAATTTTGTATTCATAAACTAGCTGGTATGCTCGCGACTTCGTCCGCATGGAATAGTTATTTATAAGACGTCGGTCGCGTCCTGTGGGATAATCAAAAAAGATAGACATATCCTCTGTTATAAATACTCCTTTATAAGACACTTTGTATTCTTAAGAAGATATTATTTAGTTGCTATGGTTACACTTCTTGTTACAAATACGTTAGTCAAAAGATGTGAGTGCAATAAATGCCATATATATTTTATTTCTTTTACTTAATAATAACATCCTCCTCGATAAATGCTCTAACTAACACAAAATAATTTTTCAATTCGAACTCGTAGTTCCTGAAAATTACCTTCCATCTAGTGTACCCCATTCTTGCCTCACCTTTTCTATCATAAAAATGTTTGAAACTTTGAAATCACTTGACGAACATTTATCCGTTCTTTTGATCACAATTGCACTTTAGATTTGGTACAATAGCAGTGAAATGCTTGCTTTTGACATATGAAAAGTGTGTAAGATGCTCAAAACATTTTTTAGATTAGGTACTTTGACTAGAATAAGATAGTCGATAGATAGATAAGTAATATTATAGAAAAATTGGAAAGTCAAATGTACCTGAAACCAAAAAATACTTATAAAATTATTAATAAGTATACATTTTCTACCTTGTTAATAGCTTCATTTATTTTATCTATTTTATGGCTCGCAATTTTTAAACTATCTAGATCTAACTTTTCGTGTATTTTAATTGGTATAAAATCTATATTAGTTATGTTATTGGTTTTTATCTTTTTGCAACAGTCGTCTGATACAATAGCGATTGTAGGTAAAATAGAATTATAATTACTTGACATACTCGTTGATTGTGTTTGCAATCAATATTGGTAGTATACAACTTATAATTTTCTGATAATTTTAAAATTCCAGTATTTATTAATTCGATGTCAACAGGTTCTTTGTATTTACAATTAAAAAAAATCTGAAACTTTAATCGATGATATCGTAACAAAAATAAATTGTTCATGTACTTGTTCATATTTGTTGGGTTAAATATCCGTATTATATTTATTGGATGTTTATTTATAAAATATACTACAAATTTTAGTATAGCTATTCACCTTTCGCTATTTACAAAGACTAAAACTCCGTGTAGGGCGTAGGCAGATAACTTAACTTAAGTTATTAAGTGCGTGGAGGGAACGTAACGATCTAACTTATCTTCGTGTTATAGAGTACTAAAGTTTTCATCAATGTATAGTTTTAATATAAGTAAGATGAATTTTGAATTTGGGTGTGTTGGGAAAATGAGGAAAGAACTACTTTAAGATATTTCATATCTATAAATGGAAATCGGTTTTCCTGCTCTAGCTTTCCAATCAACGCATTATAAACAAAGTTTAGCGTAACTAAGCCCTTTTCCTACAACGCTAATCTAATATGTTAGAATGTGACAAAGGCTGTTACGTGAAGTTACCCCATAATTTGATCATTAAAAGATCACTTTGTATTTTATGTTGTTTTCAAAAGACTTCTAACGACAAATTCATAATTATACATTGAAATGTTCAAAAGGGTCAAGGATTTTTCATTCTAAATGGCTAGAAAATTCAACGGTAGTTCTTGACTTGTAAAGCAATTTGTCTTCTTTAGTGAGACGAGCGACATAGTCACCTATTTATTCGGAATTTCAATTTACGCAACCGAGCGGTATGGAGTGTTGATTTTTTATTTCAACCTCATTAAATCTTTCGTTATGTCAGTAAATGTGGAACTAAGTATTGACCGTGGTTTACCCTCGTAATACATATTTATGACAAGATTTGCTTGAGGCTTGTTTATATAGCCTTCAGTGTGGCGGGTAGTTGAGCTTTTCTGATTTCCAACAGTATTGTTAGTCATATAAGGTGAGAAATAAATATATTATTATTTTAGAATAAACTGTAAATTTCTGCATACTTTACGAGGAAATATTGTATTAAAATAAACCCTGTTTATTTTCTTAAGGAGGGAGGATTGTAATGTTCCAAGAATATATTACAACTACACTATACACTACACACACAACTATGTTCACAGAATTTGTACTTCACCAACCCACCACCAATGTTGTACCAATCAACAAACCACCACAACACCGACCACATACAACAACTCTACCACAACGACGAAGTATCAAATTTTCTACTTCATTTATTAATGAATCATTTCTTTGTTATGCCATATCGTAATACTGACATTCCTTCCCTCTTTTATTTATTTTGTAATTACTAATCTTATAATATGATTTAATGCGACATATATCATATAATATTAAAAGCTACACAACTTAAATTAATACATTAATGTACAAATTAAATTAGTATCTTTTGCAAAGGTTGCATACCAACTGGTGACATCTGTCAATCGAAATTGCAAATAAATAGTTTTTACTCCTAACACCGAATTGCTAGATTTAGGATTAGATAATAATTTTTCTTCATTAATAACAGTTCGCCAACGTGAAAGGCCACCACCACACTGGGGTATTCAAATCGAAAGAAGATGTGTTGCGGCTGAAGAGAGAATGGCAAATGCTGTGCAATCACTAGTTGAATTAATTAGGGAAATTAGAGATGACATAAGACATTTTGTTAATAAATAGAAGAGATATAAATGTTAAATATTAGTTTAACATTTTATATCTGTGAAAAGTTCTTTACTATATTTTTATTCTGATAGTTATAAGTACCTCTAAATCAATGCAATTATTTAAAAAAAACTAAAAAAACGATATGTCAACGACCCGGAATTCTAGGTAGAGAACAAAAACTAAAAAAAAAACAAAATTTTACCAAGCTTTTCGCCTAAATCAAAGATTTTCGTTTATTATTTTCAGTAACTTCTTAACAAATACGGTTTTAAATACTACTCCATTTCATAACTTTAAAATAAGGTAGACAACATAAAACCATAAAACACCGAGTTTCAATGAACTTGTAAAAGTACGAAAAAAATAATTTTAAAATGGCTCCCATTCGGAAGGATGAGGCGTGGGACCCCACTTTGTATAATATTTTGTCGATAAAATTTGACGTACAACACACTGGTAAAGTATCTGCAGTCCGATCCCTATCATCCTGTATAATGTTGACTAAATTCATAACGAATATTAACCAAAAAAGAAGTCCACGCTTTTATTTATCACCTTCTTCGAACAATTTATAAAATTTTCAGTGACTGAAATTAGGTAGACCTTATTTGTATAGAGATACCTTACATAGAGACAGAATGCCCGAAGGTAAGAAACTGCCACCTTAGCGAAGAGCAATTCATAACAACAGTTGTTAACAGAAAAAGACTGCTCTACAAAATCGCTTAGTAACAAGAAATTGAAAAATCTTGTACTTCAACGCACATAACATTCACGAAAATGTACAATATTAAAAGCGACATTATACTGAAGAAGCCTTCAGTATAATAACAGAAACATATGGCTCATCAAATAATCATATATTTCACAATGATTCCATTGGTCCTCATGCTGACACTTTGCGACATAATCGTGATCCTCCACTTTATGAAAATAATTGGAAACCAAATGAAACGAAGATGGAAGACCTTAGAACCGCAACTTTTACTATAGCATCTAGAAGCAAATAGTCTTATCTTAGGCCTTAGAGGAAACATGTTCATAATACCCCTCTTGTCCTCCACCTCGCCTCCAATCGGCGGAAACAAGTGACTGACGTCGGTCGCTCTATGTCGGACGGCGCTCTATGAGCGGACGTCTACTGTATAAATATTTTCATTATTTAATTTATTGCAATTATTGGAAATGATCCGCATACACCAAAGAAAAATCGTATGCTTGATCAATTTCATATTACCCTTCTGGAACATATTACAATACTAAAAGCTTTATACAAAAATGAACCGATCGCAAACCTTTATTCCACGCTTAATTTTAGTATAATAGGGGGACCGGAAAGTAATGTCGTTTCTGCGCATGCCAATACTTGATTGTCATTTGAAGCAAATCCGTGTCAGACGATCGAGGAATTGTCAAACAGTCTCAACAAACCTTGGTCGACCATCCAAGAACATTTGAAGCAGATTGGGAAAGTAAGCAGAGCAGGTGTTTGGGTTCCGCATAATCTGTCCGAACAGAATAAGGCTAACCGAACAATCACATGCAACTTATTGCTTCAACGACACAACACAGAAGCGTTTTTTGATCGCTTGATCACAGGAGATGAGAAATGGGTCCTGTATGATAACCCAAAACGCGTTAGGCAGTGGCTCTCTCCAAACGAAATCCCTCGGAGTACTGCTAAGCCAGGTTTACACCCCAAAAAAGCGCTTTTGTGTGTTTGGTGGATGGTAGGTGAATCGCGGCATTGTTCATTTTGAATTACTGAAACCTGGACAAACTGTTACTGCAGACCTCTACAGCGAACAATTGCAGCGAGTCAATCAATCTTTAATTGAAAAGTGGCCAGCGATTGTCAACCGAAAAGGCGTCATTCTCCAACATGACAATGCAAGACCGCACTGCGCAAGGCGAACTCTAGAAAAAATTAATGAATTGGGGTGGGAGGTGCTGCCTCATCCACCATATTCGCCCGATGTTGCACCATCGGATTTCCACTTATTCCGAGCGCTGCAACACTTTTTAAGTGGCAAAACATTTGCAAATTTGGATGATATCCAAAATGCCATCTCTAGATATTTTGCCGAAAAACCAATTAATTTTTATCGATCAGGGATTGAAAATTTACTCACTAGATGGCAAAAGGTTATTGACAATGATGGGGAATACATCATTGATTAAAAATAAAGACTCGTTAAAAATGTATGTGTTTGTATTTAGCGTAAGAAAACGACATTACTTTCCGGTCCCCCTAATATAATAACTCAATTCATAGTTTGATAAGAGGTAGATCTTTTGACATAATAACAGGACATTATGATCCTAGAGATTCTACGGAATTAAATTAATCGGAGACTTATGCACGCTTTGGACTATGGGTTTGGTGACAACATCGTCGCCTAGAAGACGTCAACCAGTGTGGCCATTTGTGGCAGATTTCTGCCATTTGGGCAGATTTGGGACCTAAATTTTGAGTCTGGCAGAATATGTTGACGATTGCAAAAATTAGATAAAAGATTAATGGATCATTTAAGTGAAATCATCTCAAAATGCTTCCACGATTCCGAAATTGCCAAGTTGTTTTCCTGCAAGAAAACTAAAACAGCAGCATTAATATATAATGTTTTAACGCCTAATATTGAAGCAGAGATGCTTGCTGATTTGAAATCGTTTGAAAACATTAAAACCCGCTCTCCAATGTTTTCTTTGGTTATAGATGAGACCACAGATGTTACAGCCACATCAACGCTTGCAGTTGTTACCAAATTTTATTCTGAAAAAACACTTCAGGTAAAAACGAAATTTTTAACTTTGGTGGATTTGAAGGGATCATCAGCACAGGCTTTATTCGATGCTCTTTCTGATGCTTTAAATAACGCTAACCTTAATATTAAAGACGCTATTGGTTTCGGAGCTGACACTACTAATGTTATGTTTGGCGAACAAGGTGGCATGCTGGCATTATTGCCAAAATAAGGGCTGTTAATCCCCATTGCATATTAACAAGTGTGTATGTCATTCTATTGCTTTGTCTGTAACTCATGCCAGTAAAAATTGTATACCACAGGCTATTAACCAAATTGTGCAAGAGGTTTATGGTTATTTTGCCCATAGTAGTAAAAGAATAAGGGAATTTTCTGAATTCCAAGATTTTATTGGCACTGAAAAGCACAAAATATTAAAACACTATGAAATTCGCTGGCTAAGTTTGCACGCTTGTATCAAACGAATTTTGGAGCAGTGGGATGCCCTACAACTTTTTTTTCAGTCCCAGTTTCTAGAAGACATAACTATTTCTGCTGAATTTTTATGTAATAGTTTAAATGACAAGATACATAAACTTTATTTTTATGCTTTGGATTATATACTTCAAATAGTTAACAAATTTAACACTATATTTCAAGGAGATTACAGCACAGTTCACACTGCATTCAAAGACATTTCTGAGGTGTACATTAGCCTTTTGAGTTGTTATTTAAAAGGAAATTATTTGAAAACTACAGATCCACTTCATATAGATCCATAATCTAGCGTGAACTTTTTGTCTTTACAAGAATTATATTTAGGTGTGAACGTTTGCAAAGAAGTTGGTCGTTCATCTGCAGATGTAAGTCTAAAACCTGGGCTGCAATCTTTTCGCCAAAGAATGCAAACGTTTTTAATTGAACTCTGAATTCAGTTAAAAACACGATTGCGACTTAATAATATCTTTAAAGATTTACAGTTTTTAGACCCACAAAATGTTGTTTACAAAGATTTTGTATCAACCGTAAACATTGCAAATAAATTTCCCAACATAGTTGATGAAAGTAATATTTAGAATGTTGACGACGAACTTAGACACTCAAATTCGACAAAGATGTATGTGATTTATTGGAATCTGGTGGGAGTAGCAACAGTACAATTTTAAGTGTGGATAAATTTTGGGGAGCGATTGGGAAAATTCGTGATGCAAAGGGAGTCCCAAAATATGCAAATATTACAAACTTTGCAAAAGCTCTTATAAGTTTGCCTATGTCAAACGCATCATGCGAGAAAATATTCTCCCAACTTAACCTAAATAAAACCAAAGTAAGAAACAGGTTTATTAACAAACATGTTTCCGCTCTTATAACAACAAAAGATTGTATGTCTTTTACACCTACAAAAGAAACGCTTAAAATGATGACCAAATCAATATATATTGATAAAGAAGAGGCGGAAGCAAATGTTGACACATGAAGATGGTATTTGTATTATGTTTATGCATATATAAAATAGATTAAAATGAAAATATTCTGTATTTTATTTATCCTACTTGTCTTGGTGGAATAATAATATGATGGCATATTTTTGGCATTTTTTTGAGTTAGGTTTGGCAGAATTTGCAGATTTTCTTGCGATTGCCGGGCAGATTTGCCTTTTTTGATATGGCCACACTGACGTCAACGTTCGGACAACAAGTGCCGGCAGCTGTAGTTCCAGTAACCACTAGGGCAGTGGGGTTCTACACCCAATGGATGAACAAGATTTATGAACATTACGGTCGTAGATCAGACCGTATACCTGAATGTTAGCCGTACGCATTTTATCGCGTGGCATTGGCACAGTTCGAATATCGTCTACTGTCGGGTCGAGGTGCTCAGATTAAAACTTCGGACATAGACGCTGGCTTGTTCTATCGCCCTCACGTGACTAAAGAAGAACGTGATGTTATAAGATCAATGGCCGTCACTTTCTCGCCCCTCGTAAACTTACTTCGAATTTGACTGAGAAAATGGAGATTTCAAAGAAGTTAGATAGTGGCGATAACACGTGTAAATTAGAAAAAGAATAAGGTGTTGGGCGTGCTACTATACACGATCTTAAGAAGAAAAGAAAAAAAGATAGTCGACCACGTCAAGACAATGGAATCGAGGCCAGGAAAGCGTAAAACACTAAAAGTTGGCGATTGTCCAAAGATGGAAAACGCTCTTTACACATGGTTCATACAACGGCATTCTAAACACACTCTCATATCTGGAGAAATTCTGAAAGCCAAAGCTATCGAATTTTATAAAAAAAAATTACCCACAAAGATGAATTTCGTGCCAATGATGGATGGCTGGATAAACTTAAAAAGCGATTTGGTATCCGTCTATTAACCATATTGGGTAAAAAATATCAAGCGACGTATCTGCAGTAAAGCCATTTATTTACCCAAAATTTTCAAAACAAAGTAGAAGAACAAAGTCTCCTTCCTGACCAAATCGACGAAGACGAGAGTGGTCTTTTCTGGAGACTGTTACCCAATAAAACATTTGTATCTTTGAAAGAAGCAAGTGCATGACTTTTTCAATATAACACAGTGATCCGGCACCCTCCAGTTTTTAATCGTGCCTGATTAGTTAGATTTTGTATGCGATTGAGTAATAATTTAAGAAAATAATTTATTGAATTATATTAAATACCTAATTAATATTGTGTTTTCTTTATATAAATTATAAATATTGGCATATACTATTCTCTGGCTGACAAAATAATGCTCTGTCACATATTTTTTTAACTGTGTATAATTGTAAAAGTAAGGGAAAATTATTGTGATTTTTTATTCACATGTAGCTATTTGTATTCTAATTTCCTATGTATATTTTCTAGTAAAAAAGGGGAACAACTGTCAAAAGAAAATTTCAAGAGAAATGCTGAAATAACGAACTAACACCTTAAAGATTCAGAAAACATTTCATCATCTTTTCCCAAGCTATGAAGGACAAAAAACAAACCTGTATACCAAACAATTTGAAAGTTTTGATTTATTCAGAAGAATTTTTTACTCGTAATGCTTTAAATTATGCCATTAACTGGACATTAAAAATGGATACCCTTGAGAAACACTCCAGACCTAATCATGTTAGGAACTTGGAGGCCTGACACATTCTGAAATTCTATGTCACTTAAAACAGCTAGTAGCTAGCAGTTTTGTTTTCCAGATTATGTGCTAGTTGAACATACTCTGGAAAACAAAGTTCCCCAAACAAAATAGTTACAAAGCCAGAAAGAATTTCAACCTATAGCATGACATTAAGAAGGGATGCCATGAAGGTAAGAGCTAGGGGTTTACCCAAAAAATCTCTCCACACATTAATCAAGGATTTAGGTTTGAAATGATTGGCCATAAACTGGTATATGCAGTACTAGATGGTTGCTTGAACAGCTCTTAATAGCTGTTGAATAATAAACATATTTTTATTTGGCTTAGTAGTGAGAGAAGTATGTGCAACACTTATGGGTGCTTGTTGAAAAGTAGAGAGCTCTTCTTACACTTAGTTCCATTCACTTCCAGAACATTGTACACATTTCTCAACTGGCAGTCTCTATAAACCAGGCATCTGCAGGGTGAATCCATGCCTTAGCTAGACCTGTTTGTCTGCTTTACTTAAGTTTACAGTATTCTTAGTTTACCAAGTATTTATCTATTTTTATCCATGTACTAAACTTACTGACACCAAATATAGGTAATTCATGGTTAGCATTATGTAATAATATCTTGAAAAACATTGTAGTACAGTTCTAATACTTGCCAGTATTATTTATTGTTTTAAGAAATTATAAATTTTATGACAGATACTGAAGCGCCTATTGGAAAACATTTTAGGCCTTGACAATTCATTTTGGTTTCATAAGACAAGAACGCCGAAACAAAATCAAATTTTTACTAACTCTCACCAAATTAGTAAGACATAAGTCTTAAAAATGTAAAAACCTTGAATAGAATATTTAATAATTTAAAGAATACCAACAAACCAGAAAACTAAAGAACCTAAGATCTACGCCATATAACTAATCTTATAATGGTCACCAAATAAAAACACAACGACTGTTAGGACACCACATCTTGGAGGATAGATAAATAATTAAATACCACATAACCAATGAATATACTAGTCACTAGAGCACTTAACAAACATCGAGGCTAGAGGCATCATTTAACAGCCATTTTCAATTTCATAAATTGTATTGTAAATGTAGAGTAGTTAAAATCTCATTGTAATCACTTATTCTGATCACAGATATTTAATAAATGCAGATTAAATAAATTCTTCACTTTTCTTTTATCATAGATGATTATTTTTATAGATATATAGACTGTAATTTTGACAATTGACATTACCTTAAATCGGTTTAAGTTCATTAGGTTTGATTACCACTTTTACGTCAAAAACGAAACCTGATTTTGGAAAATTTGAAAAATTTTCACATATTTTGCACAATACGATGGCATAAAAACTATCGGATGGTATTTGCTAACCTCATTTAAAAGCCACCCTTTAATTTAATAAATAAAGTGAATTTAATACAGATTGTCTTTTGTGTATTTGTATTATCCATGGTTAGATACAAGGGAAGTAGGTCTTAGTAATAATCTGGTACTGGGGCACAAGCGATCTTAACGAAGTCCTCGTACCGAACTGAACCGTTATTTGATACGTTGGCCTCCCGAAATATGTTATCGACCTGGAAAGAAAAAGTATTGTATAATTTACGTATTTTAAATTTGAAAGGAATATTGACAACACAGACACACAGGATTTAAATCCGCGAAAGATGATGATCCCACAGGCAAATAAAAGGCATGGCAAGACATTGGCATTAAACATGTGTCTCATACATTTCTTTCAACTCATTCATGATTGACAACTAGAAAAAAAAGGACTAATTTTTAAGACTACCTCTCGACTTGATAGGCCTTCGCCCCAATTCTGTAACAAGGTACGAAGCTGCTTAGCTGGTATGGTGCCCCTTTTATCATTATCTGCAGCCTTAAACGCATTGACTACCTGAAATACATAATCAATGCATTGTTATATAATTTTCCTAACACAAGATTTTTACGGCTTATTTTGTTATTGAACATCTTAAAATATTTTATATACTTGAATGGCCATACATAAAAAGAGAAAATATTTACTTAATTTTAAAAATCTAAAATAAATTGAACAAATTTTCGACGAGAATTGCCCGTTCAAGTCCTGCCCGGTTTGAAAATTTTCACAATTTATTTTCGATTTTTAAAATTATATAATGCCTTCATGTGCAACAACATTTAAAAAATAATAAAGTTTTCAAACATTTACTTACTTCATGCGGCAAGTTTTCAGCTCTGGAATGTATATGCATCACTTCTAAGAAGTCTGCGAAGGACATTTTACCACCCTTTCCTTTTAGGTACCCTAATGCAATAAAAAACTGTTTAGATTAAGTAAAAGCAACAAGGAAATTTCATGTGGGTTTTTTTATAATTCTCTTTTTTCAATTTAACATCCTGTTATAATAGCTGATACGCATAAATAATTTACCTTAGTAAATTTTACTGAAAATATGAAATCACCTGTTAACTCTTGAATAGTAGGACTCATACCCAAAGACCTCATTACCACAGTTAGTTCATCAAGTGAGGTGATCTGCCCCGATCTAGCAAACAGGTAGAAACATTCTCGGAACTCTGCAAAAGGTACTAAATATTTACATACATCATTGATGGTATAGTAGCCTTTATGGTGTAGCTGTAGTGTATACACCATATCTCATATATAATACACAACATATTACTATAATTTCTTGTGTCCAAATCACTGGACACAGCTGGATCACTGGCCTAATTAAATTTAGATATTTTATCAAATTAAGTTACCTAACTTTACTTATCTAGAATGTCGGAAAGGTTGAAATTCAGTCATTTCAGTCAAGCTTTTTTTCCAGAGTATTAAAGAATACTACTTTTTACAACAAAAAGTGTATGCAATTGCAGTTGTGCAATATGGTGTGTAACTTGAGCAAGTAATATAATTAAAGTCAATTAGATAACAGCTATTAGGATTATGACTATGTACCAAATAAGCACGATTTAATCAAAGCCCAGCAGTTTTAAACATTCATGGAAAGTAGAAAGACGCCGTCATACAATATCGTAAAACCCGTTAGTTGTTCTACTTTAAAAAGAGCCATATTTTCCTCGGTGTTTATCGCTACTATTAAAATATATTCATTCCTGTTTAAAGTGATCTTTATTTATTACGATAAAGATTAGATTAATGTTATCATACCATCAATATCTTGTTCCTTGAAATAACGAGCCTGAAAAAATTAAAAAAATGAGTACCTAATACAAAAGTTATAAAAGACAAATGTAACGTGTTTAGTTACCATTTTAATGTAAGAATGAAGGAACGATAGGATAAAGAAAAACCTAATCAAACAAATTATTTAAATAGAAATTTAAAACATCAAAGAAACTTAGTCTTAAAGAAAATATAAAAACAATAAAGATAAAGACTTTTTTAATGATTTTATAGAAACCACAGATTATTATACAAGCTTATGTGCAGTACTCTGTGTACACATTACACTAAAATTACTAGACCCACAGAGTTTTTAAAATATAGGTATCTGTGTCTAGGGATTAAATGATATTTTTTTTTTTTTATATTCAAGATAAAAGAATAAAAGACACTTTAAATAGTAACACACTATGACCATTAAGATCCACAAAACTTTAGAAGGACATCAGCCAAATGAAAAATGGCTAATGGCGACGAAAAAAAAACATTAAGACATTGTTGTCAGTTACCATTGTCATCATAGTCAATTGTTAGAAGAAAAAATGGAGGTTTCCCAATCAGCTGAGATCAGAGTGACAAGTTTTTGATAATAATTATTGAAGGTCTATGCAACATTTAATTAGTGTGTAAATCATTACATAAAACATTTTTCATGTGTACAAAACTTGTGATGTGTGTTTAGTTAATATGTATTAAAATCCGATAAAAGGTGAGTCGTAGTTATAATCCATGTCTAATTTACCCTTTATGTAAAATAATTGCTTAAACACCACTTGACGTTAGATATACATTGTTATCAATAATTATAGTTCTAACCAATTAAGTCAAGAGTCTGCTTACACTTACGCGGAGGCTTTATAATGTTGCAATTTTTTATAGTAATTATGAACTACATAGAACTGAATGAACTACATACCTATGATTTCGTAAAACACTGTGCGTTGTTTCCAACTTGTTTTCTCTACGCGGAATTCAATAGTATTATTGTTGGACACTCTGTAAAATTTATATGAATATGATCAAGGGCTAAATATATATTTTGCTAATAAAATATATTAAATAGTGAAAGAAATGATATATGTTTCTCCCAATAGCATATGGGACATTTGTTTTAAATTAGGTTGTATATTCGGTCAAGTAGGTATTAATGTGAAATATTAAGGGGGATAGTGATTATTATTAATTAAATATTAAGATAAAACTAGTGATAAAAGATATCACTAATTTAATCTATCAAAGACATGAGACTCATTCCATGATTCATCATTATACCAAGGCTGTTTATATTGTACAAAGTAAACACACTGTTTTACATAATGTGGGCATTAGCTATATATGTAGGTTATACAATAATATGATAATAAAAGACATAGATGATAATATAGATTATGTTGAAAATATCTTGCCTTACTTGGTATCTTCTAAAATACCGTAAAAAATTTACATAGTGTCATTTCCAAACACCCATTTAGCTATATCGGTAAGTCATTGCACTTACCTACATTGAAAACTAGAGACTCGGGTATTAAGAAGCTCTTGATGATTATTACTAAAAATGTCTTGTTTCAGATCTTCAAAGCCTTTGAGAAAATCATGGAAGAACCTGACACGTCAAATCAAAGAAAAAATAATAAAATATCATAATTCAATATATATATCTCTAGTCCAATTTATCTAATTTATTATTTATATAATTTATCTCTGCAATCAATTGTTTATGAAACAATGTTATAATAGTTACCAAAGTATAATATAAATGTTATTAAGTATATGGCAATTTTGGACGGGGGAAAGAGATAGAGACATTGACAAGAGGGAGAAGAGAGATAAAATGGCCGCCACGATGGTCGAGACTCCACCCCCGCAACTCATCACCACTATCGAGTGGGCGATGATGGACAAGAGCAAATTCTTTCCCCTGTATACGTTAAGTAGTTTTACAGGTGAGTTTTGTACACACAGTCCACAAATATATTTTACAGACGAATTTATATCAATTTGAACTGGCAATTCCGGCAGATGTACCCAAACACTACAACATTTTTTATAAACACACTCCATCTTAACAACTTTTAATATTTTGCACATGCTACATGATGGCATTATATAAATTAAAAATCCACAGCCATCTGTGCTGTTCTAACCAATTGAGTTACAGTGACAATTGTTAATTGAGCGACTATTTGAATTCCCTAAACTACAAGATTTGAGCAATGGCACGCTACGCTGTGGATGCCGGTACCAGTCCTGGCTGTGTCGTAAAGACTTTTTACCAGCTATTGTGTCGTGATGCAAGTATACTTGGTAGTTAAGTTGTAATTTTTTTTTAATTGCAGTGCGATGCGCATTGTACCCGCTAACATTAGTTAAAACACAAATCCAAGTGCAGCGCAAGAAGGAAGCTTACAAGGGTGTGTCCGACGCGATCTCCAAGATCTACAGAAACGAGGGTGTCACAGGGCTGTATAGGGGCTTTTGGATGTCCAGCGTGAGTCATTTTTAATCAACTACGGCGAAGCGCAAATTGCTACGCTAGTCCACTCGTTTCGCCGTAAGACGTAGACGTTAAGGTTTTCTCAGTTCATCAAGTCATATAAAAGCGACGGGTCGTAGTTAAAATTATTTTATTAACCTGGTGTTTAAACCACGACGTCGTCCGTGTGCCGTCGCTCTTGCAAGTTAATCTTAAAGGATAGACATATACTGTCACGGAGTTTTTTCTTCTTCGCTTCTATTAGTCACAGTGCTATGTTTTATGACCTTCCTCAATAAATCCTCTAACACAAAAAGAGTTTTTGAATTCGAACCAGTAGTTCCTGAGGTTAGCGCGTTCAAACAAAGAAACTCTTCAGCTTTATATATGTATAGATATGTTTTCTAGTCAGCTAATGTCTGGGTATATAGTTTCAGATAATCTCAGGCGTCTTCTACATATCGACATATGAAGGTGTTCGGCACGAGCTGGGCCTTCACGATGTTAATCCTCGTTTGAAGGTAAATCTTATCGGCTATCTTACTCTTTAACAATTCTAACACAAAGACAGTTGAACACGGAGTCGGTCAGAGCAACAGCACGGAACACTGAATGCCAGTCAAGTCCTGCCCGAGTAGAAATTTTATTCAATTTATTTTCAAAATTTTTAATTTTTCTGTTAGAAAGTAATGAAATTTCTCTTCTTCAGTCGTTCATAGCTGGTGGTTGCGCGTCGATGGTCGGTCAGACGGTGATTGTGCCTTTTGATGTCCTGAGTCAGCATTTAATGGTCCTTGGGCTGGTGAAGGGCTCACCTGGTGGAATTCATAACTCGGTTAGTATATACATTTAGATTTATCATTCCTTTCTTAACTGATAACCTTAAGCCTGAGGCGTGAAATTACTTAGCGTTGGCTACGTTTCCAACGGTTTAAAACGCAAAAAAAAAGGTATTAGGTATATTAGGTAGGTAGAGGTATTAGGTTTGTAATTTGTAAGGACCCACATTCACCAAATATCAAGTAGAGAATAGATGGCGTTAGCGTAGACTCCATCTTCAGCCCCCCGTGGCCTCTCTTATGTTATGAACGTTGGGTCATCGTTAATATAAGCGAATTATTTTATATCTCGTTTTAAACCGTTAAAAATGAATAACTAATTTTCCAGAAGGTGAACCCCCTCGGTTTAGACCTGGAGCGTCCCTGGTCTAGAAGCGCACTGGCGAAAGAGGTAGCGGTGCGAGTGTACAAATTGCATGGGCCTCTGGGATACTATCGCGGATACGTAGCGTCTCTTGCCGCGTACGTGCCCAACTCAGCGTTATGGTGGGCTCTGTATACGGCTTATCAAGGTAAAATTGATATTATCTTTTACTATAAAGAAAAATATAATCCGACTTTAAAATAAAACGACATACAATGTATATTGTATTACTATTATAGTTTATAAGAAAAAGAAATAAATTATTGATGACTTGATGGAAGTTTATATCGCATTACATCTAAATGATAAAAAAGATGGCCTGTCGAATTATTTTCGCTTTGGATATTTGGAAATCGACCGACTCAAACTGACCGCGATTAGACCTTCACTGTGACGGTACTTCGTGACCCGGACGGAATTTAGATATATTTTTTAGCTAGAATTTGTTAATATTTGTTAGCTAGAAGATTTTCCGAAAAAAGTGCAATTCATAGATAACATTTCAATTAAATACTTCAACGGTTTAGAACGCGATATATATTAGTTAAACTTATTTGAAAATTATTTCCCCCGTGACCCGGCTGCTGCCAAGCGTCCGAAACGTCGGACCGTAGTTCGAATCATTTTCAAATAAACTTGTGTATCATTTGAATGTGTCCTACTCGCGTAAACTACAGACTGTATTTGTATTTGAAGTAACTCACAACCCGATGATTATTAGCCATTGATTTCTACCGTTAGATCAACAGACTGTCAAGCTATGTGTATATATTAAAAAAAAACTTACTTTTAAACCACATTCCAGATGAATTACTGAGGGTCAGTCCCGTATGGGTGTCGCACCTCTTCCTCCAGTGTATAGCTGGGACGCTTGGTGGGTTCACCACCACGATACTAACTAACCCACTGGATATCGTTCGCGCAAGGCTACAGGTGTGTATATATTTTTCTTTCTTTATTGTTTCACTAGCTACGTCAGCGACTTCGTCCGCGTAGAATAGTCGTTTTGGGCATCCAAATTTGGTGTTTGCAAACATGTTTATAAATTTAAGCTGCCCACGACATTGGTCGCGTCCCGTCGTTCTTGCAAGTTATTCTTAAAAGATAGATATATAGTGTCGCGGACATTTTTATAGATCATTTAAAGAGGAATCATTCTTTGCTACATATTTTTTGGGTGTCTTGATTCGTTTTCGCAGCGTACGCAATGAAACCCAGAGATGAAAAATGTACCCCGTTCACATTTGTTCCAGCTGTATCTTCGCTTCTATTAGTCACAACACGATGTTTTATAGCCTATAGCCTTCCCTTCGATAAATGCTCTAACCAACACAAACAGAAAACAAACAAACAAACTCTGCAGCTTGATATATTGGTATAGATTCACATATGGAAAACTTAGTTAGTAAATTAGTCGACATATTAGACATCAGAGCCAAAAGTTATCGCTTTTACATTCGGAAATATACAAAAAATACTAATTTAACAAAAACGCAAGCTTAGATTAAAAGTTCGGACTAAGAAACATTTAAATAAATCACCTTTAACGGTTTTAATTTAAATGTTTTAGATATATATTAGTTGCACTGATTAATATCGCGTTTCAATTGTTGAAATGTGTATTACTTGCGTAAACTAAAGACAGTATGTATATGTAGTGGTACTCCCCGTGACCACGGCTGCTGCAAAGCATTCAAAACGTCTGGCCATAGTTAAAAATAATTTTCAATCAATTTTAGCTAATATATTTCGTCTTTACCGTTAAAGTGTTTTATTTAAATGTGTACTACTCGCGTAAAGTACATACAGTATTTAAAAGTACATTTATAATGCTATCTTTATTAATTAAGGGAAGTTTATGTACGCATGCTTGGCAAACATACATTTACTTTTTACTATCACATTGTATTAGATTAGTTCTCAATTGGTATAGCACAGTCCTGGATTCGAGTCCTTATATGTATTTTCACATGTTAATGGTAACATGACTTCTTAACGTTCATCATCTTTCAACATTAAAACATTTGCAACAACATGTGATACATATAAAATTTGTTTTGACCTCTTCAGGTGGAAGGTGTGAGTTCCATGCGCCAAGTGTTCAAGGAGTTGTGGAAGGAGGAAGGGTTTTTCGGGCTCTACATGAAGGGCCTCTCAGCTAGACTAGTGCAGTCAGCCTGCTTCTCGTTCTCGATAATCCTCGGCTACGAGACGATAAAGCGAGTCAGCGTCAGCGATGAGTACAGAACGAGGGTGCGCTGGTGAAATAAATGTGATCGAAACTAGATTTTGTTTGTTTTTATTGACGGGCCATACATCGTATCGATACTATTAGACCAACGTGTCTAATAGTATCGATGTATGGCTGATGTTCAATAGGTCGAGGGTTTGGACTCATCACGTTTATAATTTTTCTGAAACATTCTGGACTTCCGTCGGAAACCTGGATATTAAATGGATGGTAGGAATATAGGAATTCCTTCCGGGTCACGAACGAAGATGAAAAAGCCGTGAAGCTTAATTGCGTTACCGTTTCAGTCTGTAGATTTCGGAATATCCAAAGCCAAAATATCGCCTGGGGTATATCATCTAGGAACCCCATGCCATGTCTGTCCTACTCAATGATTTAAAGCAATCTCTTTAAAAACATCATGTAATTTATAAGTACTGCTTTCATTACAAAAAACTTTGCAATGTAAATAATGAAGTGTATATTTTTTTATATTTTTAAACCGATTTAAATAAAACACTTACACCGTTTAAAACACGATATACATATAAGTTAAACTTATTTGAAAATTATTTTTTACTACGGCCAACGTAACTACTAACAAACTACGTACAAATCTACAGTTTTCTAAAGATTAAACCATCGAACATTTCTTTCTGGTCGTTAATTCAATTCCCTCCGGCGTCCTGGATCTTATATTTCTTCAATTAATGGATCAAATGCGAAAGTACATTTGAGGAGTGATTATTTTCATGTAATATTAGAAAATGTTAAGAATTAATGCAAATAATCTAATTACTGATAACGATAACCAAAAATTGAACCTATTTTTATTACATTTACAATAGATAAATGTTTAATCACCAAAACTCGGGTTAGATTTCTTTCACAACATGATTAGTAATTACAGTGTAAACTCTATATAGCGACACTGAAGGGACTGTGCATTTTATGGCGTTATAGAGAGTTGTCGTTAAATGGAGAGAAGAAACATTGTATGAAAAACAAGCTAAACCAACCAAAGCCAATTAATTTCGACGCTTAAGAGAGTTTGTCGTTAAATAGAGTGACGTTACATGGAGTTTACACTGTATATGATATTACTAATATTTATTTTGTCAACACCATTATAGGTGGTGACACGGATGTTTAGCGCTGAACGAAGTGTAGATAGTTGTACTCGGGAAGCAATTGGTCCGAGAAAGGCATCACGATTGGAGAACCAATCAACGCTAGCGCACATAACGTTCAGTCGCCCCCCGCCCGCTTCCGTGCCTTCGATACCTTATTTTTCTCTTCTGCGCAGGATTTGTTCAGCGCCAAAGATCCGTGCCGCTACTTATTCGTAGGTTAAACTTCACGTCATTTTTCATTTTCATCTGTGTGACAGGCGGAGTTTCGATAATCCTACCACTCATTTAATATTCACATTTCCAAAGTCCAACATATTCCAGAAAAATTATAAATTAAAAACATGTTAGTAGAGATTTTGATATTACAACTGAAAAATCCTCTCTCGAAAAAATAAATAATATCGATATATTGCTTACGTTAAAAAGCAAAGTATTAAATATTTTCCTTTATACATTTTCCGCCTTAAAACCTCCTTTCAACTTCCTATCTCAAAAACTCAAATAAGCAAAATATATATTTATTCAGAGTGCGTTCAACTTTGTTCAAATCATATCATTTTTTACGCGAGATAGACTGATAACGAATTAAATTTTGACCTGCTGTGATTGATAACAGGTGTTTAGGCGAATATTTATCGCGTGTTTATATTTCTACATCGTACGATGTGGGATGATGTGATACAAAATTGTATCCGGGAGCTATAAGCTTGCAACACATCTATAACGGCCGTTAGTCTACCTACTTCAGTTTTGAAAAAAGGTCGGTTCTCGAGGTGAGTTTAAAGTAGACATATTTTTGTGTCTGTTTCACTGATATATCTTACATACGAGCAAGACATTTATTAGAAAGTATTTATTGTGTTATAGCAAGTGTAAAACTTGCTACATGCATCTTGCTGCATACATGACGAAATTTGATAAACAATCAAGTAATTTTATCTTAAACAGACATCTAGAACTTGAATATTACAGCGAAAGAAGGTTTTGCTCCTATGCTGTTAAACTCCCAACTGTTTTAGAACCACTATCCCTTGAATGCGGACTTAAAAGTATGTACGTACGAAGTATTCAAACCATATTCTTTTTTGGGCTATTTACCAATGTTTTTTTTCTAATTGTGTAATCCTGTTTTGACTAATGTTTAGTTTTAAATATGTTTAACCCATGTTTGATATTTAGCTGGAAAAGCTAGGAATACAAAATAAACAATAAATAAATGCATAATACATTACTGATGGTCTGCCATTTAAGGTATAGATAAATCAAACATTTAAACCACGTTTAAATATATATTTAATACACATAAGATATCCACGACTACATTGAGCATTTTGAAATAAATTCGCCCATTTTCGCCAAAAACAACAAATAGCTCAACACGCAATCTCACATGGTTCCATTCAAACCAATTGTTAAGTTGATAGCAAAATACCTACTAAACATGGCTTAGTCTTGGAACAAAGCTATGTAATTATTTTTGGCTAAAGGTCGAATACATTCTCAAGGTAAGCCACCAAACTAACCAAATATTTAAATAAAACACTTTAACGGTTTAAAACGCGATATATTAGTTAAACTTATTTGAAAATGATTTTTAACTTCGGCCCGACGTTTCGGATACTTTGCAGCAGCCGTGGTCACGGGGAGACTGCTGGCGCAATATATCGCGTTTTAAACCGTTAAAGTATTTTATTTAAATGTGTACTACTCGCGTAAACTATTGACAGTATTTAACCAAATATTTCTGTATATTCTATACACATTTAAAAGAAACCAACATACATTAGACGATAAATCAACACGATTAGTATACATGGAACCTTCGACGGATTGAAACGTGATTATTAATGAACAAGGTAATCCTGTGATTCTGTTTACAAACGTTGGGTCGTAGTTAGAATAACAAGGAATGTTTCGCGTGTTATTTAGTCATCGTAATGTATCTCGGTTCCCTAGTTCGTACAAAGACTACCTTATTATAAGCCTGGTCTATAGGTACACGCTATGGCTAAAAACTATTGCATATTAATAATTAGTAGGCTTACAATGAAAGTTTACTCGGCGGGCCACTTGACCGATTCGGTCAAATTTTCGGTCCGAAATTTTAACAGATTTGATTGTTGGTATACCTACGCCGAATAGGCCGAACACCAAATCGTAACCGAAAACTCACTGCAAGCCTATTTACTATGATGTTCTGTTAAGAAAATAATATCTTCACTGGAAAGCCTCTACTTTCGAAGTACCACCTGGAGATTGTAATTTGGCGAGATGGCAGTACTTCGCACATAAGACAACAAAAGATGATTTCACAAAAAATGACTAAAGTGAGTGTAGATTGTCAAAAGCTAGGTATAAAACATGTATTATCTGGAGATACTATCTATACTTATATATAAAGCTGAAGAGTTTGTTTGTTTGTACATTTCAATGCGAGAATCTCAGGAACTACGGGTTCGAATTGAATAATTCTTTCAAGGCTATAAAACATTGTCTTGTGATTAATACAATCAAAGATACAGCGAGAAATGTGAAAATTATTCATAATTATGAACCCAAAAAATATGTATGAAAGAATTAATCCCTTTTTAAATGATCTAGAAAAAGCACGACGCTATATGATTTTCTTTTATATTATCTTGCAAAAATGACGGGAAGGGAACCGACCAACGACGTGGGTGACAACTTAAGTTTATAAAGATGAAGAGGTTTGCGAAAACCAATTCTCGTGGACAAAGTCGCTGACACAGCTAGTATGTTATATATCTAGCTTCGGACAATGAATGATGTTGATTTTCTGCGAATACAATATTAGTCATTTTACAAATATAGTCATTGCAACACAGTGGCTATATCAATGCTTCAAATCAACAGGATGGTTGTGGAATTTATAATATATAGGATTCAGTATAATTTGGGGCCGCTAGAGTCAGAGTAGCCTAACTGCAATTTTATGAATGACTTATATTCTCATAGTCTAAAAATGTTAATCTACAAGAGCACAGTGACCGGAAATTGTTAACACAATTCTTACACAAATAATAGTACAAATTCATTTTCGCCTAAGTTAATTGCGCATGTTTATTGATAATCATATTGTTATTAGGCCACTCTGCCTCTAGCGGCCTCATTTCATTGTAAATCGCGAAAGTAAACCTTATGACTATAATACAGAAATAAAACATATTACACTTAATATAATTAATTCATTTTATGAAACTCCAAAATATTTCTATGACATTTTAGACTATTTTTACTTTGTACATTACAGTTTTACGGATCACACGGGCTCACTACAATTATTAAAACTATATTAAATCAATTCTGATTTAGGGGTGACTATGTACGTTCCTTATTCTTACGAATGGCTTAAAACGAATTACAAACATTTATATTTCATGGAGTTGATGTTTGAAATTGTTTGAATTAACTTAAAACATTCATGCTTAACATATACTCTTCAGTATTATATAACCAATTTTCCGTCATTTTATAACACAATACAGCTGCTTTATAAAACATGGCTAAAATAATATCACCAAGTTAATACATCAATAACAATTGTTGTTCTATTTAAATAAAACACTTTAACGGTTTAAAACGCGATATATTTTTGTTAACTTGTTCGAGAAATTATTTTTACCTCTTTGCGGCAGTTATGGTCACGGCTAATAACAAACAAGTTAAATAAAATATATCGCGTTTTAAACCGTTAGTGTTTTATTTAAATGTGTACTACTCGCGTAAACTACAGACGGTATTTAAGTGTTGTTCTCCATAAGTTCTCATCATCTATTATTTTACAAAATCTTCATTACTCAAAAACAATAAATAAATTAAGTCTTAATTTATATTTTGTTAAAAAGTTAATTTGTTAACCTAATATGCTGTTTAGGGGTACATACATAATAAAAAAAGGAATTCAAATAAGAATAACACAAAGAAATACGATCATTAATTAAATATCTATTTAGATTTTTAAAAAAATGACAGACAGAAAGGATTTGAATCAGAAACCATAGCGTACCAAGCAATCGATCTAGCCAATTGAGCTACTGTTTCTTACATCATCATCAAATTTTTTTAGCAAACTTAAAAAATCTAAATAGATTTTTAATTTATTTAAAGCCATTTGAAAAGTTTCTCTTAATTTTTTTAAAAATTAATGTTCTGCTAACTGTAACATGATCAGAACATCACTACGGTTGTCATGGACATAATGTTACTAAAAAGACATGACACCATATGGGTGGTCTTGTCAACGTTTTGGGTTACATTTCTTAGAGTTGATTACAAAATTATACATTTACCATTAGGCGAAGCCAATGTCGAAAAATAAACAATTCAACCAAAATCACATACTGCTCACAGCATCAGTGTTAAGATACAAAACATCAATACCATTTGAGTCGCATACACGAGGTCTTCAAAAGTCAGTCATCTGCTCCTCTCCTTACTCATTTCTGTCAATGCCTGGCCTACTAACACTCTGTCACCACTCTGTAAATCAAATTTGAAATCCGGTGGGGCTTCAAACAGCAATATAATTGTACTTCCCATATTAAACTGGCCAAATAACTCTCCCTTGGTAAATTGAACCTTTTGCATCACTGTTTCATCTACTCTATTTCGTTTGCCCTTTGTATTTGTTCTTAGATCTGGGTCTTTGTATATTTCAATCGAACCAACATTTGTTGCACCAACAGCTGTCATACTAAAGAAACCATGTTTCCATTCACCGATGTACACAGCTCTCTCATTCATAGTAAATAAACCTGGTATCAGACTAGCCATCCACGGATTAACAGATAGTAATTTTCCAGAAAAATGTCGCCTGTAAAGAGACATCCAATCACAAGGCGAATGAAATCTGTGATAATCACCAGGTGCTAAATATATTATACATTGGTGTAGTATGTTCTTCTTATCTTTCAGTAATGAGTCATAGTAGTTATTAGCATTCTTGGACCACTTGTTCTCGCCCAAAAACTCCTCCAAGCTATATGTAACACCCTTAACTTGCTCGATTCTGTCTGTTTTAGCTGGTCCACAATTTAGAACTACACCGTCACATGGTGACACACAGGCTGCTGGGGATATGAACCTGGCACCGTCTCGGAGACTTCTAGTGAAAAATGCTGATAGGCTTTTGTAGTATGTGAGGTCTGATATAGCTGCTTCGTTTAAATTTACATTAAACATCTTACAATATGTACCGTAGACAAGACCTCTAATCGACACAGGTAGCTCGTACGCTGCGATTTTACCCCACAGTCTACTAGTGATACGAAAGGGGAACATTTCGTAGAATTTGATTTCCACCTTGGATATTTCGTAGTTTATTGTGGCGCGTATATAGCACCAGCCTACATACATAACACTTCCTAATGGCACCCATCTCGTGAATATCGCGCGAACGCTCGTCCATTTCGATTTCTGTAGATTATTCGTGTTAACGCTCTTTGTCTGATGCAGCGTCTGACGGAATGGCCTGTGCGGTTTTAGGCGTCTGAACATCGGGTTTATGACTGGAAGGCAGCTTCGAATGCGCGTCGGCGGAAACATATCGCGCTCGGCCGCCTCCGAGGAGAATTTAAAAATAAAATGTTTATCTAATTAGTGGCAACTTCTTTTGCGTGTTATATTTTACGTGCGATAACATCACAAGGCTATGTACAACAAAAAACGTAATTTACATAGCTTAGAGGTTGACATATGACAGTTGGGAGGTCTGTCAAAAGTCAATTATACTTTTATCTGTTATGACATGTTTGACAGTTCCTTTTTTTGTTAATTTTATTGAATATACGCGACACACAGCCCGTTAAGTAGTCCATCCACGTTGTTACTAATTTAGTAATGATTGTCGTTAAAACCCGCCAATCTCGAGGTTGGATACTTAAGTACAACCCCATTTTAAAACATTTGTCAGTGAGAATGATAAAAGTTTTTAACTGAAGATGTGGATGCCCAAGAACATGAAAATCAAGCTATTAGAGGCGAATTATAAAGTCCAAAATGAGAGAACGCCTTTTGGAGAAGTCTACATTACTTTTGATGCAGCAATTAAAGGCATCGAAACAGCGCAAAAGGATTGCGAAACTAAATCTAATAAGCCTTATCGGCACCAGAGAATGAACCGGAACCAGGCCCATACAGAAACAAAAATATATAAATAAAAAAAATAATCAGTGACTAGCTATCTAACATGAAAACAGCGAAGAACTTTTTGCCTACGCGTTTATTTACGTTACAATTCTTAACAGAACGTAGGATTTGAAAATATTAATATTTTTCACATGTTATTGCACATGAAGGCACTATATAATTTAAAAATCGAAAATAAATTGAAAAAATTTTCGACTCGGGCAGGACTTGAACCGGCATCGTCAGCTTTCCGTGCTGTTGCTCTACCAATTGAGCTACCGAGTCCTACACCTCATCGTCGAATTTTTTCAACTTATTGATACATGCACCTCTCGCGCAGTGTAATTTCAACCTTAACACTTGCGTACTAAGGTTCAAAATATTTCAAAAATTCAAAAATTTTTGAAATCAACGATTTATAAAGCGGTGTTCTTTTGTAAAAAAAATATTATCATGCCCAAATTAACTTTTCATATTATTTCACGCTCTGCTACCATATTGAGGTATTCGAAAGGTAAAGGGAGGACCGAAAACTTTGTTGAAACTTTTCTTTCTCATATACCACTAGATCACACACCTCATCAGTAATGTATAGACCGATAACTCCCACATCTACATTACCTGCAACATCCACTCCTACACAATCATGAGAAATATAAAAAAGTTGTCAACTGAAGATATGTTTATCCTTACTAATATTATAAATGCGAAAGTAACTCTGTCTGTCTGTTACTCTTTCACGCCAAAACTACCGAACTGATTTGAATGAAATTTGGTACACAGATGGTTTAGACCCTGAGAAAGAACTTTTCATTGCGAAAAGGGGGTTGTAAGGGGGGATGAAAGTTTGTATGGAAATTCGTGTTTTTCGAAGCTAGAACAATGAAACTTTCTTCTTTGGCTTTTTGGGAATAGGAATGGGAGTGGGAGTGGGGGTGGGAATGAGAGTGGGAGTTAGAGTAGGAGTGATGTGAGGTGAGAGTGTTGCGGCAAAGTAGCACTTACAACATAGATTGGCTACGATAAATGCGCAATTACATACCTTAATAAACAGCCTAAATAATTAAAAACTCTCGCTCTTACTCTATTGCACGCGAACGAAGACGCGGGCACAGCTAGTACACAATAAAAGCTAGAAACTCTCGAATATAATAGAACGTGTGTCCAACTGTAGGACATTAACAGGCGAATCCGATTGAAGTTTACTTCTTTGAGTTAATTTGTAAAAAAATAACAGCTATTATACATATCTAAGTATAATTTACCTCACTAGGTAAACTTATTGTTAAAAAATACAAAATTGGCGTATTCCCGTCGATAATCGATTCAAGAATAAAGCTTGACAGAAGTGTAAATTGTCACAGTGACAGAACACAACATCTCAATCACAATTTTGTAATCATAAACGTTAAAGTTTAGTGTTGTAATATTCTGTTGAGTATTTTTGTTGTGCATGCGTAAATTTCTTTCGTTTTACTTTATTATTTATATCCCACTGTTAATTTCCTGCTACCAATGCCTAACGCGTATAATAGCAATTTCGCAAAGCAAAGAAAGCGACGAATGTCCGTAATAGATTCTGGCGCGAACAGTTGCGAGGATGGAAATATCTCCTTCGAAGATCAATTCCGTGGATTTGAGAAGTTTCCGACGGTGCAAGTAGAGCGTTTCGAAATATCTAAGTATTTAAACGATTTGAAATCCAAAATAATGCACATCCAATCGGAAGAGACTTCGGATAAATTTCTAGATCTGTCCAAGTTCACGCAGCACTGCTGTGTGCGGCTTGTTCGCAACGACTTGAACGAGCTGCGGAATATGCTCGCAACTAACCTACGCACGAATAAGGAGAATCTCTCTAACGAAAATCTTGAAAACAAATTCAAATGCAACATATGCGCTAAAACATACTGTAATGAGAAAAAGCTGCTAAACCATCAAGAGAACAAGCACTTAATTGTGTATAAACCTGTAAGCAAGCCACAAAAACGAGTCTCTTTCTCAGACCAAGTCATTGTACATGCAGCTGCCGAGTACCATGCCTGCAGGAAGTGCATAAAAGTCTTCAAATCCTACACTGACCTGAAGGCGCACGCGAGAAAAACACATAAAAAGCGTAAGTGCTATATTTGTAATTACTGTAACAAGAAATTTGCTGATCGAATGTTCTTTAAAGTACACATTAAGCTACACTGCGATATCTGCGGAGAGTTAGCACAGAATAAGCAAATATTTAATGAGCATCGACGGACTGCGTGCAAAGTTGGTAAAAAATACCCATGTAAAATATGTAAGGAGATTTATTTCTCATTTTTGGATGTAAAGGATCATAGTTTTGAACACAGTGGCAATATTTTAATTTGCGACATGTGCAAAGATCAGTTTCAGAGTAAATGTGAAGTCAGACGTCACATAACATGTGTACATACAAAATATCATCCAAAATGCTCTAACATCTGTAAAATGGGTTCTAAGTTGTCTGTGAATTCCCATAAAGTATATACTAGGGATGTAATAGAAAACCATGTTTCCAAACTTCCAGAATGCGATAAAATCAACAGCCTAAGAGAGTTTGCCTGCGAATCCTGCGAGGAGAAATTCAATGATGAAAATGATATGCTGCAGCATAAACAGATACATTTCTATGATATTAATGACAATAAGAAAGGACAGGAGCCTAAGCTAACACCTAAAACATATAAAATCAGTGATCCATTACCAGATGAATTTAAACCACTAGTTGTATTGCAAAGGCTGAGCGTTTGCAAAAAAACTTTAAAACAATCCTTAGCACATATTAAACAAACATACTCCCATGGTAAACCGAAGGCAATCATTGATACTAAGGCCAAGAAAACCCTCTTATCTCAATTTCAATGTATGGTAAGTATTTTCATTTAAAATTTTATTGTTTTATTCAATCTTCTCTTTTTGTCTTAAAAACTTCATAAATTCACTTTAAAAAAAATTGTTTCTTTTTGTTGTTTCATTTTATTCAAAACATAAAAAAAAAATTATACAGGCTGAAATGCCACTTCATTTGTTACTCAGATACATGTACTTCATAATTTACAATTAAAAAACTTAGTGCATAGTTCAGCCTTTAAGCCATTTACAAAATGGTATTCACTTTGAAAATTTCAGACTAAAGGTTAATTGATAATTTTTATTTCACTATATTGCAGGAATTTAAAAGTTTACCAGGAAATAAATATAGAGGAAACTGAAGTTTCAGTTAAAACTTTAAGGTCTCAACCTTATGGTCCATTTAACATGTTCATGTACAAAACAAATATATCTGTATGATATACATATTGATCATGTTTTTAATTTTTCTAGCAATCCTACTAGCAAAAATTGTAAAACGCTTAAACAGCTATTTGGGCTACTCCCATAAGATTAGTTGTAGAATATTGAATGGCATCCTTGGGCAGCATGAACCTTGATCAATGCTATTTTGTGAGAAGTTGAGAATGAATCCTCACATTAGCCTTAAAGCCAGGAAAATTAATACAAGCTAGGGAATTGGGGTCTTGTCAATCTTTTCTACTTTTTTCATACCAATTAAAAAAGGTCTAAACTATTATCAAATGAGTATCATTGTGCACCTTTAATATAATCGACACAAAAATTATATTTAGTTGGTAAGCCTCTTTGAAATAGAAAAAATGAATGTATGCTAAATCCAAACTAAATAATGTTTCAGTTAATTAGTGCTATTCAAGACATTGAGTTAGACAGTGTCTGTATGAATGCCTGTTGCTTTATTGTAAGCTGCTGTGAAATTAGTCAAAAATAATACAATTTACCCAAATTCAGGACTTTTTAAAGAACTCCACAAAAAAAATGTTCAATTAAACTTAATTAGTAATAGTAGTTTAAAAGAAATTCTACAGCTAGAGGAAGTGAGGCCTTATTTGATATTAGTTTTATAGTGATCTAACTGCATATACATATTAAAATAGGAATCTAGTAAGCATCAGTGCAGTTTAATTCAGTGGTTAATCTAAAACTACATTCAGTCAACATTCTTCTTTGAGATATCTTTTGTAATTAAAGTCCAATCCAATGTCCAATCAATTGAATAATGCATGCATTTTAGGTCATGAATAATATTATATTGTTTTATAATTGCAATGAAATCCATCTTTGAAATGAATCCATGTTGGCAATGCATCGCTATTTTGTCTCAATCAGAATTCGATTGAGCAAGAGTTAATACAGACTAAGCTTTGATAATAAAAAGACAACAACAAATCTATTTCCAGCATTGCCGCAAATACTTTTCATCCAAAAGTTCTATGTTCCGCCACATAGACACGCTACACAACCCTGACCCATACCACTGCAATGCCTGCGAAGAGGTTTTCTCGTCGCGAAGTCTTCTATACTCGCATAGATGCATCAGGGGTGCCAACATTCCGGAGCCGTTTTTCGACGACGCGAGACCCGAAATCCTCCTTAACGACCCGGGTGTAGACGATGATTCTGTGTTCTTTGAAATTCCGGCGCCAATAGTTGAATTGAAAGAGTTTGACAATTATAAAGTTGTTGTAAACGATGGTGTCGCAAAGGATCCGTTACCTATGTACGAGATTGTAATGGAAGAAGTGCCTATTGAGTTCTAAATATGTGGGTAGTGTCACAGTGAAACTACCGTCTAAGTAATCTAGCGAAAAGTCTGTATCAGACTCGCCTTTTAATGATGTTGTTACACGGAATCTGTATATAATTATTATTTTATTTTTAGTTGCGTTGCTGTGCGTATCTAAGTACGTCTATGCTACTTATGTAGTTTTATATGTAAAAAATATGTATTTATTGTATTGGAAATATAATTATTTATAAATAGCTATAGTAAACCAATTGGCTTATATATTTAATTCTTATTTAGTATGAAGAGCCGCTGAGCGATTATTTTACTGGTACCTTATTTTCATAACTTTATTTACATAATACCGCATCGAGTATACAATATGTGTATGTTTAAGTGTTTTTTTTTTACGGAAAAAATCTGAGACCATGATGTATTAAATGTAAATACTTTTATAAAAGTAACTATAAAAGACCAATTTACTTATTTGTACAATAAAATATAAACATATTTTTATTGAATGTAAATGTATGTTTATGTGTAAGTAAAGTAGTAAGTAGCTGCGCACGCGAGTCTGAGTTAGTCTATTTGAATTGTTATTTATTAAAATAAATGCAATTATATTATGTTGATGGTCAAAGAGGATGAAAGGCGAAATAAACTTTTAAAATTTCATTCATAGTTTTAATACATTGTCAAATTAATTGTTAATCCTTCGAGCACTCGAGGGGCTAACATCCACTAATGATGTCGTCGCTCGTGATGGCGAAACGTCAAGAAGCTCTTCTCGCTCGCATCGGCCGAAGAACAATGATATGCTGAACGATGGCTGTGAAACCCTTACACGATTTATAAACGCAAGACAAATTATGAATTCAAGACATTTAGTGTTATGTTAGCCATTTGCAAAAGAAAGTACAGTCCGATTATGAAAAATTGTAGTAATAGTTACAAGTGTGAACACAAATCATATAATATATTTGAGCATCAATTTTTTTTTTTTGCTTGTTATATTATAGCTATTACCCAGGACGTCGTTTACGACCCGCCATGGCGTTAATCTTAGAACATACAAGTATACTGTCGCGTTTTTTTAGAATTTAAGAGCAATCGGTATTTCATACATATTTTTTAGTTTTTCGAACCGTTTTTTCTGCGAACGCAACAGAAGCTATTAAAAATGAAAATTGTTCCCCGTTTTTTCCACAGTATCTTTGCTCCTATTGATCGCAGCGTGATCTTGTATAGCATTAAGCCTACTCCATCCATGTTTTTTTTCAACACAAAAATAACTTTTCGAACCAGTAGTTCCTTAGATTAGCAAGTTAAAACAAACAAACTCTTCAGCTTTCTAACAAGTATAGATTGTTTATTTGTAAAATAAACAATGTCAAGAAAAAGTTTCTCTAACATTCCACACACATTTATCTGTTAAGTAGGTAATAACAATACGACGCAACAAGACGTTAAAGTGTAATTTAATAATAGTTAACATTTGGGCAAAGTATGCGTCAACCTCTAGAATTTGCAGCTCTCGTCTCGTTCTTCAAATCTTCATATGACAACTGGTTCTGAAATATGAGATTGTAAGTTCGAAACTGTTGCGTATGCCCTCCTACATAATCTGTATCACCAAATGGTCGATGCACCGAAAAAGGGATAGATACATGAGCCTACGTTTTTCTGTTTACTAGGCGTTTACGTCTTTTTCATCTGTAGATGGTGGTTTGTGGCCCGGACGGAATTTCGATATCCCTATCACCCATTAAATATCCAGATTTCCAGACGAAGTCCAACATGTTTCAGAAAAATCGTTAAGTGTTAAAAAGAAACGGTGGAGTCCGAATCCTCGACCGTTCGATTAGTATACATACCGTTACACCAACGAGCATGTCAAAGTATTATCTACAGTTTACGCGACTGCACAGTATGTATACCATAAGAAAAAAACACATTTCAAACAGCAATACATTATACGTACCGTCAAATCTTAGTAAAAAACAAATCATCTAATAGATTTCGTCTTAAACCGTTGAAAATAGTTTATATATACTGACCTCCCAATATCCATCATCCCAATCAGGGAATAACCTTTTGAAGTTTTCTGGTTCTTGTCCCTGTTTCACTGTCACCACAATCGCTGAATCCACTGTGCGATCCAAACCATCGTCGGATATATATTTCTGAGGAAGAGGAAGAAATAATTTCATTGATTTGGTAATCAAAAATGGTCGTCACAAAAGTGGTTTTAAATATTGAGATCGTTGGGGTTATACAGGGTGTCCCAAGAAGTAGTGTCAAGCGGAAGTCCCAAGATAGAACACCCCTTGGAGCATCCGAAACACCCCCATGTATGTCTTGCGATTATTCATAGTTTTCGAGTTACGAATTTTTTTCTAAAATTTTGAGAATTTTTGACCTAAACAACTAAAACGCTAATTTACAAAAGGTGATAAGATTTTTTCTAGATTTTTTTTTCACAGCTTAACAAGCATGAGTTGTACATTAATAATTAAAACATTTGTCTTCGTAACCTTAACAGAAGTTAAAAATATGATGGTTCAAAGTGAAAAAGTTACGAGCCGTGAATTGCGTCTTAAAATTTCAACTTTAAATTTAAAATATTAATAGGTAGCTTTGTAGCTCATAAGTTAGTTCAAAAACTGCGCCAGACTCTCAGCTTTCATTATCATTAAAAAAAACGACTACATAATACGCTACTTTTGCTAATACCGGACCTCAAAGGCAGATAGGCGTAAAAATGTAATAAATAGCCATTTGGCAACGATATTGTTTTCCTTGCATTCTTATAGTTAATTTTTAAAATTAGCAATATGATTTGAAACCTTTTTAAACATTTTATTATTTCTGTAGACAATTCGATTGTTCACTAACTAAAATCTACTGAGGGAGCGCTAAATGGCAAACATCTGGTTTTTGTAAAAAAACAATAGCACAGCCAGATGCAAGTGTCAGAATTTACTACCTGAGTTAGTTTACAGGGCGGCCACAAAAGGGTGAGGCGGGGGCAAAGTGTGCATAGTATTGTGCCTACTTCTATCCAGTCGTTTGCTTGCCTTTGTGCCGTACGATAAGCTTTCTCAACGGAATCATCGAGCTCATTAATTTAGTAGACCATGCCTTTTACATCAAGAGATTATGCTCTTATGCATTACTATTACGGCTATGCCAGAGGAAACGCTTCGGAAGCTGCCAGGTTATACAGCGAACAAGTACAAAACTCGAAAACTATAAATAATCGCAGAACATACATGGGGGTGTTTCGGATGCTCCAAGGGGTGTTCTATCTTGGGACTTCCGCTTGACACTATTTCTTGGGACACCCTGTATATTATCGATATTTCTTATTTTCTTTACACCAGTGTCATCTGTGGCAATAACTTCACTCTATAAAAGGTCATCACTAGTACTCTATGGTTTGAGATCGGCCATATTTGTTTTTGACTCTGCCAAGTTAGAAAAAAATACACTATAATTTCCGTACTGATATATACTGATGATATTATTAAAATTTGAATTAACTAAAAATAATTAAAATCTATTTAGATTAAAGAAACACGAGCGGCTTACGAACCGCTCCGGGATGCTAGACCAATTGAGCTATAGTGTCGTCAAATTTATCCAATCGACTGATAGACGCACCTATCGCGCATTATATTATCACTTACCTCGATTATCTTGTCCTTAGCGAGTCTAGCTCTTATTGGAATTTTAGTCCCTCTCCACATGTATAACTCTTCACCTCCGTCCAATATATATACTCCATCATCGGAGAGATCCTGACACAAGTATTATTATTATTATTTTATGATACAGGGGGAAGCATCAGCGTGAGGTTCACTAGATGGTCCGTGAAAACATGTGACACCTAAGCAAGATGCGCGGTCGACCTGTTTTGCTTTCGGATAGTTGGAAATCTGGTAACTGAAGCCGAAGTGAAGCTCTTTTCGATATTCCTCCGCTAATTTTAAACAGGTTGGAAGAAAATCGAAATTTTATACGAGTTGTGAATCATCTTCTACGGATGAAAAAGTAGTTACATACAGTTTCCGTTTATAGTTAGTATAGGTATTTTGGTCATCAAAAATCTGCATTTGCAAACCTCATTCTCATCTTTACCTATAGCTGTTGCTATGACGTCAGTCCCGGCCCTGTCGTTTTTGCAAATTCATCTTAAAAGATATCGTGTGAAGGACGTTTTTTTTGTTCAAGAGAGAAAACAAGAGCATGAGAAATCACTCTTTGATACATATTTTTTGGGAATGTTTAATCGTTTTCTCAGCGCACACAACGGAAAACGTTAAAGATAAGTATTTTTCTACGTTTATTCAACATTTCCCACTGTTTCTTAGTAACTCCTATTGGTTACATACTGGCTCCTATTAGTCGCATCGCTATAAAATAGCCATCCATCACAAATAATTTTTCAATTCGAACCAGTAGGTAGTTCCTGATATTAGCGCATTCAAACAAACTCTTCAGCTTTATAATATATTAGTATAGGTAATTAAAACTTAGAATAATTATAATGGTTCGCGTGGAATAGTGACTAGTGGAATAGGGGTGGAATTTTCAATTATTTAGGCTGTTTATTAATTTATGTAATCGCGCATTTATCGTAGCCAATCTATGTTGTAAGACGTGCTACTTTGCCGCAACACTCTCCCCTCACATCACTCCTACTCTAACTCCCACTCTCACTCCTACTCCCACGCCCACTCCCACTTCTATTCCCAAAAAGCCTAAAAAGAAAGTTTCATTGTTCTAGCTTCAAAAATCACGAATTTCCATACGAACTTCCCCCCCCACCCCACCCTTTTAACCCTTTACAACCCCCTTTTCGCAATAAAAACATCTGTGTACCAAATTTCATTCAAATCCGTTCAGTAGTTTTGGCGTGAAAGAGTAACAGACAGACAGAGTTACTTCCGCATTTATAATATTAGTAAGGATTGTAAGAATGGTAAGTGCTTACCATTTGTGAAAAGTTCGGCGGCAACTCTTCCAAGTTAATTTTTCCTTGAACTGTTACATTCACAGCTGTAAGAGATATCGGTGTTGCGATACGGCGATTAAGAGCTAATTGCCATCCGGATTTGGACTCTACCGCTTCTGGGGCACCACCTGTGAAGTTGTGGTAATAACAGAGCCAAAACATTTTCAAACTTACTAGCTGTTACACACGACGTTGTCCGCGTCCCGTCGTTCCTGCGAGTTGTTCCTAATGGACATATACCGTCGTGCATTTTTTTAAGATTATTAAAAGAACAATTTTTTACATATATTTTTTTGTTATCTTGAACAGTTTTCGCAACGCACGCAACAGAAATCCTCGGATATGCTTAATTTTCCGCGTTTTCTCCTTGCTGCTGTTGGTCGAATCGTGATGTTAGATAGCCTAAAGTCTGAGATTAACGCATTCAAACAAACATACTCTTTAGCTATATACTATTGTATAGATATAGCATATCCTATAATTTAATCACGCTTCACTTAAATTTAAATAAATTTTGATTGTCTCAAAAGGCGTATTATTGTCTGAACGATTTATTCAAAGACAAGACCGCCTGGTAGTTATATGAATTGCTAGTTTAATTTAAGACATGTAAAAAAAAGCCGGACTGAGTTTTCTTCTCAGTTATGTTGCTCTTTTGGACACTCTGTAGAATTACGACGAACAGACAGACAAACAAAAAAAAATTGACGAATCTAAACAATTTTTAAAATTTTAAAGACAATAAAAATATTTTTTTTATCTTTAGACAAATTTTTGAGTCCGTTGGTTACTGGTATTCAAACTTTTTCATGTCATAATAGTTACCTAAAGCTTCCCAGAATTCCTCTGGCTCTTCACCTTGTTCCACTGCTGTTACTTCGGACTGGTCTCCGACGACTTGCTTTGTGAACTCCAAAGCCACTTCCTGTTCTTTGTCGTTCGATTCCTGGATAATGCAATAGCTATTGGTCTAATTGCAATTTTGTATTACTTTTTAGTTATTTGTAAATTTATAACTGTAAGGTTTAAATGTCATGTCAAGAGTTGCCGCGAGAGATATTCTTGAGGATAACTATTTATATTTATAAAGATTGTAATAATCAGTCATTTTAGGAATTTTAGTCTCGATGCGCTTATTATTAATTTACAGTATTTATTTGCGTAACTTTATTTGTATTTCAACATTGTCCGTATATAGTCGCTTTCTCAGTTCTCTCCTTATTGCCAATTAGGAATTATTCCACAAAGAAAACCTAAAATTGCTGAAATAATAGGAAACGAAATATCTTGACATCATGACCATTCATCATCCACCATTAAAACGGACGAGATCTTTGGGAGATATCTCTGTCACCTTTCCGTTCCAAACGTAGACGACAGCTGTCGTTTCCAGAATAAAAACATCATCTTCTTGGAGCGAGTCAGCGTTCTCTGGTACCTGAATTATTCTCATGTCATCTATATCTGCACCTTCTACCTGAAAAATAATTACCTTTAACAAAATGTACAGTACAGTCATTGTTAACATATTAATTGTACTATACATTTCATTTAATTACCAAGAGATGATTAGGTGTGATAGAAGGATTTACCTACAGCTTCTAGAAAAGATGAAATAAGGCTGCTAGAGGCAAAGTGGCCCAATAACAATAAAGCATGACTTTCAATAAGGAGGAAAATAAAAATGCGCAGTTAACTTAGGCCAAAATAAATTTGTACTATTATTTGTGTAAAAAAATATGTTAACGGTTTTCAGTCACTAGCTCTTGTAGATTAACATTTTTAGACTATAAAAATATAAATAAGTCAAGTCGTAAAATTGCAGTTAGGCCACTCTGCTTCTAGCAGCCTCAATTATGGTTTTTATCTGTCCAAAACTCTGGCACCACTCAATAAGGAAGTTTGAATTAATATAAAGACCTTATAACAGTTAAATTAATATGCTGGCTGCAGTTCTCATGCGAACTCAAACGAATTTACTGGTCGTAAGCTATTACTGAAAATACTATCGGTCTAAATTACCAATTGTAACTTTTTGTATAAAACCACTCTGTGTAAATCACTATAAAATCGATCGAAGGGCTGAGTCTTTAATTCAATCAAAACATTCATAACAAAAATATTCCATCTTGGAGTACGCGTGGCGTCCTCTTGCGGTGACGGATTCTGCTTTATAGTGTTGTATAAAGTGAGTTTGGTATAAAGTTGATCTTTATATGCGAGTGTTTATTGTATCATGCTAAGGAATTGGATGCCTCGCATAATACCATGCAATATTATATAGCAGTATAATAAGTTCTTACTCTGAATAATCTTCTTCCATCTTCTTCATAGGAATTATTGAAATTATCAGCTTTATAACCATCATCTTTATTACCGTATAAAACGGCCAGTTTACCTATAAAGCGAATGTATGGTTAACAAAAGCATACAAATAAACAAAAAAAGTGTTCCAAAAATATTGGAAAAGTTTCGTAATATCCCAAAAAATGTCTGATATGTTTTTGAAACATGTTGGACTTCGTCTGGAAATCTGAATAATAAATGGGTGATAAAAATATCGAAAAGTCCGCCTGGGTCCCGAACCACCATCTGTTAGACAAGGACAGACATGTAGTGGGGTTCACTTGATGGTTGGTGAAACACCCCATTTGACATTGTACAAGAAGCACTGTCGACCTTCAGCTTTCGACATTCGGAAATCCACAGACTAAAAACCGAAACTCGATTAACCTTTGTTGGAGGTTATAAGGCAAGCAAACGACTGGATAGAAGTAGGCACAATACTATGCACACTTTGCCCCCGCCTCACCCCTTTGTGGCCGCCCTGTAAACTAACTCAGGTAGTAAATTCTGACACTTGCATCTGGCTGTGCTATTGTTTATTTACAAAAACCAGATGTTTGCCATTTAGCGCTCCCTCAGTAGATTTTAGTTAGTTAACAATCGAATTGTCTACAGAAATAATAAAATGTTTAAAAAGGTTTCAAATCATATTGCTAATTTTAAAAATTAACTTTAAGAATGCAAGGAAAACAATCTCGTTGCCAAATGACTATTTATTACATTTTTAAGCATATCTGCCTTTGAGCCTTTGATACGCTACTTTTGCTAATACCGGACGTATTAGCAAAAGTAGCGTATTACGTAGTCCTTTTTTTTAATGATAATGAAAGCTGAGAGTCTGGCGCAGTTTTTAAACTAACTTATGAGCTACAAAGCTACCTATTAATATTTTAAATTTAAAGTTGAAATTTTAAGACGCAATTCACGGCTCGTAACTTTTTCACTTCGAACCATCATATTTTTAACTTCCGTTAAGGTTACGAAGACAAATGTTTTAATTATTAATGTACAACTCATGCTTGTTAAGCTGTGAAAAAAAAATCTATAAAAAGTCTTATCACCTTTTGTAAATTAGCGTTTTAGTTGTTTAGGTCAAAAATTCTCAAAATTTTAGAAAAAAATTCGTAACTCGAAAACTATGAATAATCGCAGAACATACATGGGTGTGTTTTAATAAATATATATAAATATCCCTGATCCGCCCTCCCTCCCACGAGCCGAAGCTTCCACGCGGAACTATTATAGTAATATTCCAACAACCTTCCTCCTCTATCATATAAAGAAACTTATTCAAATGAATATTTTTTGATTATTAACTATTATATAATATACAAATTAACTAGACTCTTAATAGTTTACCATTCAGTATCTTCACGAAGTGTTTTGTCTCTTTCCCTTGTGGTACTTTTACAGCATTGACGTCTCCCTCTAAATCATCCTCCAATGTTGCTGCTAGCTCCCTGCCTGCTAATTTTGTTTCTGCGCCTGCTCTCTCACCCTAAATTTAAATAAATGAATAGAGTGACTTTTCATTTTAGAGCGTCATCTAGAGACATATTTGTGTCCGTTTTACATACATATACATTTACATATAAAATTAATAACTTCAACACAAGTTAAACATTTGGTTAGAGCAGAATCACGGATAACCGCAGCTGGGCCAAGTCTCGCCTGCGTCGTCAATTTTTTCCATCTGTATAGATTTTAAACCAATTAATGATCGTAGTAACTTACAATCCAACTATAAAGGACGTAAGCATCGCCATTCTTGTCGTATTGATATACAAAAACGTACACTTCACTCTGATAGAGAATGGGAAATTGGGATAATTCCTCTGTTATTTCTTCTGGTTCCTCTTTTGCGACTCTGAAATGAAATTTGATTAGTCAACAGCTGCACCTTTTATGACAGGAAGACAGACAGATAGAGAAGAAGCATAGAGTTCGTGTGAAGGATCTAAACAAGATGCGCTATCGCCCTATTTCGGCGTTGGATAAACGGAAATTCACAGACTGAAACCGGAACGTCTATCTACCTTACAGCTTTTCCATCTGTGGGCGAGAGTCTACAGATACAAAAATGAATGACAATCATTTATAAAGGTATATTGATTTTTTCGCCATCGGCAAGATTCATAACATAAAAAAAGTTAAAAATTAGACAGCGCTTTTGTTTTTGTATGAATAAATGATTTTTTGAGTTAATACGCCTTATATTTTTATTTTGGGAAATAGTTTGTACTACTTAATGGACGCGTAAATTTAATGTAATAGAGCCACCCTGTATATAGTGATCACTACCCTCCAATCTACTCTGCTGTAGTGGATGTTGGTTTTGCTGCAATATATTCGTTAAAATTACCTAAATACAGTTAGATGTCCACTTCCATCATCCGGCATGTAACCACGAGCGGCGGCGCTCTTCCCTATATACTTAGCCACCGTCGCGGCCTCGTCAGCATCGTTCGAGTAATAGCCAGCGTCTGTAAAGGGACACGGTAAATAGACATTTATTATGAAGTGTATACAATAAGAAATCTATGCTCTAAATAAAATTGCTTTAACGCTTTAAAACGCGATATATTTCAGAGTTCTTGCAAAATTGCAATTAATTCTGCATGGACCCGGCCAGTTTCGCCAAATACTAACTGCGACGAAACAGGTGGCGCTGGCGTAGCAGTGTTTTACTTTTACATAAAAGACACCCTCCATAATTAGTCTTCCCGTGACCACGGCTGCTGCAAAGCATCCGAAACGTCGGGCCTTAGTTTAACTAATACAAATAAGTCGTTGAAACTTCTGTACCATGTTTGAAACTATTAGGTATGTATCCCCAGGATTAAAATTTAATATAGCGCTTTTGCCTTGACCTGCCTTTTATCGCCTTGCCCATCAAGGCAACACAATGAAAGTCGATCTAGGTGTTTTGTGTGGTGAGGTGTACCTACCTAATTCTGAGACTCTGGCCCTAACGGATGAAGCAGCTGAAATGGTCTGCCAATTGTGGAAGTACTGCTTGAAGGTGCTGCTTTCCATGCCTTCGGAAAGTACAGTCACGTTCACCTATGTAAAAAAACAAAATCGTATTGATGTCTATGTATACTCAGTCCTTTAGTTTGTATTGTGGAAAAGAAACATTATCTATACCTACTTATATAAAGCTAAAGAGTTTGTTACGATATGTGTGGTTTCTAGAAACTTTCGAACCGAAAATTTGTAAACGTGTTTGTGTTTGAAGAACCTTCAACAGTACTCTATCTTACCCAAGCCGGGTAGTCCTTTACATCAAAATATTTCTGGACCATGTCGTTGTAGTTCCTCTTGATCTCCGCAGCTATCTCCTTACCGACCCAGACAAATACGCCCGCATCAGGAGTATCCAATAGGTAGATTCCCTGTTACAAGTAAATTTGATCAAATTTGAAGAATTTGAGATGATTTTGTAATTTAAATAAAACACTTTAGCGCTATAGAACGCGAAATACATTAATTAAACTCAATAGAATTAATTTTAACTACGGCCCGACGTTCCGGATGCTTTACAGCAGTCATGATCACGGGGTGACTAAAGATGCAGGTTGTCTTAAACTAAAAAATATCGTGGATTCGATCCTCACTAGGTCCAAACATGTTTCTAATCAAATTATTTTTTTTTTTCTGAAACATGTTGGACTAGAATATTCCGAACCTCCAGCTTGTCTAAGCTCCTCTAAGATAAAAAAACATACGTCCGTAACTAGTTGACTCTGTTTGAAGGGTTTCCTCAAGGCATCTAACTCCACTCCGTCATCATACAACACCCTGTATAAATAGACTTCGGCTGCGCTGTCTCTTGTGTAGCCCTGTGAATAAAAGAAACGAGCTTGTAATAATGAGGACAAGTGACAAACATTGTTGTCGTGACTATGATCGCCGTTGGTTTCACTTACAGTTATAGATTCGCTGTCATCATCAACCAGATCATCAATGCTTCCTGATCCTAAAGCTTCGAAGAACTGAGTGAAGTCGGAGTTTGATGAATATTCGTCTAGACAAAGCAATAAATAGGATTAGAAGCAGTAGCGTAGCTAGGCTGACAAGGGCCCCGGTCTATATAAGGGTGACACGGGCGGGGTACGAACCTATATACACGATAAATTTATAAATTACGTAAAACCATCATGTGCAATAGGAGGTAAAAATAGTAAACCATAATCTTATACGTAGTTAAAGCTTAGAAAATATTATTAAGAATGATAAGAATGATGAAGATATTAACAGATGTGAGCGAGACAAGGTTCGGCCGAACAGCCCGAAGAACAATGATATGATGAACGATGGTTTCACGGCCATCGTTCATCATATCATTATACACAATTTATTATTAAAAATATTTAAATAAAACACTTTAACGGTTTAAATCGCGATATATTTTAGTTAAACTTGTTTGAAAATTGTAGCTGTGGTCACGAGGAAACGTCGGGCCGTAGTTAAATAATTTTCTAACAAGTTTAACTAAAATATATCGCGTTTTAAACCGTTAAAGTGTTTTATTTGAATGTGTACTACTAACTAAAACGCGATATATTAGTTAACCGTGACCACGGCTGCTGCAAAGCATCCGAAACGTCGGGCCGAAGTTAAAAATCATTTTCAAATAAGTTTAACTAATATATCGCGTTTTAAACCGTTAAAGTGTTTTATTTAAACATACTTATATTGTTAAAATTACTTTATACTTAGTTTATAAGTTAATAAAATAGAAATAATACCAATAATTTCGATGCTAGCTCGTCCATTGTGCTCTGCATCTCGAAGGTTATTTGCGACGCTTATGATCTTTCGCTTCTGCGTCACCTTAGCCCCTTCAGGCATCAATACGAAAATGTCATGTTCCACTTCAAGGATGAAGCAGTTTTCCTTGGTAAGAGACGATATGTCAGCTGGTACCTGAAACGACATATAACTTTAAAAAAAAACTATTTTTATTATAAACTACCTGTGCCAGCGACTTCGTCCGCATAAAATAGTTATTTTGAGCTGATCAATATTTGTTTTTGCAAACCTTCCCATTTTTATAAATTACAGCTATTACCGACGACGTCGACTGCGTCCCGTCGTTTCGGCGTGTTAGTCTTAGAGGATAGACATATACTGTCGCTATGTTTTATAGCCTGAAGCCTTCCTCGTTAAAAAATAATATTTCAATTCGAACCACTAATTCCTGAGATTAGCGCATTCCAACAAACAAACGCTTCCTCTTTATATATTAGTATAGACGAAAGTAGTTTAGTTATGAGGTGCAAGTACTTTATACAATAAGTAAATTAAAAATCAATTTTGATTGATGAAATTTTACGACACGGTCCGGACAGTGGTTCATTTTTTCAATTTTAATTATACAATATTTTTTTATTTATCATCGCCATCATGTTAAAAATATTAACGTTTTCAAATGCTAAATATAATATTTTATCTTATTGTATGAGTATTAAAAGCAAGTTAAAAGTTGGTACATGGTTAGTACATTCTTCAAAAAGTCTTATGAAATATTAGTGTTTATAGATTGATATGCAAATATAAACAATATCTGGGGTACCTCTTCAATCCTCAAGTTTTCGCAGCCAGACAATTTGAGGAGGCGCTTGTCAGCACCAGCGTTTATTTCGACTTCTTTGAAACCAGACGCATTTCCACCTTCCAAATATCGAAGCGCTGAAAAAACATTTACACTTACATTCCTGAAGGATCTGTCAACGGCACTAACATAAACAAATCATAAAAAACTGTACCAATTTAAAAAAAAAATACTTTGGAGCAGCCGTGGTCACAGGCTGACACAAAAATCATCGAGCCGTACTTAAAATTGATTTTCACTATGTTAACTAATATACAGGGTGTTAATGGAACAGTTTTGAAAACTTATAAGGGCATATATTAGGGGCTAAAAGGTGTAATATGGTGCTATTTATTTTCATTTATTTCAAGATTTTTTTCAAAGTTTAAAATACGAGTATGAAATGTACAGCGTTCAGCCAAGAAGCATTATGACCTACACACCCGCAAAACGTTACGTGAACAGCTGATCAATTTAAGTAGGTTAGGTATTTTTTATTTCATCTTAGCGTATAGTTGTAATATTCGAAAAAAGTATTTAGTATACATTAAATACAACTTCAAATAAATGAGAAAGACAAAACCACCATAGCAAAACCGCAATTAAAACTGCATAACTTAGACGGCCAGCAGACGAGAGGTCCGTACCTTCTCCAGTAAATTCTCAACACCTCTTTTGCATTACCAAAAGTAAACCTAAATAAATTAACATTAATGAGATACTCACGTGCTGGTTACAAATTCGACGCAAGCATTTTAAATAAAACTAACACACCACGAAATATCACAAATTAAATAAGCACAAAAAAGAAACCAACTTAAAAGTAAATAAAAACGATTTAGAGAAATGAAAGAACAAAACTAACTAAGACACTAAAAAACGAGATAATTACGAGTTCCTAAAATTAGCAGGAACGTGATGACGCAAGAAATGTTTACAGGCAACTAAACAACATTTGAAAAGTAGTAGAATAGGTATAGGTATGTACCTCAATACACTCGAATATCGGTAAACTATAATATCGATAAACCACTATTTATTTTTCCGATAAATTTATTTGTTCCATGTACATACTTCTTATTAAAATAAAACACTTATAACGGTTTAAACGTGAAATATATTCGTTAATTTGAAGTTACAATTTATTTAACAACAAGCCCTTCTTTCATAAACCACGGTTACTGCAAGCACCTAAAACGACCGTATTCATACCTAAATAAATTGTAAATAAGTTAATCTTTATCATTTTAAACTTAACATCAACAACCCCTAAATGAACATTAAATACAGACATTACTTACTTCTTATTTTATCTTCAATTATTAATTTATAAGGAATAATTTTAAGCCTTTCTTTAATGAGTTGTAAAAACATAGAACCTATCTTATTAAACTGTACATCTGTTTTTTTATCGACACTTTATAAAAACAAAACGGCAACACTACGACTCGTTTGATATTAGCCGCCGTACGCGCCGAAAAGCTAGCTCGGTAAATTCCGACAAAGAGTGTCTAGTCCACGCCCCCTCACCTGATATAGTCGAAAAGCGTGTCGGCATTATTTTTAATATTGTATTATTTTTAGTTGCGAATATTAACTTGACCTTGATGCACGTCGTCACGCGTCTTAAGGGTTTACGTATGTTTAAGTGATTGATTGTAAATTCTACAGATGAGTTATTCTTAGGTGGATGTGTAGTGTCTAATAGTTAATAATTATTGCAAGTGTATAACGATACATACATACGAGTCCGGTACATTTTGCTGTGATCACGACATCAGTTATTCAGTATTCCATATCTTTATCTTTCACGTAAGTAAATAGTTTTAACATAATAATATGATCTAAATGTAAGTTTTGTTAAGTTTTTGTTTGTTTGTTAAGTTGCTTATTTATTTGCTGTATTTTACGTTATTCTACGTATGACATGTAGGTTTTGTTTTTTTTTTCGTCTTGAGTACTTTGAACAAACGCAAAACAATTTGTATCAGTGTCCACTTTTTACCACAAGATAGGTACAATAAACGTAAAAACGATTCATCTATTAATACGATTATTTACAAAACGTATTGCAATATGCTTCAGGGCTGTACGCTGTACATTTTATACTCGTATTAAAAACTTTGAAAAAAATCTGGAAATAAATGAAAATGAATAGCACCATAAAACACCTTTTAGCCCCTAATATATGGCCTCATAGGGTTTCAGAACTGTTCTATTTACACCCTGTACATATATATCGTTTTAAACCGTTAAAAGTGTTTTATTTAACTGTGTAATTACATGCGTAAACTACAGATAATAAGTACAAGCACATCGACTTTATTTTAATTTTCAGAAGAGAAATATATATAATAAAAGATTATTCGTTATTATTAAATGATAATAATAATAATCATTATTTTATTATATATTTGGGCGTCTTTTATTAAGGCAATAATCTCTTCAAATTAAATTTAATATTTTTATATTTTTACATTTATTCTTTTCCAGCATTTTAATAAAAATAATAATAAAATTATTTAGTGCACAAACATGGACACATTAAATATACAAAAAAAAACATGTTCGTGCAAAGGCGGCCAATTGCCCCTATGGCGATTTCTTCCAGGCAACCGTTGCATGTAGAAATAAAAAAAGAAAATTACAGTCAAGAAGTAAATGTCGGGAAGATGTCGATGTAGGGAAGCATTAGAAGGTCTACTAATTTTACTTAGTGAATACTAAATAAAGAGATTTATTAATATTAATAACGACTAAAATTTTGTAATATAAGCCAGATCTTTATATCGCTTACTTTATTAGGTATACAACTAGTATTTATTACAAACCAATAACAATGTGGTGGACAGCTATTAAATAAATAACTTACCAGGTTTAAAATAACCAACAAAAAGACTCGACTCGTGTCCCTGAACCTCCCTATGCTGTACTGCTCTTCCTCCGAGCTGGTCATCCAAGGTCACTGTTAAGATGGCAGCAGCCCCGCGCTCATCTTGACTTGATTGGCTTCCAAGCCAGAAATGCACGTCGTAGGAGAGGGTCGATGTGTCATCGCCGGACGTCTGGATATAAACAAAAAAATTAGAAACACCATATTTATAAATGGAAATGTATATAACAGTAAAAATATTTTAAACAAGATCAAGACACCATAATTTGTTGCTCATAAACAAGGGCGGATCCAGCTTTGGCGCCATGAGGAGGTGACATGGAACTTTTTATTAATATATAACGTACAGTACGTTTACGTAGGTACTTTAATAAATTTTAAATATATTTATTCTTTATTGTACACACGAAGAAGCTAACACAATGACTTGTAAATAAAATCAACCAACTAAGTCCTGGAACCAGCTCAGAATGGGATGACCCCGTGACCCCCCGAGTGTCTACAGCCAACTTGTGCCGATATTATATTGCTTGGATATTTCACCTACCATCGAGTGAACCCACGTCTTGTCTGTGCTCCTCTATTAAAAAAAATACCTTTAAGACTATATACGCGTCGCCAGTGTAGAACTTTCCATGCATTCCCGGCTCAACAGCCACAGGTTCAAAATTCTAAAATAAGTCAACAGTTCATTTATTTATCAGTTAAAGTTTTATTTTAATTGGTTGCTAAATTTTTCGCAGAAATTAGACTTTTTTGAGATAAAATGGAGGTAGTTTTTGTGTAGAGTATACCAGAACCCTAGTTACAAGTGCACAGGGCTGGATTTAGGGAGGGTAAAGAAGGCGTACGCCCCAAGGCCAGCACAATCAACATTTTACAACACTATTAGAAAAAAAATTGTCTATTTCTTTCAAAATACATTTTTGTTTAATAAAATAAGTCTACTGAGAAAAATTGTTTCCTTTGTTTGAAAAGTATTTTGGTGCCCGGGGGCCTCCACGATCGCACCGAGCCCACAACTGCACGCACGGCCAACGGCCAGAATGCATGTTCTTATTCTGGATTAGACTTTATATTTAAAACTTTTTTATTGATTAAGAGCGCAAACACATCAATAGGGTGTACATGATATATGTACAAGGTATAATAAGCATACATTGTAAACAAAATCGATAAGCAATAAGTATGATTATTATCAAAAAAATATATGGTTAATTACTTTATCATTATTATAAATCTGAATGTGCACTTAATTAATATTAATTTATAAAGTCTTGGGTATACATCAGAATAGCATTCGGAAAGGCTATCGTTCAAAAAAATTACAAAAACCGTTTTTAGGGTAATAAAATTTAGTCAAAGTACTTTGTATATATAGCGCATTACTTATTAAATACTGTCTATACTTATTAGTTTGAAGATGACAGTTTATACAACTTACATCAATGGTCCATATTTCCAAACCAGGACCTGCGCCGGCGTCAGCGAATGCCGGGTGTTCCATTTTTTAATATGATGATATTTTGTTTCCAAAACAAAAATTGCTTACCAGATTACTTTTGTAATACAAAATATATAGACTATATATTTTGAAAATACAGTATAACTGGGTGTTGCACGAACAAAAACAAGTTAAATACTGAGTCGGTGCAGTGATACATCAAGATAACAAAATCAATAGATACCTTATCTGTAATTGTTTTTACGAGGCGTCCTTTAATTTTCCTTAATAATTTAGAATGAAGTAAAACAATTTTCATCGAAGTAAAATCTTCAGCGTTATATTGGAGCAAAAAATTTAGGTTTTTAAATTTTAAGAAGGCGTTCTAAGCACATTTCAGCTATTCCAAAATTCTATTACTTTGTGTAAAGTTTAAGGAAAACCGTTTATTTCGTTTTTATCTTTTTTTATTGTATTTTGTTATCAAAAATTGTGTTGCTCCTTGCAAAGATATATTGCCTGTAAGATAGCGGTTGTGGTACGAAGTAAAAATATTATTAAAATCAAAATATCCTTCTTCTGTTATATTGATAACAGAAGAAGGATATTTTGCGCACAACGCATAGGCAGTAAAGGCATTGGCCTTTACTGCCTATGCGTTGTGCGCGTGTGCGCCGTGGACTCCATTCGATCTAACCATTTTGTCGCCTGTGGAAAAATCTTTCAAAATGGTCTGCCTCATATTTATGATGTTTCTGTTTCACAAGATATACTTAAACACCCTGTACACCTCGGTATCGAGTTATTGCCGTCAAAAATAAAACACAATAAAACAATAAAAGCGTTTAATGTAACTGAACGTTCAAAAAACAATATGGCGGCTGTTTGCACGCATGACACGACAGAGATCAAATAGCGAGGAAAATTATAGCGTACGATATGGCAACACAGTGACAGTCCGCGAACCCCTAGCACGAGTCGTAGATATAATTATTATTTGATAAATTAACTTTAATTTTTTACCTTTTTGAATAAAATCTGCAGTAGCGGCGCTAGAGCAAGCGTGGCCATCGGTGTCGGCGTCGGCGAAGTTAGCGTTCGTGAGGCCTACTTTTTCCCGTTTCCGTTTTAGAAGCAATAAAAATATCTAAACAATACAGGAATTCCCCGTTTCGCGGGCAAGTAGTTTAATTTTCAGTGTTGTCAGACGATTCTGGAAATGTCCTTGAAGCTTACATAAATATAAATTAAAAATATAAAATAAATTATTAAATGTATAATAACTTTGCGATGCTCCATCAAGCGTGAGGCCATGCCGCCACTGATAATCTGATTCAGTTTTCAAATACGTCTCAATAAAAAGTAATCAATATTTAAAGAAATCTTTTCTCATTCAAATGTTGATACAATCCTCAGCCATTGAGGCGCCGATCTTATTTCATGAAGTAAATAATAATTTTCTAGTCTATTTACAACTTAGAACATACTCGTGCTAGGACTTTTCCACAGCAAAAACATAATTTTAATACGCTGTATCATTTTACCTTTTACATTATAATAAATTGATTGATTCATTAATACTACTATTAATAACCCGAGTTCACCTTTTTGTGATATTGTACATAAGTTTAAACGTACCTAAGGATTAGAACAATTGTTATTATATTTAAAAAAAGTAACTTAGGTTTTGGCTCTGTGCAAAAAGCAAGTTTTGAACAAACAGTAAAAGTTAGAGTCGTATTTTATTTAAATCTTTTTCTTACCAAATGTCTGGGTTATTAATAGTTATATTATAAAAAAATCTTGACTAGTCTAAAAAATGTTCACTGAAAAAAAAAATACAACAGAAATTTTCACGGTTATACCGCGCAAAAACTGCTTACTTACAGTTTGTGGCTAGCAACATTTGTTCAGCGTGTAAAAATGACGCGCCACACATATAAAACCGTTACTCCGATACTAACGTGAACTGGATTGATCAATAGAAGTTATGAACATATATTTTGTTGCCTTAACACTGAACAAATGTCATTCGCCAATAATTTAGCACCTCATAAAAAAATTTAAGCCTAACATAAATTCTTAAAGATCCAAACACTATAGAAAATTAACGGCAAAATAAAACAACATTGTCACCTTAATAAAATTGCTAGCTTTCACCGCATTGCTTTCGCCAAAAAATTTGCCCAAATCTACAATAGTTGCGAAAATGGCAACACCTTAAGATATTACTACAAAGAGATTTTTATTAGAATACTTAGTATTTTTAAAACACTTACCAGTAAAATTTTGTACTCAAAATCGGCCGATTCATAATTTTTCACGGTTCGAGCACAGATTAAAAATGTGTAGGTATATACTACCCACAATTTTTATATATACAAACATGTTCTAAATTGTCCTTTCTTAATTCGTTATATAAACCCATAAAAGGCAAGAAATAAATAACGAAAATGCAATATGGCCTCCATCTTTTGAGAATTCCTTACGACACTAAAGTAACAGAACAAAGCTAAATTATCATTATCTTTTTGCCAACGTTTTAAACGTATTTACACATTTTTAATCTGTGAAGAATCATACCTAACTTACATCACATCCAATCACAGATAGAAACCCTGGCACCTGTTTTGTCGTTGACGGTAGAAGTGAAATTACAATATACAGGCTGTTACTTAAGTGAGAGAATTCAATTAGAAAGCAGCCCATATGAATTTCATTTCCCTTATACCTCAAAGACCGTCCCGTCCCGCCATTAATTCCAAAAACACCAAATTGTCTCCTATCTAACTATCGTCTAGTTATTATATCTACAAGCTTTTCTAATATTTAAGATAAGATACTAAATGTTTTGCTATATAATGAGTAAATAAACATTTATATAGGGGTGTATGTAAGGTTAGAATTACTTAGCATAAACATTTGCGTTTACCTATATTACAAGCAAAACATTTAGTAACAAACAGAAAAATCTTGCAACCTGACCCAAATGTGAAGACTTTTCATCTACTAAAGTCGATATCACTAAAACCACCCTCAAATATCCAGTATTTCGACGTACACTACAAAAAGTTTTTGAAAACATCGCTCGATAAAGCTGTGTATTGATAACAAAAAATAATTAATTAATGATATAATTAGATCGAAAATGATGTCCACGATGTGTTTTTATCAACCGCTAGTGGACAAAGGACCTAGTCTAATTAGGGGAGTAAAAAAATGTTACTAAGCAGCATTTGTTACAAATACAGTTTTCTTTAAATATGTATAGAGACAGAATGACTAATATAAATACTTTGAAAACATTAATATTTTTCACATGTTATCGCACATGAAGGCACTATATAATTTAAAGATCGAAAATAAATTGAAAAAGTTTTCGACTCGGGCAGGACTAATATAAATACTTTCTACCCATTGAATAGGTATAATCTCCCAAGATCTAGGTCCATCGTTGATCCTAGACTGTAAATCAAAGACCACGCCAATTTACACTAGATTGTATGCTCCAGTTAGGTTCTCATGATCTAGGATCAATACAGTGAGAATTTCTGTACTATAACAATGATGCTATATAAAAACACACCTGAATAAAAAAGTTCTTATACTTATTGTGGCGTTCGTTGCTTTGTTGTGTCCTTTAAGTCCTCAATGTGGCTCATTTTAATGTGTCGCCTAAAAACAATTATTATCACATAATAAAAATTAATAATTTCTACTCTAATCCATATGTGTTAACGTCGAAATACAATTGCGCCATAGCTGTAAATTAAAAAGAGTATGGTCCCTTACTTGGCACATAGGGATTTATTTCTATATCTGTCTTACTAATCTGCGCTCTTCCAGGCCATACCAACTAACAACTGTTTGTCAGAAATTAGAATACACATCCTTCGATAAGTGACCTAGCTACCTAACTTTTTTTTATTATATGACAGAACAGTAAGAAATACTCCAGACATATAAAATCAAATATTTCCAGATGAAGTCTGACATGTTTAAAAAAAAAAAAATATTATGGAGGGATTAACCTCATGATCATAAGAATAACATTTATTACCTTAATCCTCGCTCCCCTTTGCACATCAAATTGCACATGTGACAGGCCCTTGGACCATTCTTATCTGTTAAAGACAATTCAGACGTGTCCGAGTTGTCTACGCTTTGCGAATCTGTTGTCTCTGGTTTTGGTTCTGATCTCTGGGATTTCTTCTCTTTGAGTGACGGCGGTGGCGATTTGATTTTGTATTTGAGATCTATAAAGACGTAAATGATAAAAAATGTATTTGCACAACATTATGTACTGCAGTGTGATCCTGGGTTAAAATCAGAAAACTCAAATAACAAGATCTCAGAATACACTTACTTATTTACCAATTAATCAATACCAGTGGTTCTTGGTGGTGGGACTTTTTTTAGACCATTTAATGAATCCATACATATTTTTTGGGTATCTTATAACGTTTTCGCAATGTACGCATGAAAACCCACAAAGATGAAAAATTTCCCCGTTGTTTCTTCCTCAATATGTGCTCTAACCAACACAAAAAGATTGTTCAATTGGAACGTTGGAGCGTGTTCAAACAAAGAAACAAACTCTTCAGCGTTATATATTAGTAGAAATTTACTTGCCATTCACAGAACAAAGAAATGGACAAGTTGCTGTCCCCTTACCCCAAAAAGGGAATATTGACTGACAATTATCATGAGTAACTTACCACTGGTAATGATAACAATATTTGGCACACCCATAACACAGTCAGGTTTGTTTGGTGATGAGCTCCGTCTTACATCCATATCAGTGACTCGACTGAGCGGTACAGCCTCATCACTTGAACCATCAGATTGTTTTGATTGCTTCTGTTGTTTCTTGATGCGCTTCCTGAACCTACAATATGAAGGTACTTCTTTAAATTCAACATATCTTAAACCCGATTGATAAAATGGAAAATTATTTTGCATATACTCTAAAATGTTAAATACTCTGAAAAAATTCATGTATTTGATTGTGTTATTTACCTAGTAAAGGTCTAAAGTTAGGATTAACAATTGTTCCGGCTAAAACATCTACTTTCAAAGATACTGTGATGTAAATAATAAACCTAAACCAAATTTAGACTACCTAACTCGAACTTAGGCCGTAAATTAATATAAATAGGAAATTATAACGCATAAATACGACTGTTAGTGGTAATAGACAGTCTTTGATAATATTTCAGGCCAATACCTTTTCTTGGGCCTTTTATACTGTTTTGCCTTAACTCGCTCTTCATTGTTGTTAATGTTTATATATTTCTCGCAAGCAACAGTTCCATGCACCAAACTCTCTAATTCGGTACTACTAGATATGGATGTCTTATCGCAGGCAAATAGGTCAGTTTCATTGCTCAAATCATTGCTGTCCAGATCACTGAAGAGGATAAATATATTTTTTACATTTGGATAATTTGCTCACACATGTTTCCAAACATTTCAAAACAAATGTTGAGGTAATGCAGTAAGTTGCTAAATAGGAGAGATTCTGGGTCCAAATCATGATAAATATAAGAGTTGATTTTGGCAAGGCACTCTGGTTGAATATTACATAGTAAAAATATTTTTCAAACATGTTGTTTAACTATAAACAAGTCTCTTAGTTTTATTTTGTTCACTCTCATTATAACAAATTACCTTTCTTCTGACAGTTCACTCTGCACAGGATTCTCCAATTTTTTTACTTGAAATGTAATATTTATCCGTTTGTATATTTCCTCTGTGATATTTCTACATTTCTCATACTTGGAGTCCAAGGACTCACTCTTTATCTTGGTCCAATCGGTTTGGCTGTGCAGCATGGACATTATTTACAAATTGCAACGAGATTCCTATTGGAAACCGCACTTTATCGTAAACATCGTAAAGGGAAAATTATATCGCAAGTTGTCTTCGATTTTTCCAATTTTTCTCCACAAAATGGCGGGATAATTGTCATACAGGAATAAAACTAAAGCGTGTCTAATCATAGAATATGTTTTTCGCGTATCGAATGCATTTGCACGATAAAAATATTTACGCAAAACACAGCAAACAAAACAAAGAATAACACCAATATTTTATGGCACTAAAGCTATTTACACTGCAACGTGAGTTCCATTTTGTTTCTGCTGTTTAAATTTAAGACTAGATTCAGCGAATTGTACTATACAACAGTTTCTAAATAATAAGATAACAAATCTTTAAGAAATCAAAACGAAACGCACAGCCGCGCGGCGCACCGCGCCTTTTCAGTTTTTATATTTTTTTGACGTTTTCAATTTAATGTTGCTCTTTCTTGACACTAATTGCTCGAAATAAATTAAAGTGTAATTTCCTACCATAAACATCACGAGTTGCTTTTTATTTCCCTTCTATTTTTAGAACGCACGTCACTGAAGGCCACTCTAAGAATCGATTAATAACTCGATTACATATTATATTTGAAAATAAAATTGTGTTACTAAGACTTTCTAGGTTGATTATCATTTACAAAAAAAAATGCTGCAACTTATTCTTTTAAGAATTGCAATGGACATAAAAAGTAAAAAAATAATTAAAAACACAATTCAGAACTTAATAGAACAGAAAGTAAAAACACACTAAAAACGTTTTTTTATCACATCGAACATTAGCTTAGTAACTGTTATTTTGTACCTAAGAATTGGGTATAAGAATTTAAAAATACAACTGATAAAATTACCAAGTGCTAAAAATCTATGACTATCGATTATTATGGGTGATGAAATGACAGTAAGTTTTAGGACATCTCTAGTAGTATAGAGCATAGACCATAATGTAAACTAGAGAATATATAATCAAAATCGTTTTTCCCGCTATTTATTATGAAATGTCAAATGTTTGTCAAACTATATCATACCTAAATCGAGATGCGAATTGTAAATGAAAATATATAAAACCGTGTTTTAAAAGTGAAATGCACCACATAATACACAGTAATAATACATGTTTATAGTAATGCATGTTTAATAAAACAGAGAATGGCTTTCAAAAGTTGCTTGAATAACAAACAACTTGCTCGGGTAGCGACTAAAGGTGCTACTTGTAGTTTTTGTGGCCGAGATGTTGATGATGAACACCTGTATGGGAAATTATACGCTATAGGGGATATACAATGTCACTATTTTTGCGCAGTAAGTACATTATGTAATGAGCTTGTTCTGGGTCCTAATTAAAAAGTATCGACTGAGCCGGCTTTATTTCTACGAGCCGAGTGTATAAACTAACTAATCTGAAGGACACTAGTTAATGTCAATACGTTTGTACTTTATTGTTATATTGATTGTTTTAACAAACATATAGGTTCTTTTCTCTGCCCGACTGAATCGAACCTTGAATGCAAAGTGGTTGCCCGACTCAGGAATAATGCTGCTCTTGCAGGAGCTTTAAAAATATCCCCGCTTTAATATGAAACCTATCTGATATAATTGCCAAATGCCTCTAAACATTATTTAATTGTGTTACAGCTATTATCTAGTTGTTTAGTACAACATGGCAAGGAAGAAGAAGGCTTATTTGGTTTTCTGTACTCAGACATATTGGCAGAAATTGAAAGAAGTAAGAAACACGTAAGTTGATAAATGAAGTGTTAAAAAATCCTGTAAGTGGAGTATGGAGTGAAAACCTTTGGTATCCTAAAAGATCATAATCTTTCGTCTTTCCAACCTGAGCACTAATAATGTATCCTCGGGGCTTAAATTCATCCATCATTTTATATGAAAACTAAATTAAAGTTTGGTAGATGATCATTAAAAGTTAATACACATAATCCAAATTAATTTACAAAATATGTGAACATTTCAGAGGTGTTCCTATTGCAATCACAGTGGTGCAACTCTGGGATGTTTTGTGACGAAGTGTAAAAAGCAATTCCATTTGCCCTGTGGAAGGGAGAAGAATGCGGTGTCTATGTTCCATGGAAATTATAAGTAAGTTCTCATTGCACATACCTACTATACTCTTGGTGCATACTCATGTCATGCGTACCTCAGGTAGAGCCGAACGCCTCATTAGACTTTATTGTTAGAAAAAAAAATTATACTTAAGATTCTTAGTCAACTAAACATGGATCCTGGTTGTAACAGTAGCAATGTATGGCTAATTATCAATGTGGTGTGGGTTTGATTAACACTGGCTCCAATATCTTTCTAATCAACTTATTATTTTCCGAAATATGCTGGACTATGTCTGGAAATCTAGATATTAAATGAATGGTAGGAATATTGAAATTCCGTTTGTGTTATGAAATCGTGGTGGGATTTGGTTTCAGTCTGTATTTCTGAATATCCTAAGCCAAAATAAGTTGACAGCTCTTCTTGTTTAAATGTTATGTTGCTGTGGTAATTTATCTACCAGTATTGTGTTAGTTATATTAATTATTGTTTTTGTCAAGGTAAACTTTTCTTTTTAACTTATCAAAGAACATTATTCTAAAGAACGCATTATACATTAAATGCAGAATCAAAAAATGTGATGATTCAATCTTTTGCATTATATGTCATCGTTTCTCACTATTTTTCTCTTTGAATCTGTATGAGATAATAAAGTATTAAATGTTTATATCTTTACCATCTATTTAAAATCCATGTTTTTAAATTATTTCAGATCTTATTGTCAGCGGCACGCGCCAAAGCAGAAAATTTCCGGTGAAATATTGGATTGTGTCAAAAAGCGAAGACAAAAACTGGGACCTAATCCAGCAAATGCTACTTTAAGTAATGAAGGTGAGTTCAAGTTACTGCGCATGATGGCACTATTTAATTTAAAAATCAAAGATAAATTGAATAAATGTTCGTTTCGAGCTGGACTTAACCGGCATCGTCAGCGTCAGAACGGTGGCGATGATGGTCACCATTTTATAAACATGTATAATACATTTTTTACTTCATAGGTAATCATATAAATATTTTATATATTTTGATATAAGATAGTATGATGTAAGCAAATAGGTCCTATCAGTGTATGTGTTGAGATCTACTATCGAACCCCTTTTATTTTTTGATGTAGATCCCTAGAGGTTGATATAGACTACTTTGGGAATAGTGATTCACTAAGCTAATACTTCGTCTTAAATATCTTTAAAAAAATGTTTTTTTAGCTCAAGAGATGGTGTGCGTAATTTGCTATGAAGCAGTGGACGCGTTCCCAACGATTAATACCTTTTGGCCGCCGTGCTGCGCAAGAGACGCTTGGCTGCATAGATCGTGTTTACAAGTATAATAATTATTTCTCTATATAGATTAAAAACTCTTAATTATAGCTAGATAAAAATAATAATTTATTATTAACATAGTTCCATCAAAATGCGTCTAATCTATTTTACTCTTAAGCAAAAAAATCTGTTTTAAATAAAAAAACTTTTAACGGTTTAAAACGCGAGATGTGTTAGTTAAACTTTTAACAAAATATTTTACGGTCCGACGTTTTTCCTTTCATCAGGGTCACTTACGTCTCGCCGTGATCCCGGCTGCTGCAAATCATCCGAAACGTCGAGTCGTAGTTAAAATAATTTATAAGTTTAACTAATACATTTCGTGTTTTATACCGTTAAAAGTGTTTTATTATTAAATTGCATGGCATAAGCATAAATGTAATTACATGTACATTATAAGTGTATACATGTATTTATAATGTACATGTCATGTATAAATATATATAAATGTAATTACATGTACATGTAAGTAATCTATTTTTTATAGCGTATGGCATTAAATGCAGGCGTTCACTACTTAAAATGTCCACTGTGTAACGACAAAGAGCAATTCTATGATGCACTTCTCTCGCAGGGCTTTTATATACCAGATAGGTAAGTGGTCAAAAGTACATTGTGATACAAGTATATAAAAATATTTCTTCCGAAGATGTGAATCTGTGATTCCATTTACAAGTCTTGGGTTTGAATCATCCAAAACATTTTAGGTGAGCATGGCCATGGTTATATAATTTCCAAATAAGTTTAAAGTATATTAATCGCGTTTTATACCATTAAAGTCTTTTATTTAAAACAAGTTTTTTTTACGTTTTTCAATGTTATGGACCAGTTTATCAATGTTATCATAATGTTGGTTCGAGTCCTAGTCGTAATTTTTTTGAATTTATAAACGATTCTGAATTTAAAAAAAACGTATATCATTGTCTTTCGGCCTGTTCGGCCGATGTGAGCGAGAAGAGGTTCTCCACGTTTCGCCGTCACGTGTGGACGGCATCCACAGGAGATCTTAACTCTTCGATTGCTCGAAAAATTATATATATAATTATAACAGCCCGAAAGACGATGCTGAACGATGACCGTGAAAGCCTTACACAATTTATTAAAAAAAAAGTACATACGAAAAGTTTTTAATCATGTTTTAATTCTACAGAGACGCTGCGTGGGAGTTGGAACAGAACGCGTTCGCTGAAATATACGAACGGCGCGTTGTGTGCAACATTAAAGAATGCAAATGCCCTAGCGGAATAGATTACGATGTGGAGGAAGGGTGAATATTATTTTTAAAATAATACGAGCTGTGCCTGCTACTTCGTCCGCGTAGAATATTTATTTTGGGCATCACAATTTATTATTGTAAACTTCATCTTTATAAATCATATTTGTTTCCAATGATGTCAGTCGTGTCCCGTTGTTTTTGCAAGTTATGTGGTTACCCATTAAGATGAATAATTTTCCCTGTTTTTTCCACATTTTCCCACTGTCTTTTCGCTCCTATTCGTCGCAGCGTCATATCTTATAGCTTAAGCCTTCGGCGATAAATGCTCTAACCAACAAAAAACATTTTTTCAATTCGAACCAGAAGTTCCGTAAGATTAGCGCGTTCAAACAAACAAACTGTTCAGCGATATAATATTAATATAAGAAAGTATTTGACAGACCGTGGGACATAAGGCTGTGTCTGCTCTGCGGAAGTGTCGGTGCGCATGTCCTTTGCGCGGAAGTGGACGGAGATATCTATGTCTGCAGTGTCTGTCAGCCGGCTGCGCCGAACGACCCGAAATATTTAGAAGCTATTAATGCGGGTGAGTTATAATTTCATATATCGTCAATAAGTACATGTGTCCATATAATAAATAAAGTTGAAAAAGTTCAACGATGACATGTAGGACTCGGTAGCTCAATGGTTTAGAGCAATAGCACGGAACGTGGTGGATGCCGGTTCAATATCGCCCCTGTCGTATTTTTTTTCAATACAAATATATTTTTTTAATTTGTATAATGCCATCATGTGAAAAGACTAGTTTCCAAACATCGTTTTATTAAATAAAACAATGATATAATCATCCCAAACATCGGATCCTCATTGAAATAAAACTAAAAATCGATTTTGATTGAAAAACATTGCGCTAACTTTAACCTTGAACCGGCGTCCACGACCACGACCACGACCTTCCGAGTTCTACACCTCATCGTCAAATTTCTTCAACTTATTGATACATGCACCTGTCGCATAATCTAATTTCAACCTTAATACTTGCATAAAATAAACTTAATACATATACTCCTTGTTCAGTTAATTAAAAAGCACTTACATATATACAGCAATTAATGAATGTACTTTATTGTTCGCAGTAACTCTCCCAGAACCAAATCCAACCCCGAGACGGCCCAGTGGGCCAATTATGCCCTGCAGAATGTCGATCAGGCGGACGAAACCTAGACTGCATAAGCAAAGTAATACGTAAGTATGTCCCGTGGATGTAACGGTATTTTTCGCTACGGAACGGGACATGTCTGTGAACGTCTCACTGATGAATTTAGCACTCCAAACATAACCTTATAATTTTTAGTCCCTAGCTGACCTTAAAAGAAAAGAAATTTGTAATTTTTTCACTTACCCACCTCGCAACACCCTTCTCTTTATTATTATTATGACTAATTGTTATTAACTAGAACTAGTGCTGGGTACGTCTTATGTTAAATTGAGCATGAGAACACAGCGATGTACGTTCTGATGTGTTGACATATTTTGAATAAGCAATTAAAAATTTATCAAATATGGTTAGATTCTATAATCAATACTTCTTCAACAGTCAAATGATTATAAATAATCTAGTACATTCATTTACTTAAAGGGATCTCCAATTTTAAAGTAATTTTAATGTAAAATTAAACTTGTTTTTAGACCATCAACCTCCTACGCAGCGAACGAAACTATAATGGAGGCTTTTAAAGAAGGTTAGTTCAAATTAAGAATTATTAAATTAATTCACAGTTAATACCTTTATAACATCTCAAAAAGGGGTCAAAAGAATGGTTTTATATAGGAATCTGGATACTGAATGGGTGGCAATATCAAAATTCCGTCTAATCCGTTTGATCGCGTTTCGGTTTCAGTCTGTGGATTTCCGAATATCCGAAGCCACAATGCGACCTATTGTGGCTTCTGATATTCGGAAATTATAGCCCATCTTGTTTGTGTCATGTGGCTAGGGTATTTCAACTTGCATCAAGTGGACCTCGTGCAGAAGATAGAAATCGTAAAAAATATTTTGCGTCCTTCGTCCTACATATTTCGTTGCTTTCATTTTTGTTGGGTTTTATAAATGTTCCAGAACCTTCACAATATACATTAGATAGCCAACCAAAATGTCCAACCTTCGTAACAGCACTAAAACATTGCGACAGTCGTTTACTATCGCCAATCAAGCTGTTGGAGAGGCGATTGAATGAAAAGCTGCAAGAGCTAAAAGCGCTGGACACTTTTGAATGGGACTCGAGCTGTGTGGTGGACCTAATGCAAGACCAGATAAAGAAGCCCAAACCGTTGTCTGTTAAGAGGAACATTGTTAAGTGAGTATAGTTGTTTAAAAATCGAAAATAAATTGAACTACCAATTGAGCTACCGAGTCACTCGGTAGCTCAATTGGTAGAGCAACAGCACGGAACGCTGACGATGTCGGTTCAAGTACTGCCGAGTCGAAATTTTTTTCAATTTATTTTCGATTTTTAAATTATATAGGCCTTCATGTGCAATAACATGTAAAAATTAATAAAGTTTTCAAGAGTATAGTTGTTTCAAACTGAAATAATGTATATATAAAACACTTTAACGGTTTGAAGCGCGAAATATATTTGTTTAATTTGAAAATTATTGTAATTAGTTTTAAGTTTAGTACATTTCGCTTTTTAAACCGTTAAAGTTTTTTCAAATGTGCACTACTCGCGTAAACTACAGACAGAAATTATGTTGTTTAGATCTTATAAAATTTAACAATTAACCAATTTATATAAAATGTCGTGTTTTGTTTATTTATGATAGAGGATAGGCAAGTATGCGTTGTGACCTACTTTGACTTTGGCTATTCGGAAAGCCACATACTGAACCCGAAATGCGATTAAACTTTTTAACCCGTCTTCCATTTAATATCCACGAAGTTGAACATACAACATACATTACATAAGATACTGATCTCTTGATACATACATCTTTGAGCAAATAATGGCATGGGAAAAATTAATGACTACTGGCTTTATGAATTACAGTCATAGATATTTATTATTATTATACTTAATAACCCGATAAGTGCAAATATATAGAAAAATAAACGGTTGTTCTTTTCTTTTTTTAGTAAAATCATAGACAATACATTAGAAGACATAATAAATAAGATTCGCAACCAAGAACCTTGCAGTAATTTGAAGACGCCCAAAAATATCTGTATCGCTTCGGAACAAATAGGCAAGGTGAGAAGTTCGAATATTACTTAGTATATTTCGTTTTTAAGCAATGTCTTATTTATTTTAAACGCGAGCTTAATTCAACTAAAACTTTATCTACATCATAAGTATTTTATTAATTAACGCTACTTTATAATTTCAGGAAAATGAAATACCGGTCATTGAAGAAATACGGAGTAAAGTTATCGAAGGCGTTTCAAGTGCTAATGATGTCAAAACTGAAATTATAGACTCGAACATTTTAACAGAAGAATTTTTAGACAAAAACCTACCAATACAAAGTATAGATCAACCTATAGTGATGCAAAAGGATTCGTCTATGGAAATATCGGAGAGAGGTATTGATATAAGTTCAGAGAATAAGGAAAAAGTCTCACTGAAGTTTAGTCCCGATAAGGATGTTCTTTGTATAAAAAACATTGACATGGACATGGAAAGTTTCAAACATCACTATTTGAGTGAGGTCGATCGAGATTCTCGAATTAATAGAATCGAATCGAATTTTGATGCCGATTCGATTAACAAAGTCGAGAAAGTGAAGGATAAATTCAAAAATAGAATAAAGCGTTCGAGTACAGATAAAGGTAAACTCCGATCGAATACAGATACTGAATCTATAATGGAGGTAGACTGCGAGACCATTCTAGAGGATGGTTCGATTAATCAATCGAATATCAGAAAATACAAAAGAAAATCGAATAAGAGATTTCATTCTGAGAAAAAACATAACTCCATAGCCGATAATGAATCAAATAAAAAATACAAAAGTGATACAAATAAAAGTATAGTTCTAAATTTCGCCCCAGATGGCGCTAGGGGAAAAAAGAAAAGGTGCAACAATGAAGTGTCCATTCGCAATAAAAGCATAGAAGTGAACATTAAATGGAAGAAAGAGAAACTCAAGTTGAAAATAACTAACTCCAAGCGTAAGAAGCAGAACTACAGACAGTATATTTTCGAAAAATACAAAAATAACATCGCCATGTCTCCAGGTGAACTGCCACCGCAAAAACGGAAATATACGAAGAATGTAACGGCTACGGATAACCTCAAACAGACTTTGATTGATACCTTTTTCGTTAATAAAAACGCCTGAGAAATGATTTATTTCACTTTATTTTCTTGGAATTAGTATTTTGTCTAGCATGAAATTACTTCAAACAGAATAAACGCGAAACGCAAAATTCTTAAAACGGTTTAAAACGCTTTAAAACGCGTTTTAAACCGTTAACATTTTATTTACATGTGTACTAGCGTAAACTACGCACAGTGCCTAGACTTATTGAAATTAACGATTGTTTCTATTGACATTATTATAATTTTATTTCATAACTCGTCATCGGGATTATAATGAAAATTGTTGGATTTAATTTTGTGGAATATGTGAAACAGGTCTGATGTTGGCGGAAGCACGCTGAGCTTGGCCCAACTGCAAAGTGTATCGGCGACGCTGTCGCTGTGCAGCGTAACTTTTACTTTCATCTTCTTATTCAATCTGAAACAGTACATATCACTACATAGTAAAACAAAGCCACTTTTCCTGTCCCTATGTGCGCTTAAATCTTTAAAACTAAGCAATGGATTTTGAGGCGTTTTTTTTTAATAGATAGAGTGATTCAAGAGGAAGGTTTTTTTATATACAACGTTCACAGTTTTTCTATAGTATTTTAGTATCAGTATTGCACGCGAGCGAACCGGGGCGGGTCGCTAGTTATCAATATATTAATTATCTGTAGAAAACGAGCGGGTAACCCACACAGGACCATAAGATGACTAATAATAAATATGCGAATACAACAATAAAATACTGTCTATAGTTTACGCGAATAGTACACATTTAAATAAAACACTTTAACGGTTTAAAACGCGATATATTCGTTAAACTTATTTGAAAATGATTTTTAACCCCCCTACCCGTGACCACGGCTGCTGCAAAGCATCCGAAACGTCAAGCCGAAGTTAAAAATCATTTTCAAATAAGTTTAACCAATATATCGCGTTTTAAATCGATAACGTGTTTAATTTAAATACAACAATATTTTAGCAATTTTGGGTGTAAAGTAAGAGAATATCTACTTAAAAATAAAACATATAGATTTCCTATCCAAAAACACTTACAATCAAAAGAAAGTCTTAACAACATAAATTTAAAAGATCATTATTTATTACTCACATTTTTGGAGCAAAGAACTCTTTCTCCGACTCAATCTTCATCTTAGTCAAAATCGGCGGATTCGGCCCCAGCATTTCCTTAGCATATAACTCGTTGTAATTCCGTCCAGTATAATCTATCCCAGATCTGGTTATAACTGGCAACACTTTGTACTCTGGTAACGTGGAGAGGTGTTCAGCGCGCCGTGTGTTGCCATTATTGTAAATATGGAGTAAGGAATCTATGTCACTACCGCTTAGAGCTAAGTCTTCAAATGTTTCATATCCCAAGCCTGAAAGGAATCAAAACGTATGCTGTTACCTAAAAATTATAATTATGTCTAGCTGTATCAGCGAGTTACTTAGGGACATAGCATAGCAAGGTAATCTTAAACATTTTTTGGGAATCTTGAATAGTTTTCGTAGCGAAACCCACAAATCATTTTTCTCGTTTTTTTAATATCCCGTTGTCCCTTCGTTTCTTTAGTCGCAGCCCGAATTCGAATCAGTAGTTCCTGAGATTAGCGCGTTCAAACAAAATCTTCAGCTTTATATAGAAGTATAGATTTAAATATAACCTTGGGTCCAACAAATCCTGCTACTATCATTACATATAGCCAATCAATTAGACAAAATTTTTCTGTCCTATGTAAAAATGTTTGCCGATACAAAAAAGTATCTATCCCATACTGCAAGGAGATTGATAATCACAGTACCATGTTACATACCAACTCACCTCTTACACATATCTTTAATAAACCTGATCTCGTAGTATTCACCAACGCTACATCGAGTCCCGAGGGAATAGCTAAATATAAAATAGGACCCTCCTTAGATGCGGATACCATTTGGATGCTTATATACACAAAACCATTCAGTTTTGCTGACTGTATCTGTAAAGGAAAATTTTCATATTAAGACAATATTTAATTACCTACATTGTTATTGATTTCGGACGGTAAGATATTTTATGTTTACTGTGAAAAGGACTGAATTATGGAAGGTGATAAAAAGTTGTTTGTGAAACTGACAACTTAAAACCATCAAAAAAAGTTTAAATCAAATTGTAAGGTTGAAATTATATAAGACCAGGAAGAATATGGTTTGTGAAAGGCAACATTTTTACTTTGAAATAAAACACTAACGGTTTACAACGCGATATATTACTTATTTGAAAATTATTTTTAACTTCGGCCCGACGTTTCGGATGCTTTGCAGTAGTCGTGGTCACGGGTCAATCATTTTCAAATAAGTTTAACTAATATATCGCGTTTTAAACCGTTAAAGTGTTTCATTTAAATGTGTACTACCCGCGTAAATTATAGACAGTGTTTAAATTTTTTTAAGTGAAAAAGTAATGCCAAGCCATCATTTGTTGCATTAACGTCTTACTGGCAAACTAATATGTTTTAAACAATTCTGCTATTCTTATTTAAAGCAATTTATGTGACGAAGGGTATATCCTATTTTAAAAAATTTCGACTCTGGCATGACTTGAACCGGCATCGTCAGCGTTCCGTGCTGTTGCTCTATCAATTAAGCTACCGAGACCCACACCTCATCGTCGAATTTTTTCAACTTATTGATACTTGCACAAATTTTTTTCAATTTATTTTAGATTTTAAAATCATATAGTGCCTTCATGTGCAATAACATGTAAAAAAAAAAGTAATAATAAAGTTTTCAAACGTTATAACTTTGTAATTTCATCTTCAATGATTTCTTAAGCTGCAAAGCATAAGACGTTGAACCTAAGACTAGGGTAAAAGCTTGTGTTGCTTGCGAGTTTATTATTAAACAATTACCTCTGGCCACATAGTTTTAAATACTTTCACGTTCTTCATATTCATCGTCAGCCGCGAGGTCAGATCATTCGACATAATGTCAAGTGGCTCATCTATCGGACTCGATAACTTTATCACATGCCATGTGCGAGACTGCGTCGCTGTCACTGGAAAGAGACAAAAATGTCAATACTTAAAAATAGTCTCATTTACATACAGTGAAAAGTGAAAGCATGTTTCCCCCTAGTTGCATGAAAAGCGATCGATCAGACTTCTGTATTATTTTGTATATAAACATAAGAATAATTTTCTAATGCTGTGTTTGTTGGTACATCTCAACATGTTTAGCACAGTGTAAACTGTTAACAAATTATAGGCTTCTTATAAATACAAGGAATCTTCAAAATATCCTGTTCGCTTTCCTGCCAATAAAATTGTGAAGTAATTTTTATTATAGTAGTATATATATATATATATATATATATATATAACTAAATAAATAATCTGTATTTCTATAACAAAGTAATTTATATAACATTTTTAGAAATTCAATCAACAAACCAATCCAACTACCAATCTAAGGCAATGATAACTGAGAATATTTGAGTTTAAATAAAACACTTTAACAAACTTTAATAAAACCAGATTATATATTAGTTAAACTTATTAGAAAATTATTTTTAACTTCGGCCTGATGTTTTGCAGCAGCCGTGGTCAGGGTTGAATTTTTCCGAATTTATATCGCGTTTTAAACCGTTCAATTGTTTTATTTAAATGTTTACTGCTCGCCCAAACTACAGACAGTATTTAATATTTCAATTATGTGCTTACATTTGAGTCTTAAGTTTGCCACTAAGTCTGATAATTCCTCTAAAGTCATATTCTTTGAAGCATGTCTTGATAGAATTCTCGCAACGCTATCAGGTACCATTGGCAAACGTGCATTACGGATGCACTGGCTGACAGCCCGCCAACTCAGTTGAAATTCAGGCAGCACCAATGCACAGCAGGCTTGTAAGGACATCTTTCTAAGTATCATTTTGAGTTCGGCAACTTCTGTGAATTTATAAATTATATAAATATACATAGAACTAAGGCCTAAACCTATAAACAATTGATCAGAATTGCGAATTCTTTATAATAAATAAAATTATACCTAACGTGTATATGAATTAATCGGGACGAACTAAAACACAACACTTACTTTGTTTTGAACCATGATCCATGGCATCCATTTAACCGACACAATTATAAAAACCAACTGAAAATGCTACTCACGGTATTTTCCGCACAAATTACTATCAAACAAATGCATTTATATTATTTAAAATGAAAACAGCGCTTTAACATAATTTTTGTTAAGTCGCGCCGCGGACCGTTGGTATTTATTTAAATTCTATTCCGTATTGTCAAATCGTTATGACAATTGACTACCTACGTCAAAAATGACAGACAGACATAAATAGTAAGTATACTTTTTATCAGTAGCTGTGCTCGTTATTGAATACGAAATGTATACTCTATACTAATTTATAAACCTGACTTTTGTTTGTTTGAAAGCGCTTATGTGAGGAACTACTGATTCGAAATGAATTTTTTTTTGCATTGGTTAGTATATTTATCAAGGAAGGCTATAGGCCGTAAAACACGCTGTGACTATGATAATATAGGAAATGTGGGAAAAACGGCAGTTACCATCTTCTTGTGTTTCCGATCAGTATTAAATAAAATATTAATATTATAAATTGACATATAATTACAAAATTATTTTACATAATATGGATTTACAACAAGTAAACTCTTCAACATCTGTATTCTAGTTATGTATTTGTATAATACAATATGTTACAAAAAACATTAGGAACATTATTAATGTTAATAATGAAACCTACATATAGGACCAATAACCGTAAATAAAGCAAATTGTATTAGGCTTTTAGAATTAGACCTTGACCTTGAGTAGAATTAGACCTTGTTTATTGAAAAGAAATTCCCCATAAAAAAAAATACGTTCAAATGACTTTTTTTTAATCAAATCAAAAAAAAATCACACTGCTATAACTTATAACTTCAAAACTAGTATATTACAGTCACTCTCTTGTACAATCACTTTGTAAATGTCAATTTTTTTTGGACTCACTTTAAAAACATCCAGTGTGCTTGCTGTTGACTTAGGCATAGTGGGAGACTCATCTATTACTTCTTCTTTTGGCACAATGCCATCTAATACTATAGGTACTTTTATTCTTTTATCAGGTGGTTCATCTGTCTTGACCGTCAATCTTTTCCTGATTACTTTTTGTTTTATGTTTTCCGTACTATCCTCTATCTGTACTTGATCCAACTCCTCAATAGGTTCTCTTTCTGTCTTAATTTCTCCTGTTAACAGCATATCTTGTGGGATATCATTATTTTGTATATTCTCCATTTTTATTGTTTCCCTAGCACTTGGTGAGTCATTGGATGGTGGTTCTGGGAAAATACCCGGCACACTGTTTCTAGGTAAGCATTGAGGAACAATGTTTACATCTAAGTTTGTCATATCGACCACATTGGATGTTTTATTATTTGCGCTAGGCATGTTTCTTTGTGCAATTTGTTTGTTATCAGTAGTTAATTGGCTTAGTGGAGCAGTTAAATTTGGTGTCCGCGTTTCGTAGTTATTCGTCATTTCAGTAGAGTTACATCTGGTACTTCCATTGGTCAGGCTAGTAGTGGGCTTATATTTTACAACTTTGGCAGGCACTCTGAAATAATTTGCCACTCGTGGTTGTCTAGGCAGATTTGTTTTACAAGCCGAGAATTTCCTTATCGGCTCCACAAAGTTTTTATGCACAAAATCCTTATATGTATCTAAAAAATAGGTTTTCCCATCCTTTGCTGCATCTGTGTTCAATTCAGTCATTTTCTTCTTATGTAAATTATCACTGTTACTTTTTAAAATCTGTTTATCTATATCGCCGTTGATTTCGTCACCAGTTTCCGTGTCATCTCCACAAGTTTCCGGATTCACTACTAGGGAGAAGCTGTTAACAACTTTTGGAGCTAAATCATTGTGCAACTCCTGCGATATTTGTTCATCTGTTAAAAATATCTGCACCGGCGCTGACGTTACAACTTGTGGTAAATTAAGTACTTCGTCGTCGTAATTGTTGAATGCGAGGGCCATAGAGAGAGCTTTTCCTGTGAGGTCATTGAGGGCAGCGGCTTGAAGCTTAGCGGCTTTAACGATTAAATTCTCCATTAGATTCTTGAAACACAGATAAGGGTCTATTTCGGGCAGAGGCATAGCTGTCTTGACGAGGTCTGTGATGTGGTATTTCTTGTAAGATGATCCAACCTTGTAATCACAATACGGGTGGTTGTAGTGGCTGTGATAAAAGTATGTCAGGAACCCTCCATTATAGCTCTCCACTATGATAAGTGCCGGGCATCTCTGTTCGTGTTCACCTTGGGAACAATAGTAGTACTCTTTTCCATTGTACGCCTCTGATGCGTACTTACAGCGTGAGTTAATCTCCGTATTTGTCAGCCATGTCATAAATTCTAAAAGAAAATCAAAATACATGACAGAGAAGAAACAAATATGGGGTAGACTTGGTAAAAAGTCCTAGTCGACCCGATGTAGCTTTTGTTAATTGGTTTCGTTTCAGTGTCTGCTTTACTGAACGATTTTATCAATACAGGCAAGTGACGTCACACTACTATGACTTATGACCATATATTTATTACGTTTTCTAGGGAAACACGAAAACCTCTCGAGACCGTTACAGTACTGTTTTCAACGGATGAGACCAAAGCGAACGTGAGGGGCAAGTGGCATAACCACCGTTTGGAAAACATGATAACAAGCAGGTAAAAATATTTTCGTAACTCACCTTGCGAAGTGGGAAAAAATAAATACTCCAACAGTTGATTGTGCATGACTTGTACATGTGTGTCAAATTTGTGCTGACTGTTAAAAACTTTATGGCACTTGGCGCATATTATCGACGACTTCGCTTGGCTCACGTCGTCGTCCTTGCACTTGTGTCGTTCTGTATCATTTACTGTGCATTGTAACGACTTACACTCCACCAGGGGTGGCGGGTATAGCCTGAAAAATTGTTTCAATATTAAAACAATCGAAGTTATCTTGTAGACAGCCGAGTTAAAATAAAAAAAAAACGAAATCGTTTGTATGTTTGTGTAGCTTCAAGCTATTAGACCCTTGCTAGCCGTTTGTTGGGAGAGTGAGACATTGAACTTTAATGTGTTAAGGTTAGTAAGAGCAACAACACGGAACGCTACTGCCCGTGTCGAAAATTCTTTTCAATCTAAAATTGATTTCTTAAAATAAAACCCACTAACTTTCCCTTATTATGGTATACTTCCAGGTGCTTCTCAGCTACAAACATCGATGGAAACGTCTTTCGGCAAACAGGACACAAGTAACATGCTTTCCCGACTGGCTGCTTTCTGCCACTTTTGCTGACTACCTTCGCAGGAACATCGCGGGTGACTTGTCTTTGGACTCCAGCCGTGACATTCTTATGCAGAGAAATATGTCGCTCTAACGCTTTTTCGTCTGAGTAAAAGCGTATGCATAGATTGCATTTGAACAACTTCTTTTTTTCCACCGCCTGTAATTTAAATAGTGTATCTACGTATACTACGTGTTACATCAATACTTTTTGAGAAGACTGTGTTTAAATTTCAGATTGTGTTATAAGTTGAAGTTTCATTCACAGACACAGACATTCTTTTGCAGTAAGGATTTTTGTTTAGATACATGTCCCGTATCTGTTACATTGTCTTGAACTTTTAATGCCTGAAAATAATAACTACTTTTATTATTTGCGTACCACAAAACACAAAAATGAATAGATTTGTATATCTGTAAGCTTCACTTGTACGCAGTTTAATTTAATATCAGATACTTAACATTCTCAATAAAAACATTTTAAAGTAAATAATCCTATCGTCAAATAGGAATATTATATCAATATTAAACAAAAATCATCTTTTTTTCAAGAAGAAACCCGGTTATTAAAAGGCATTTGACAATCGCGTAACAGAGGGCCAAGTACTCTTATATATTAAGCGTCATTTAGAAATGGTAAAACAATAACGTAAATTGATAATAAAAATCCATTGCTAACAGGGTATTTTTTAACATCACGCGTTACATTTACGATTGCTTGAGTTACGATGACGTCACCTGCGTATAGACCTCCTTTTTCATGTTTGAAACTGTTCTATTGAAATTAATAATTACATCTGTGTGCCTTATTTGGGATATCATATCTGTGAAATACTTTAACAATGGACTTTTGTAAAAGGAGAATGTAGAAATCTAGGAAATTGCAATTTTCCAGAGTAGTTACATAATGTACTCTGGAGATGAAACAAATTAGACAAGATGATTCTCTATATCACAGCGTTATGCTTACAAGATGATCAAATAGTTCAGTGTATCCTTTCTTATATTACACATATGGCTTTTGAAGACTTTTGTATGTCAATAATAGTTGTTTCAAAATGCTTAAGCCTTACTGATTGATTGTGTTTGTTAATAAAATAGGGAATTTTTGAACAGATAACGTTACATTGATTTGATGTACTAAAACAAATCAAAAGAAAGCAATTTACGGTGATTCCAATATACATTCCATCATCCTTTTTTTTAAACATGTGTACTTTACACTGCAAACAGGATTTTTTTTATAACTTCTATGTGCATGCTATGCTTGTACTTGACTCAAACACCTTTGATTCTGCTGCAAGTGATGAAGAATCGTATTGTAGAGGATCATTCTCAGATTGTTTATCTTCCAAAGAGGTAATTCTTTCTATATTATTATTAGAACCAGGTGTGGTTGGTTGCTCATGACAAAAGCATGAATTTATCTCAAACGGAGATGTGCAAGTTGATGAAACAGTTGGTTTGAGAGAAGTAGATTTCACTCGTCTTCCGGACTTTCTTTGCACTGCATAGCTTCTTGTCTGTGCTTTATTTATGGACTCACAATTGACGGATTTTTCAATTATAACAAGAGGTTCAGTTGCTGCATTGTCATCACATTTTTGGGATACTTCTGAAATAAAATGTTTCTTAGTTAACAGCCTTAAAGCTATGGAAATAGTTTCAGTACAATTTTAAAACTCAGTATATACCTATTGTTTTTGCATGTAACACACTTTCTGGACAAGCTTCAACTTCTATAGTAATAGGATCATCATTGGTTATTACAGATTGTAGGTTTTTTGGGGTTTTAGGAGTTGATTGGTTAGGGTGTAAACATTGTTCTTCCAGTCTTTGCCGTTTGGCAAACGCAGATCGGGGAGTACCAACGTTACACATCCTTTTGATGCGATCTGTCTGGCAATGAAATTTCGAAGGCAAAACATTCTCTTTTAAAAGAATTTTTTGACTGAATCCCATTTTGTGTTGGTAGTAATTTTCCATGTCATTCTCCAACTGCAACATACAAACAAAGAAGTAGGAAATTATATAGTAACGTTGAATAATTATTAAAATCACAAGCGTAAGCTAGTATTTTTTACTACAACCACGAAATACAGAGAAACATTAAATAACCTCAAATAACATACTAACAATCTAAATTAAACGAATTATGAATAAAATATTCAGTCTACTTACTTACATCGAAATGGTCTTCGCAAAAAAATATATTTGAATTCCTCGAAATATCATTGTGATCCCTCCGAGATAATTTCATCCACATCCGACGCACTTTGATATCTTTCGGGACACTCACAAAAAGTTTACGAGGAGTTCTCTTCGTTGTGTTTGGACATTGTGGAACTGAACACAATTTGTAACCCATTTTATTATTTACTACTGAACTGTTTATCGTCACTACTAAGATGTTTGTATTGGAAAAGAAGGCATATAAAATATAAATATGCATGGCCCACAGATTCGACACAGGCATATGTCGTCATCAGAGGCAGATTTATCGGTATTTTTTGTGTAACGTTACAACATACCATTACGGTAACGAAAATAAATGTATTCAAAATTATAACGATACGCGAATGAAAGTTGACGTTGAAAAATTAAGTTAAAAATATTATGATTTGTAGGATTATTATTTATTTATGATTCATAGGTCTTGTCAATATATCCTAAAATTTTAACTAGCAGAAAATCTTTTTTTTTTATCTTTTTTATTTTATAAGCCTAGCAGAAAATCTTGGTTTTTGAGATTTTATTAATTAGATTTGTTTTTTGACAAATGGCCTACATACGCGGTCATTTTGCTTTTGATTGCATTTTGCTAAGTTGAATTTCAATCTAGTCAATGTTTGCTTACCTTATTAGGAAAAGGGAAAGGGGGCTTCGCATTGCAAACAAACGCCAATAGAAAACTAAATACATGAGGAGGTATGCAAAAATAACTATTCTACGCGAGCAAAGCCGCTGGCACAGCTGGTATAGAAAAACCGACGTCCAACTTACGTTAAACTTCATAGGCACAGAAGACTCTAGTAATACTCTTTCACGACTATTTTTGTTGAAGTCACTATCAAGAAAATGTTTGTTGCATATTTTGCTGTTTTCCCTAGGACGCCAATTACGTCTTCCCGTTGCTTCTATCCATTGTCTTCTTAAGTATCTGTTATGAGGAAACCTGCAATGTACCATAGCATATCATCTTCACACCTTAATCTACCACACTGGTCATCTGACACTTATTTTGTAGGTTATTAGTTCTATTCAGTGGTCAGTGTGTACTCAAACAAACAATCACTGATTTTTCTGGGAATAGAAACCCAGGCTGTTAGTGTTTTAGAACTAAGCTATATAACCGAAATTACCTTTTTAAACTTAAACAGCTGATAAAAAATTTGTTTTTTTAAATATATTAACAAAAGCTTTATTTAACTGCAAGTGGTAATTTATATGTGGAATATAGATTATTATTTACTAAGTTTAAGTACTACAGATTATATAGTTATCTATACATAAATAACTACTATCGGAAGCAATTAGTGAAATGTGCAAGACAAACAAGAGGATTCAATTTTTCTTTAATGAAAGTAAGGGGTTAAAGTTTCTCCAATTACATTTATTCCTTTGCAATTACATTTCCCCATAATTTAATTTCATCTTCGCAAGCTGATAACAACATACTATCTGTGGGGTGATGGCAAATTGACACCACCGGTTTATGCATTTTATGTACTAGCTTATTGGTTACACTACTACTGATTAAATCCCAATAAAAAACTTCGCCAGACGCAGAACCAGATATAACTTGATTGTCCTTTTCATTGACACAGTTTTCTAGCATAAAATCTTGCGTCTCATGCCCAGTAAATGTGTTGAGAAGCTCACCAGAATCTTTGTCTATAAGTTTTACAGTTCCATCTGAGCAACTAAGTACATAACATTGACCGTCGTGTGTAAGGGAACCATGTGTGATAATAGCGCCCATGTAATCTGAAACCATTTTTCCGACGCGCAAGTCGTAAAGTCTAGTATGGCAATCCACAGATGTAGTCAAAACTTCATGATTTGTAACTTGTATGGAGGTAATACTGTCTTTCGCATCTTTTAGCACTTGTACAGGCTCTTGCCGCCTACTAACTACATCCCAGAAGGCGACAGTGTTATCTATAGACCCGGACACGGCCATGGTAGACTCTTCATTAAATTTAATGCATGTAACAGAGCTTGCATGCGCTCTGTATCTTCGTAATGGTTGCCCAGTGGTCACATCCCATAGAATAACTGACTTGTCAGTACTGCACGACACAATTTGGCTGCTATCACTGGAGCCAGCCACATCTAGAACTTCGTTAGCATGTCCCCCGTAAGTTTTTAAAAGTAAATCCTTATGCGGATTCCAAAGTTTTATCTTTTTATCAGCGCCGCATGTTAAACAGTAAGTACCGTCTATATTAAAACGAACAGAGCGTACAGCCTGTTGTTTGCATTGTATCGTGGTTAAAGCAGTAATTTGGGTTACTTCGGTCATACTTATTAGTAAACATTCAAAAACACATGTTTGTAAACAATGTAGAGCCGAAAGCCAACAGGGATCAATCATTCGTCAGTATTGTCGGTATATCAATTGTCAAAAATGTTTCGATACTTCTATATTCGAGCACACTATACGACAGGCTATATTCGATAATGTTTATTAGGTATATAACATAAGATTATTTGCAGGTAAAATTAATTTCTATATAAAACTGTTAGAAATAAACTGTTATAGACCTCATTCATACATTCTGTTAAAAAAATTTATAACTGCTCTTTCATTATTTTTGAATTAGGGTGTCCATAAATTTTGTTCTAGTACGGAATAATGATAATACGATTACGACAATATTTAAACCATTTCTCTAGTTAGATAAAATACGATCTCTTTTAGGGCTTTATGACTTTCATATATTATTTTATATGATGGCGCTATATTTTTTTTTTCATTTATTTATCATATCAACATAATAAATACATTTATTTATATATTGATAGCAATAAAAAACCACTAAGGTTTTAAACGGATGCCATCGTGAGTTTACATAACATCTAATTAGCTAAGATCATTTAATAAATATACAAGATAACTGGCAAGCTATCATGTTGTCTAAGCATGCATTAAGAGAAAAAACAATAACGCTAAAATAACTTAAGGAAATGATCCTTTAGCTTACATTTAACATTATTTTGTTTGATACTACCTACCGAATTGGACGGCAGGTTATAGATAAGCCGGGGTATTAGGGAGCTGGTTGTGCGCTCACCGTACGCATTTAGTGCGCGTTTTTGTTAATGGCTTGAGTGTATACAGGGTGAACCATCAGGATACATAAAGATTCATTTAAAAAATTGTCCCTAAGTAAAGTGTATTGTACTTGCATGTGTATTAGTTAAACTTTACTGTGTTTAAAAAGCCCACATGGGTCGTCTTGGAATTGGTTTTTAATTTTATTAGTGACTATAGCTTTCAGTATCTTTACTTGTAAGTTACGAATCAGGTCGAGATATGTTTTGTAACTTCACCCGTAACTACTGAGGCCGTATTGAATGTGAGACTCCGCAAGAGCGTTATACAGCATTAACTAAATTTAAACGGGATACGGTTATTGAGGATGGTGATATTTGCCATAAACTGTCTAAGCTTGATACAAACACGCTCGATATGGTCACTCCAAAGAAATTTACTGTCAATAACAAGTCCAAGGTATGTTTGTCTATCCACTGTCTCAATCCCTGGGCAGGAACATGCAGCCGTGCTGCCAGCGTGTAAGCAGGAATGAGCGTGTGCCACTAGATCTTTTATTGGTAAACGTTTAACATAGGGTGATTTTATGACTAATAATTTAGTTTTGCTTGTGTTAATGACAAGGCCGGCATCGTGACACCATTTTGCTAGTGCATTTAAATCGGACTGTAGAAGATCCAGGGCCGTTTGTGGATTTCTATCGCCGATAACAAGGCAAGTGTCATTTGCAAACTGATAGCATGTGCTGTTGACAATGCAATCACCCATGTCATTGACATAGGATAGAAAATGAAGAGGTCCTAGCATCGAACTTTGTGCTGTGCCTTCAGTTACAAACATGGGCCGACTGTGGGTGTTATTCACTTTTACAGAGATTGTACGATTTGTCAGATAGTTTTGGCATCATCTGAGTAGCGGGCCACGAACTCCACACTTATCAATATAAATGCGTGTACTTTCAATTTATATACATTTTAATCTATAAGATCACCTTGTCACCTATTATGCCGTAAGGTTACAAAATGAATACATGCTTAAGAATATTTTTATAAATAAATTCAATATTTGATGTTGTGGCCTTTTTATTCTTAAAACATTTCTATATTCGATTCTAAATTAAATAAATATAATAAACTTAGATTCAAATAATCCTAAAAAGCGAATCACTTTGTTTAAAAATAAAAGAGAATGTACGGAAAAAATAATACTTAAAATATTGTCACTCTAGTAGAATTTTTTACACCTATATATAAGTTTCGGAATGTTAGCAAACGCTTACCCATGAAAAGATAGAGAACCCGAACACTTCGAGTTATTGTAACAGCCAAGAAAACAACAAAACATCCTGTATGAAGATGGAACTTATTAAAAACCGAAATACCACTACTCGAATATTATTAATATCACAGTAAACAAAACGTATGCTACAGTAGTTGGGTCTTTATAACCACAGAGTATGAATATGCTTTTTATAAGACACAATTATTAATAGCCTATTAAAGTTACTAATGCGTTAAATAAAAAAAAAGTCAAATATTGCAGAATTTTAAGAAATATTGACAAAATTTAAGTGAAAATTTTATTTTCGGAGGCCAATTAAATTATTTTAAGGTAAGGCAATGGCAACAAAAGTTACTAGGGAAAAAGTAAAAATAATTGTCATTTGTCATTGTGCTGGCATTTTCAAAGCGTGTTTTGTTTTTCAATTGCAATTGTTAATTTAAATAATTAATTGGGCTTATCGATGTGTCTCATGTTTCGTTTATGTTGGTTGTGTCATTGATATTTCTTATCTTTACATTTATTTCGCAGTAAAGTTCTCCTAAGTTAATGCGTTGTTGATAACTTTATAATGTGGTTTGTTATTTAATGACTCAAATTTTAATCATTGTCACAACAACAATAACAACAGCTGCTTAATTATTTTCATATTCGTAAGTTATTTCTTTAGTACTTCATAATTTTATTAAACCTAATTATGTATTGAATTTTAATAAATGAATCATTTATTTAAGGATTTTTTTGTTTCTTAGTCTTTGGTTTTTATTTTTATGAGCCCTTAACAGCTTACTCACAGTCATAATAATCCTGGTATATTGCGTTCCTGCCAATAGGCACACGGCAGTTGACTTTGTAATATCCAAAATATAATTCTGTTTAATAATATTTGTATTATAAATAGTAAAAGATAATTTGAGATACAAATTTTACGCTAAGTTTATCTGATAAACTTTGTTCTTAGTGTGAAAATGTGTTTTACACTTATTTCATTAATATCTAATTCTGAAGTTTCTTTAGTGTACTAATTTCTTTTTATGATTGTTAGTCTTTTCAAAAACTTTAATATAAACCCATACATAGTTACTACATGTTATTTCATGCTTTCTGAATATTTGGATTCTCATTCTTGGTTATTGAAGTTATAAAACATGCTTAATGCACATACTTGCAACTTAAGATGGTATTATTGAATATAATCTAATATTTTGTAATGTAATTGTACTGAAGCCTTCCAACTGTTAACTATTTTATTGTATTTCTTTGTCTTAGAAGTACATTTGCATGCATAAGTTGACAACCACTTCTAAGCCGTTCCATTCATTTAGTTAAACTAAATTGGTACTTTTCAATTTTTATAAGCTCTAATTTGTAAACTAATAAATTAACAATCGAAATGAATGTTTTTTTTACAGTGCAATAATGGCTACGATACAAAATGTGGACAATCCTAGAACTCAGAGCAGCAACAAAGATGCAATGAACAATGAAATTTTGCCTGCATCTAGTGAGGACAATCAGATATCAGTCAAGGTATACAAAAAGAGATACAAAGAGGTTACATCTGATAATGAAGACACTCCAAGAAGGTTACAGCGGAACCACTTCAAATCTATGAGCAATATCAATGAGGAGTTTAGAAGGGATGTGAAGAGGAGCAGCATTAGTGTCAGTAATGTAGATCTTAGTTTACATAGTGAGGAGATTAAGAAGTTTGATCGGTTGCAGATACCGATTGTGGGGTGAGTACTGAAGAAGTTCAATACTAATAATTATCTAGGAACATAACTTTTAAATATTATTTAGTGGAGCATAGAAAGCAAACAAGTTGAACAACAATAATGAGAAAAATTGACAATAAACTGTCTGCTGCTGTCTTTATCATCAGATTTATTACTTGATGATGGTGAAGCCACGTAAGGACATTGATTTTTAGTATGTAATATATTTAAATAAAACACGTAAACAATTCAAAACGCAAAATATATTAGTTGTTAGCAATTCATTTTTACCGCGACCCGACAATTGTGATGCATGCAGCAGTCTCCAGTCGTGACCATGGCTATCGCGTTTTGAACCGTTATAAATGTTTTATTTAAATAAGCACTACTCACGTAAACTACAGACAGTATTTATGTAATTTAAATGTGTAATTTTCTTCTTTTTTTTTATCTTCTGTTGGTTAGCCTCTAAGGATTTGCCTTTAAGTTGCAGCCTTGAGTATAAATTATTTTGTATGCTTTAGTTGGATAAATTTTATCTTATTATTATGTTAGTGTTAGTGAGGTTATTATTAAGACTTCACATTTATATATTTTTTTAATAATGCCTTGTTTTAACTTTCCATTATTTAATCTTTTTTCAGATATGAAGTGATGGAGGAACGTGCTAGATTCACAATATATAAGTTAAAAGTGGAGGATGATAAACGCGATCAGTCATGGCTGGTCTTCCGACGGTACACTGATTTTGTTCGGTTATACAACAGGATTAAGAGTGAACATCCAAATATAATACTTCCACTACCAGGTAAGAATCTGCACACACTGCTTCACAGTGTTTAGGTATAAAAGCAGAAAAAGAAAGAAGAGACAAAACATTGAATAAGAAACAAATATTATGAAATATAATTATTGTAAATAATAAAATTAAAGACAGTGTTGTAACATAAGATATCAATTCCCAAAGCAAATAATATTATCTTTTATTGTAAAATTCTGTTTTTTATTACTATATTTGACCCAGTTTTCTATTTAATTTGACTATCTATTAGAAATTCATTTTACATCTTTACATATAGTCCTGGGATTAGCGCTATAGCAAACAAACTTTAAAGACTAGTATAGATTATAAATTTTGGCCCTAAGTCAGTAACCAATCCACTTGGCGTTTCATATGCTTTTTAATAATAAAGTTTTGATAACTGATCTTTGAAATTTAGTATAGTAGCTGTTGAAAAATAACAAACGGCCAAGTCTTATTACCTCGTGAACATTATTTCAGGAAAAAGATGGTTCAGAGATAACTTTGAACCGGCCTTTTTGGAAGAGAGAGTGCGTGGTCTCCAAGTCTTTATCAATGCGGTTCTTAACAAACTACCCAACCATTCGATGGTACGAGAATTCTTCTGCCTAGACGAGCCTCCTCAAGTCTTCACATACCAACCGGAGGTGCAAGCAGTATATGGAGCCCTGGAGGACTCGATAACTACCCTCAAAATGCAGTTGAAGCAAAAGGACGCGACAATAATGCACTTGCAAAAGCAGCTGGCTCAGATGGAGGTTAAAGTTAAGGGATGCCCTAATTGTTCAGTGCAAATATAGGGTAGTCCTTAATTTCCATAGGCATTAGTGCCTATCTCGATATCCACTCGGGTATGTATCAAATATGGAAATTTTATTACTACATGTGGTATTTTTTTCCTGACTAGTGTGGAATAGGAACATTTTTGCACCAAAATTATATATGGATTTAAATAAAACACTTAAACGGCTTAAAACGCGATACATATTAGTTAGGCTCGACGTTATGGATGCTTTGCAGCAGTGGTGGTCACGGGGAGACTAAAGATGGAGGGTGCCTCTGACGTCAAAGGAAAAAACTATTCCGCTAGCGCCATCTGTCCTTTCGAAGTTGGTATTTGGCAAAACTGGCCGGGTCCTTGCAGAAACCGTTAAAAGTGTTTTATTTAAATGGGTACCACACGCGTTAATTGCAGACAGTTGTTATATATGGATTTTTAAAATATTGTATGAATATTAAACAAGGTCTTGACGGTTTTATTCCGTTTGTGTCGAATATTAATAATTGTTAATATTGTATATGTTTTTAAAAATGTCGAATTGTGAATCTCGATTACATCGCAAGTAATGATTTCAAATTATAGTAGTACAAATATATGTTAAGTTTGAATTGCAATTAATGATTTTTTAGTTAAAAGACAACCACCAAACAGTAGTTCCGACGAAAGCGAGTTTTGAAGTATTATTTATGAATGAAATTATCATTATTATATGTACCAAAAAAACATGTAAAGTTAAGTGATACATAGTTTTACTATTCGAGACCCTTTATCTCATTGCTTAGGTAAAACACATAAGTATATATAATATTTTTTAGTTAATAGTTCTGTCATAAACAGGTGCTAAATAAGCATTTTAATATGTTGCAATTTAGTTTAGGCAGCTTACGTGCGACGAAACATTTGTATAATGTTGTCTCTTTCCCATAATTCCCAATAAAAAACACACAATGTTCAGTGGATGTCATTTGAAGTGACAATTAACATGGCGGCGTAGAACTAGTAAAGGACCAAGTAATAATTGAGGCCGCTAGAGGCAGAGTAGCCTAAGTGCAATCTTATGACTCTACTTCTTTATATTTTTATATTTAAAAATTTTAATTTATAGGAGGACACTGCCAAAAAATTGTTACACAAATAATAGTATAAATTCATTTTCGCCTAAGTCATTTGCACGTTTTTATTTCCCTTCTAATTGAAAAGCATGTTTTTTGTTATTAGGTTACTCTGCCTCAGCCTCAACTATCATATTGTTTGTTGTTCCGCCATTTTGTTACTCATAAGTAGCACATCCTTTATAAGCGCCTTCAACATTGTAAATGTACTTTATTAAATGTTAAGTTTTACATTATATCATTCAGAGTTGTGATAAATACATGTACAAGCAATAATGTGCCTTATTTAAAGCATTTTACAGTTTACATTTGTGTAAGTTAGTTTTAAGCTCCAATGGCTTTGCAAACATGGATTACAAATATTTATTGTAAGGAATATGTTATCTAGATTATTAAGGAGTTATAGATAATAGAGACAGGTGTTCACTTAGATGTAAACTGAAAGATTTAAGAGCAGTGCTCTTTTAAGACCAAAAACAAAGTCTTTTTCAGTCAACAATAAATTATACATATTTTATTTTCTACCATCTTTGTGTCACCCACCATTTTTACAACCATATTGTACAAAACGACAAACTAAATATTAATAGGAAAATATATAATAATCTATCTATTTACGAATATTATCGTTTAATGCTTACTTTAGATTTAACAATTAATTTGAGACAATAAAACTATACATTTTAAGCAGCAGTTTTAATTATATCTACACTTATTTCATTTGCCTAAATGGTAAGCAATTTATTATTTACATATTAATTTTGATTTAATGTAAGCAATTAATCTCTATGGCTTTACATTACGTTTGACTTGAGGTATGGGTTCCTGCGGATATTAGACTAAATTCAAATATTTTGTTTATGCAGGCTTATTCTGGGCGGCGCCGGCGCGATTACGCCCGGCGTCCGCCGTGACCTCGGTCTTTGGACCGACCAAGGAGACGTGGCCATCAACCGGCCACGTTTCCTAGGGCGGAGGGCGAGCCGCGCTCTGGAATGACACGTGCGGCAGAACACACGGGCGCGGGCATGCGGATCTAGAGTAAATAACCGCCCTCTCGCGTCCGTCAAGCCTCCCGTGGGCTCATGGAGGTTTAGTGGATAGGGGCCAAGCTGGCTGACTCCCACACTCCCCCCGCCACTTGATGTGGACAGTCGGGGGTGACGGTAAATATGCACCTACTTGCTTATATATGAAAATTGACTAGTGCAATGAACGTAAAAAGGCGTTCTATGCAGGTAACATAGAATTTAATTTTTTAAATCGAATATAAAATATATAAGGTCAATATTATGTCCGATAATAGTTTCTTTTTTTTTGTTTTTATTGTAAACTATAAAAAACAAATTAAAGTTATAAAAAATTGCAAAAATATTTTTTTTGAATTCTAGAAAATTATTTTAAAGCGAGATGCAGTCTGTATTTCAATATCTGTCAACTAAAATGTCAATTGTCTAACGTTGAGTAATAATTTAATACACATTCTTTTAATTTAAATTTTAAGAAATTGAAAATAAAAATGAATTAAAGCTAGTCTTTTCATAAATTTATTACGTCCATAGAAACATTGCGTATCAAATCAAAGTGATTGAAACAGGATTTCTTTCAGAATGCAGAAGAAAGATATTGAAAATATTTTGTGCGTTTCGTGCTTGTGTATTGGGAGACGATTGAAGAAATTGAGTGAAAGTTTAAATAAGTTTTACATGGACGCTCTATACGAAATCCCGGTAGGCAGTTTATTAATACCTTTAATTCTTATTAGGATTTCTCCATGTAAAAATTATGTTTTACGCCCAAATAATACGTTTCTGTTCGTAGTCCAAATTAAACAATTGACTGTCATTTCTTCGGATCTTGGATAAACTTCAGTTCAAATTAATTTAATCTCTATATATCACCATGTCTGGAAGGCAGTAAGGACCTGTTAGGTTTATCTATACTAATATTATAGATTTGAAAGACTGTTTTTGTTTTTCTTTTCCCCAACCTCTAATTTAGCAAGTAAATCACACTCTTTTTTCTATTCTTTAAACTGTAAAGGGGACCAGAAACCCGTATAGAATATGCTACTAACTAATATAGTCTTTCTTTTATACAAAAATAATCCTTAATAAATATGTACTCAAAAATTCCTACTCCAAATATTTATTCCAGCTTTCCAATGTAGTTTGCATACAACCAGAAATCTGCTGGGAGTGTGAAGCCCTACTTAAGAAATGGCTAACATTCCGTGAACAAGTTAAAGACTCATATAGGATTCTACAGACCTACACTGTAGAGGTAAATATTTTAGAGTCTATAAATATATAGTTAAATAATGTATTTTACACAAATTTCTCTTGATTTGTGTTTCAGAATTTACAAGAATGCCTCTTGAGTGATGTGTCCCGTCCACCAAGATTAAAGGCACAAAATTTAGATTCAGTTAATATCTTGCCCTTTCAAGAAGTTAAAGTTGAATATGAGTCTGGTAAGTGTTCTAAATATTTCATTTATTTCTCCCATTGGTCTCTGTGATCTCTTGAGGTATATGTGTTGAAGTATAGATATACAGGTCATATGATGTTGAGACATGTTTTTTATAAAAGAGTAAAAGAGACCAGGATGGGATATATATGAGGGTATAATGCACCATTAAAATCATCTAAACAAAGATACTCTTTCAACCCAGTGTTAAAGTTTTGTTTCACAATTATTTTGGGACATATTGTCTAAAATCATTTATTGTTAACTACACTTATAAAAGTCACAGCAGAGTCTAAATTTACATTTTCTGTGGGTTTCTCAATGTTGTCTTTGAGCATATTTACCAACTTAAAATTTTAAACTGAATTAAAATTAACAATATATAATATTAATATAATATAATATTAATAATATAACAAGATATGTGAAAAATAATTATACTCGTAATATAGAACCTAACTGCTTGCTAGGTTCTAAAGTATACTAATTACTAAGTATACTTACGCGTTTTAAACAGTTTTTTTTATATGTGGCAATTTAAACTTAAAATCTTCTTATAATCATGTATGTCACTATTATGTAATCCCATATATCTACAGGTTTTTCAAAAAAGGACACAGATAGTTGTCAAGTGTCAGACGCAGATGATGCGAATTATGATGAATTGCGGTCAGTCATGTGTGAAATCAAAAATGAGTATGTAAGTATACGGAAATAACCACTTTTTTTGTAGATGCGTCGACGTTTCCTCTCTTTCATGTCCAGAGTTGCAAACCTTGGAAGTATAAATTGTTATATTTAGTAAGCACACTCAAAAGTGTGGTTACTTACATTTAAAACAAAAATGGAATAGTTAAATAAAGTATATATTTTCCACCTTAGGCTCCTCATAGTAAAAATGTATTTACTCATATAACTATAAGATAAACTACATACAAAACTGTGAAGGTGATAAAACATAAGTGGTCCTTTACATATTTACTTCTTTGAGTATAGTTTGTCTTCATATATGTACTTTTTTGGGCAACAGGATGACGGAAAAGATGATCTATCATTGAAATATTGTGCTGATATAAAAGATGAAGTGGAAAAAAACGGTGAGTGTTTTACCGGGCGACAGTGACATAAGTTTTCATCAAAATGTGTCTAGCCATTTTTAGTTTAGAAGAGATATATACCCGCATTGGTATGCTTTCAGATCGCGTTATAACTGTGGAAAATGTCAATATTATAAACAACAGCTCAAATAACAATACAGACATGATGAAGAACAGTAAAAGGAGGGTAAATAGAGTTAAAGGAAAGAAAAATAGAAGAGAAAGGGTAATTTTACGTATTTTTTAAAAAGCTTTAACTAAAGCCCTTCCTCCATTCCCCTGTTTCTCATGAAAAAGTAATGATCATTAAAACCCGAATCTCCAATTAGTATGTTAGTATATGTATATACGAATTTAATAAAACAATTTTTCATCCTCCCTCGAGAATTTACTGTCTCACACACTTTACAAAGCTTGTTCCTTGCAGTGATGTCAATAGATTAAATGAGTTTCAAGTTTTCCAGGTCAGCCAGTAAATAAAAACCTCTATTCACAGGATGATTCCAAAAGTAGATATCAATGCCAGATCTGCAAGAATGTCTTAACTAGTGACGAAGAATTGACAGCACACTATGAGAACCACATACGCAGGTTAGTAAAACTACCCTCCCAGCTTCTCTTCGCTGCTTGAATTTTTATTGTATCTAATGCCAAAATAGGCCGGCAGCGCATCGTGATTAAATGTTATATGGTTGGGGTGTTTCACCTTCCATCAAGTAAGCCCAATGTTTGGTTGTTGTGTGTCTGTCATATTTTCCAATAAATCCTTCTGTTAATTAGTAAAGATATTTTCAGCTCTTCAGATGGGAAGCAACTAAAGCCTCACTCAAAAAAACGGGTCCAATGTACGGAGTGTGAAAAGACCTTCAGCCACCGAGCTGGTCTCATGAACCATCGGATGTAAGTGAAGTTTATACCATGTATTCAAAAGAAACCCGTTTTAAAACCAGCATTGGTTATATTATATCGTGTTTTCTTAGTAAGTAATAAGATGTCTTTATTGCTTACAGCACTGTCCACGAGGCACAGAACGAATTTCCGTGTAAGGTCTGCAAAAAAGTGTTCAGATGGAAAACTAGTTTGAAAAGACATTTCGAGAAACACGCTGCTAACACCGTGAGTTATACATTTGTGTCGGCTCAAACTACATTAGATAAATAATATAGTGAAGTATACAGCTGTATACATGGGAATATGATTTTCTATTTAGTCCCAGGGTGCTTGACTAAAATCGAATGTGTAGTCGAAGCGATTAGACAACTACATTTAACAATTTGAATTATGTCGACGATTTGGGTGCCTTGCAGCAAGGCCACGGGGGGACCAAAGTTGGAAGTGTTTAATTTAAACGTTTTAAATTTTATCTTAGCACAGTCACAGTCAAATAAAGAATAAAGGTTTTTGTGTAGAGATACTAATTAAGTATTTGGGCGGTTTTGAGGTCAACGGGTTACCATTCGCGCTTAATAGTCGTCTAACTTTAAATTACAACAAATAGTAGCATTGGTTACTCAATTCGGGCGTTACAAACGTATTTTAGCAAACACCTGAAGCTTTCTGTTCGTCTTGCGGCATCGGTTTCGGCAGTGTGGCCTCGCTACAGAGACACCTCAGGAACAGTTTGAAACACGTCACACCGGATCAGCTCAAGTTAGTAAGACATAAAGACATTTAAATAAAACATTTTAACGGTTTAAAACGCGATATATTAGTTAAACTTATTTGAAAATGATTTTTAACTTCGGTCCGACAGCAGCACGGCTTTTTAACAGCAGCCGTGGTCACGGGGAGACGGGGAATATATCGCGTTCTAAACCGTTAAAGTGTTTTATTTAAATGTGTACTACTCGCGTAAACTATATACAGTATTCAAAAAGATATTATTTGACGGGCAGTCGTAGCTTAGTTAACTCTGAATCGATATAACAGATCGATTGAGACTTCTAGAGACAGAGTGGCCTAATAACCAAAAACATGATTTTCAATAAGGAGGAAAATAAAAATGCTCAATTAACTAAAACGTAAATTAATTTGTACTATTATTTGTGTAAGAATTATGTTAGCGATTTTCGGTCTACTCTGTCTTTAGCGGCCTCAATGTAAAGGTAACCCTATCTTTGAAATCCAAACAACAAAACGAACACATTTCCGTGTCCGATCAGCGTATAATAATTCAAATGAGACAATTTTAACAGCTCAAATTGTAAAATGTATTACATAGTTTTACGACCTGACTTTTCGGATACTTTCTAAACCGTTTTATTTGAAACACTTGTCTTTTGACACAAAATAATGTCTGCTTTCCAGGTTTACTTGCGAGCACTGCAAACGTCGATTCGCCGACAAAACCAAACTGAGAGACCACATAGAAGGCAAACATATGCACAGGACCTACCAGTGTTATATATGTGATAAAGTATGTATTGCAGTTATATTATGTTTGTCCATTCATATATTTTCGCGTTTTAATCGAGTAAAAGTGTTTTACTTTAAAATTGTACATAGATGTTTTGTTTAAGACGTTTTAAGAAGTTGAAAGATTTAAATTTTAAATAAAACACTTTAACGGTCATAACGCGATATATTAGTTAAACTTATTTGAAAATGATTTTTAACTTCTTCGGACCGACGTTTCGGATGCTTCGCAGCGGCCGTGGTCACGGGGAGACATATTTAAGTGTTTTATTTAAATGTCTACTACTCGCGTAAACTATAGACAGTATTTAAGTTGAAAGATACTTTATAATAATATTTTCACTTCAACAGTGACAGACAGTAACCGAGCTGTTGTTTTTTCCTCTACGCTTTTAATATAACATTAAAATACTTATTTTTTAATTTAATTTATTTCAGCCGTCCAAGAACCGCGTCGGTCTAGAACAACACATACGAAATGTCCACAAAGGGAGGCCGAACAACAAAATGTGTCACCACTGCGGTAAAGGATTTCCGGTAAGGCCCACATGGGGTATGGGGACAGACTACGGTGAATACTTCATTGATTATTTAAAGACCTGTATGATAAGCCTTATGTAAGAAAGAGTGTCTTAAAAATCTCATCAAAATAGATAAAGCCGTTCCAAAAGTTATATCCAAGTAATACTGACCTGGCAAACATTCTTTAGACTTATGAAATATTTCGATCAAATTTGATAACCATAGTAATGATTCTACTGAGTTAATCTTAAATGATACACTTAATGATCGTGTTTTTTTATGGTTTAAAGAGAATTATTTTATACTTACTTCTAAACCGTTTTCGCAGCGCACCCAACGGAAAAACTCAAAGATGATAATTTTTCACATTTTTCACTGTTTTATCGCTCCCATTGGTCGCATTCTGATGTTTTATAGCCAACAAAAAGCATAATAATTCGAACACGTAGTTCCCGACATTAGCGCGTTCAAACATACAAACTCTTCAGGTTTATAATATTAGTATAGATTATAGAAGCAAAAAGTTATTGTGTTATAATTTTTTAAGTTACTTCACGCCAATCGGCTCGAACAATTTTAATTGAACTAAGAATTAACTAAGACGAAATATAAATATTTCATGTTTCACATCTGTAAGCAAAACACTATAGAAAAATAGAAAATAATAGTGCAGTCACGACGGCCTCCAATATCTCCTATAAATGGAATGGTCAGGGGGTGTTAATAAAAGTGTCCTTCCTTCTTTCAGACGAAAGTCCAACTCGAGTCCCATATAAGGACGCACACAGGCGAAAGACCATTTATATGCGAGTATTGCCCGACCACGTTCTCCCAACAGTCCAATCTGTACAAGCATCATAGACAGGTATTGGCTTATTCTTGATAAATTAATTTTATTTTTGATCTAACAGTGCATAAAAGTGTGATCTTTCAATTTTCACTGACAGTCCCAGTGTCTCTATCGGGAAGTACGAGGACGGATATATTGGTAAGGGGGAGAAGCACGCCTCTGTTATACTTGGTGCAAGGTGAAATACCACATCCATGTGACAATAACCTAGATGCGTTGTTGGCCTATGGCTTTATATGTAATGAACAGAGAGAAAACGAAACTCCGTCCGGGTCAAGAATCACCGTCCACAGATAAAAAGGCCGTGAAGCTCAATCGTGTTTCGGTTTTAGTCTGTGGATTTCAGAATTTTTACATATAGAATATAGAACTATATTGGACTTGATGGTAATCAAACCCCTGTCCTGTAGACTATAAGGTAAACTTTGTAACGATTAGACCAACGACTCCTGTCTAAAAGTACATACAAACATTTTTCCCCAGAATCGAACCTACTTTACTGGCCGCGAGTTGTATATTCATATACTAATTACGTTAATTTTAATTCTAGGTCCATCAAAGTATAAGAATGAAGAAAAAGAAACCGCCATTGAAGAAAAGTGACGTCACAATTGACAGTAACATTGACGAACCAACATTACCAATAGCTGTCATCCAATACATGGCTTTGCCAGATAACATGTTTGCTGTATAAATAAATAGGAATTAATTCAATTTGATTCTTATTTGGCACTACCTGCGTCAGCGACTTCGTCCGCATAGAATGATTATTTTGGGCAGCCAAATTTAACCTCATCTTGATAAATTGAAGCTGATACTAACTACATCGGTTCCGTCGTTCTTGCAATGTTAATGTAGAGATAGACACATAGTGTGGTGGACATTTTTTAAGATCATTAAAGAGATATCATTCTTGCATAAATATTTTTTTGGTGTCTTGAACCTTGAAATAATTTCCCCGGTTTTGTCCTTATTCCCACTTTCTTGGGTTTAGTTACAGCGACTTAAAGCGAAGAAATTAGTAATTCGACCAGTCATCGAACTGCTATTGTTTAAAAGTCATCAGAACAAACGAGGGATTAAAACATTTCTCCATACCTTAGTGGTTGATATGATAAATATTAAAAAAATAAAACACCAATACAACTTTAAAAATATATTTTCCGTCATTGTATAATACTTTTATTTGTATAAGGCAGATTTACATTTTACAACTATGATACCCCAATAAAATATTTTAGTAAATAATATTTCACTTATATATAGTCATTCTCATTAATATAAACATTGATTAGCATTGCATTAATAAATTAAGGTTAAAATAAGTCACTAATAAAATATGTCAATTTTTAACTTGTCATTCTTTAAATAAAACTTTAACGGTTTAAAACGCAAATACTAATTTCGATGGAACAGATGATGCTAGCGTAACAGTTTTTTCCTTTGACATCAGAGACACCCTCCATCTTTAATCTCCCCGTGACCACGGCTGCTGCAAAGCGTCCGAGACTTCGCGCCGTAGCTAAAATAATTTCCAAATAAGTTTAACAAATATATCGCGTTTTAAGCCGTTGAAGTTCTTTATTGCTGTTTTGTCGGTCACATTTAAACTGTTTCATTCTTGTCCATGAATTCGACGACACGCTTCGGCGGTACCACTTTGTGTACGCGCTTTTTGTGCGTGTACAGAGACGCCTTTTGTTTGAAAGTTTGCGAACAGATCTCACACGTCAACGGGCGGTCCGCTGAATGAATGACTTCGTGTTGGTTTAGCGCTTTTTTGTCCTGGAGAGAAAAATAATGACAAATATTTTTAACGGTTTAGAACGCGAAATGTATTAGCTGAACTTATTTACAGTAAATTTTTGCAACTGTCAGACTTATTAGATGCTTTGATCACGTCTGCTAAAAATTTAAATTATTAATTCGCGTTTTAAGCGTTCCAGGATATCCAAAGAAAAATCCAAAAAAAGGTCGACAGCACATCTTATATCGCTGGCCTATTTCACCTACCATCAAGTGAGCCCCATGCTCGACTGTCCATACTGTCCTCTACCATAAAGAAGTACTAACCGAAAATTTCTTCCCGCAAATATTACACATGTGATTTCTTGGCTTTTCCTTTTTTTCTCTGTGCACCCTCATTATGTGTTTCTCGATGTTCGCTTTTGATGCTATCGGCTGAAATACAAGAGATAAATAAAAAATTTAAATAAAACACTTTACCGGTTTAAAATGCGGAATATATTAGTTCAACATATCATATCCGTGAATCATAGTAAAAATGTTCACTCAACAGTGTTAGTGACTTTGTTAAGACGTAAACAACTTACCTTATTACATATCGGACATTTGTGAGTAGTTTTGCCGAGATGTTGATAATTGAAGTGATCCTGCATAGCTTCCTTGGTCGGATAGCCCTTGTGACACATTGGACATGGAAATCTGGAGACGGACACAGAAATATGTCTTTTAGTTTTAATAATACTTTCATACAAAAAATACTTTAGAAATAGGTGACCTTTAAAATTTTTCAGATTAATTAGGGCTCGATCATGACACTGCGCCGTTCGTAAGTTCATTTCCCGTAATTGAATTTCTTGTATTTGTGAATTTAAGAATATTACCGCATTATCATTTAAATGAAAGCTAAACTTTTATAACATTAAACTTTATTGTACTCACTTGAAGACGTTGTCCGACGCATGCGCCCTAGAATACTTAAGATGCGCCTGATAAGTTGCCAGCTGCGAAAACACTTTGTTGCACTCCGAACACTCGAAGCGGCTTTTCTCCTGGTGTCGCCTTATGTGGTACTTGAGTTGTATGACGCGGACCATTTTGTCACAAATGGGACACTTCTCGCGGGGCAAGGGGCCGTCGTGGAGTCTACAATATTTATTATCAGTTTCAAAGAGAAACACAGTGGACACTACTTTTTGAATGGAATAACAATATTCTATAGAATGTATTATTTATTAACTATCATAAGTTATCGAATTTTAGGCTGATAAAAATTTAAGACTCGGACAGGGCTTGCACCGACATCTTTAGCGTTCCGGGCTGTTGCTCTAACCAACATTTTTTCAACCTATTCATACAACTCTCGCGCAATAAAATTATATGAGTATGAGTTTTAAGATCCAGCGTATGCTTTGCAGCTTAAGAAAATCTTTGAATATGAAATTACAGATTTTAATAATTTTAATGCTTTTCAATTTTAAATATTTTCATACCTCAAGTTAATGGTAATTATAATCAACTACCAAATAGTACTTAAATAAATGAGAGAATATTCTATAATATGCCTAACAGTTAAAGAGTGCTAACTTTAAAAATATAAAATCACCTCAAATGTGTTATAAGCGTCGTTTTATTGACGAAACGTTTTTTGCACAGGTCACACTGCAGACCTTCTCTGTGGGCTCTTGCGACGTGGTTCTTCCTGGCGCGGGATGTTCTGAAATAATATTATACGCATAATATAAAAGACATCTAAAAATGAAACACAACATTTCAATAAGAGGTTTCTGATTCTGGTTCTGATTTTAAAATGAGACAGACATATACCGTTACGGACATTTTGTAGGTAATTTAAAAATGAATCATTCTTCTTTACAAATTTTTGGGTATGTTCCCAAGGCACGCAAAGACAAATAATCAATCTCGCGTTTTCCACATTCCCCACTGTTTCTTCGCTCCTATTGATCGCAGTGTGATGTCTTATAGCCAAAAGTCTTTCTCGATAAATGCTCTAACCAACAAAAAATAATATTTATTATTAATTCGAACCAGTTGTTTCTGAGATTAGCTTTATAATATAAGTATAGATAGACCTTGGAGTTAAATATTGAATAACAATTTAGATTTTGAAAGAGCATCTTTTTCCACTCACTTGAAGAACATATCGCACTCCAGACACTGGTAACCAACTATAGTCGTCTTCGACAACAATTTTCTCAAATCACCCGGCTTTGGTGCATTTTCCTTCTTTTTCTTTTTATGCTGTAAAGGAGAGAAATACTGTCTTTAGTTTACGAGAGTAGTTCACATTTAAATAAAGCACTTTTAGTTAAGCTTATTTTCAGACAGTCAGATTGTCTTCCCGAGACCACGGCTCCTGCAAAGTATCTGAAACGTCGGGCCGTTGTTAAAAATAATTTTCAAACATGTTTAACTAAAATATATCGCGTTTTAAACCGTTAAAGTGTTTTATTTAAAGGAGAGAAATATCTCGATAGTCACTTGTTTTAAAGTATCAATTACATACTTTTAAGACACGCTCATTCCACAGGTTCCCACATATCTACATTTATACATGTAGTGAAACCTGGTTAATTGGGACCTCAAGGGGCCAAGAAAAATATACCAATTGTTTCCAATTAAACAGGTTTAAAATTGTAGTTGTCACTTACAGAGGCCGCCGCGTTTGTTTGTAAACTAACAAGTCATAACGTTTTAAAACCTGATAAATTTGTCTCTGAAGGTAATTGAGCTACAGAGTCTGAATTATAGAGGAAAAGTTGAAGTCTTGTAATTCAAATCACATTTAACCACGTTCAAAAAGTTTCTAATGGAGGTCTTTCATTTATCCCACTTAACCAGGCTTCCCTGCATTATGTTCATAGAATCCTGTAGTGGTTTAATATTGGGTCTTAGTGACGTGGAAAATGGAATAACACACTTGCGCATGAGCTATATAAAAATGTACATTTTATTAATTTAATTTAAAAAAGGGTATTATCTTTTTACTTACATTAGTAATTTTTTATAAATCAATAAATCACACGGTGTAAAGTTCGGACCGTTTGTGCCCAAAAGCATTTTCAGTGAGGGAAACGATAACAATATCAATCTGTGGAGTGGCTAGCATGGTTAAATTTATGCCGACAAAGGAGTTACGTATATAAAAAAATAAATTTATATGAACGTTAGAAAGTTAGATATATAGATTCTGACGTTCCGGTTGGTGTAATGGTAGCAAATAATGGCAACTAAGCAACATCAAGTGAACATATAGGGGATATGTTCCCTCTGTGACGAGAAAGAATCCCAGAAGTGGGAACGGTTGAATGGGTAAACTCACCTTTTTAACGAGGTTTATATCCCCAATCTGGATTATGCCGTTCGACACCTTCTTATCCAAATGACCTTGTACGTGGAGGGACATTAGTTTGCTGCTGTACTCCACCTTCCCGCACATTTTGCATATATACCGTATATAATGCTTGTCTATGTGCGCTTGGAATTTCGCCGTTTCCACGAAGACGTAGCAAATTTTGCAAGGCATGCAACCGGGGCGCTAAAAAAAATGCAAAAGATAATCATTAAAACAGTTCAAAAAGATTGTTTGGTTGTACCACCACTAAATTAGTTTCTTACTACTTCCAGTAATTCCTGAGATTAGCGCGTTCAAACGAACACACTCTTCAGCTTTATATATTACCTCTCTATGGGCCGCCACGAAGTGTTCTTCGACCTGCTGCTGAATATAAAACTCCATTATACACAATTCACACTTGTACACCGCACTTACATATTGAACTTTTTTCTTTTGCTCCTCCCTGAAACGAAACAATTAATGAAGGGCGTGTGTTGATACTCCCACCTTGCCAAACGATTAGTTTAACGACATCAAACAAAACTAGATTTCCATTTAACATCTATTTAGCTTGAAAAACTGGCGTATAGGACACCGTAGCTCAATTGGTTAGAGGAACAGAACGCTGTGGATTCCGGTTCATGTCCTGCCCCTGTCGTAAATGTTTCAATAATTATCGATTTTTAATTTACCTTAAAGTTTTTTTCTTACTGTAATTGAAATCTGTTATTCATTAAATAAATCCGTCATATTACCTCGCAGCAAGCATTTCCTCCTGTGTCATATACTGAGTAACAAAGCCGCACTTTGATTCCTCTTCTTTGCATCTAATCGACTCGTCCTGATTCGGGGGCGGAGCCCTTAAAGTGTATAATTAACTTTAAAAAAAATATAATTAAGTTTATTTCAATGCGCCAACATTGGAAGCTACTAATCCGATTTTAAAGAATATTCCTTTATGTGAGAAGGCTATTAAACATAGCTGATAAAACAAGGACAAAGCTCTGATGTTGTCTCTTTCGCACAAACCTTTACAAAGAAGAATACGTCTCAGTCGGCGTCAGCCTTCTATACATTATTTAGTGAATATTCTATACCAGCTGTGTCAACGACTTAATAGTTATATTTGGCACCAAAATGTAACCTCATCTTTATAAATTATAGCCCGCCCAGTTCTTGCGAGACAAACTTAAAAGACAACTTATATACTGTCGTAGACATTTTTTTTAGATCATTTAAGGACGTATCATTTTTTATAAATAATTGTTAGATATCTTGAACGAAAACCCACAAGGACCCACAATTTTCCCCTTTTTTTCAGATTTTGCGCTATTTTTTTGCCCCCATAAGTTGCATTTAGATATTTCATAGCCTTCCTCAATAAATGCTTGAACGAGCACAAACAGAATTTTTCTATTGAATTCTGAGGAACTACCAGTAGTTCCTGAGATTTGCGCGTTCAAACAAACAACCATTTTAGCTATATATATTAGTACAGATATAAATTTAATCCTTACCTCGTAGTGAATAATTCATCCTGAGAAGTATATTCTCCCACAAAATCGCTGCTCACTACTAAAGACTGGGTATTTGACGTGTTTGCATTTGACGTTTGGGGTGGGCTGTAAAAGAACATATTTCTTATTTGAAAGAGGATGATAGACGAGCATGGGGGGGGAGTTGATGGGAACATCATAAGGTGATATGGCGACCTATTTTGGCTTTGAATGTTCCGAAATGCACATACAGTCTACACAGAACTGTCATAATTCAAACAGAATTAGATTAAAATTTAAGAATAACTATAAATTGATCTTCACAAAAATGTAGGTAACCTTGTGGGCGTCAAACCCATAATCAGCTGATTGTTACTCATGCTTTGTTACACTTAGATTGTCTGTTTGCCCTTTTGTTATACCATAATAAGACTCCAATTTAACTAACTATAGACAAACAAGGCTGTATGCTTCTAGTTTCTCAAAGACTATAATATAACAATATGACTTACTCAATAGCCAATTCAGCAAACTCTCCCTTAACTGAGTTATATTCTGCAGATGAAACCAAAGCATCTTTTCCCACCACAATATGGGATAGAGTTCCAGTCACGGGGTTCTTTAATATTAATTCTGGTACTGAAAGACATATTTGGCAAATTTTATACAAAACTACTTCCAAACTAGAAGAACAATTGTATGAGAACTACCTTCCAAAACCTGGTCATCTATAGCCAGGCTAATTTGCTCTCTTAACGCCTGTGACACATCATAAGATTCATTTTTAACCTTATCATTTGAAGTGGTTATAGTGATATACGGTTGAGACCATTGCTCAATTTCCTGTGCGTAGTCCACATATACTCTGTCGTAGTCATGTTTTATACAGTGCTCGAGAGAAGACAGGGATTGGGACATGTACGTGTGATCAAATGACTGAAAAAACATAGTAAAAATTCTTAGTTAGATTGGACAATCCACCAATCTGTTAAATTATAAAACAATTTATAGCTAGCTACAAGTCAATATTTTTTTTATTTAATAGCCTAAAACACTACTTTTATATTTACTAACAGTCAAGTACTGTAAATAGAGACAGTAGCGCATACACATTAAATAAAACATGAACAATTTAAACTCCCCCTAACATACCTCATGACCCTGGCTTAAGGTTAATACTCTCAAATGTTCATGAGCGTTCTGCACTTGTCGTTTGAACTTCTCAAACTTCCTCAGCAAGGCGACACACTCCCAGCACAGTGATACATCCATAACACATAAGGAATCATCCAACTAAAAAAGTGTAAAGTGAAATGTATGTCTTAAACATGAACAGAGAACCAGACAAAATGGGTTATTTCAATATTTGAGCCATTCCAGTTTTTATTAAAGTTTATTGTATGTTAATTATCATTCAATAAGAGCAGTTAGGTCTACTAATATTCTTCAGTTAAGCCGCAGTTAAAAGGGGCTATTAAGTATGAATGAAATTATGTTGGCTGTAACCCTATAAGGCATTTTATTTTCAATTACGTAATATACATGAAGAATTTAATTATAAAAAGAAATTCAGACTTACTCGTCCATCCGCGCTTTCCTCAACAATATGTTTATATATTTTCCAAATCTCAGATGCAGCATTTATTACAACCATACTCCTCTCGACACTCAGACAACCGCTACACACAACTCTATAATAACCATCGCTCACTACTTCCATTATAATTATTTCATTAAAGAAACATTCAAAAATGATGTTTATTTTGATTCATTTTTTCGAAACACAACAAAAAGTTATACTCCCATGTAAAATAGACGAAATATAATGAACATTATTTAACGCCACGGTGACACCACAAAATGGCTGCTTTATCCGGTAATCGGTTTTGTTACCGCTAGTGATGAATCGATTAATAGTTCTGAAAGACTCAACAGTAATCGATTAAAACAATCAAGTATTTTGAAAAAAAGGACGTAACTATAATGGTTACGTTTTATTATACGTTCATTAACATCAAAATACATGCTTCACCAGAATATTTACTTTACTTAGTTATAAATATATTTCATATAAAATCATGAACGTAAGGTTGAATAATTTTGTTAAGGTAGTTTATTTTGATATAATACAAAGCAATTTAATTAAAAAAGAATTGAGTTATTATTATTGGACGTGGACATCCTTTTCTTTGGTAAGTCATAAAAACAGGTGAAATTCAAACTAACATAAAGCTGGCGTCTTGGAAGTCTATTTGCAGCTAGAATTACGTTCCAATATTGGCTTAAGCTTTTAATATATAAAACCAATAATCGTAAAAAATCCAAAGATGAATTTTGTGTCTGTATTTTTACCGATACCGATTTATAGGATCAGGCAACCCTAAAAATATATGTCAAACAAGATCTATCTAGATGTATAATCATTTCGTATCATTCGTTTTATAACAATAAAATGCATGGTTAGTTGACAACTACTTTATTTTTTAAATTCTGACTGGTCAGTCTTTTTACAAAGAGGTTGTAACATTCGTCCCCCCCTATATTTCTTCGATGAGTCGTCGCGGTTGTCTCCTCAGCCGTAAACTACGTCGAGATAAGATTGTAGTAGGTAGGACAGTAGGTGAAGTACGGTTATCCTGGGAAGATTGTATTGGTGTGGATGTGGCAGGTGATGTACTCGCGAAAGTTATTGGTGTAGACATGACTGGTGGTGTGTGTGTTCCAGAGTGATATATGAAAGGGGTTGTTAGAGTGTTGTTTGGAAGGCTGCTAGCTCTTGGTTGAAAATTGATAGGCACTGATATTGGTGTTGCGTTCGCCTTCCCCCAGCGGGGTCGAATGTGGTCGGCGTGCCTTCGCTTCTCTCCATTTGCTGTAGATACAATATATGAATATTTATGTTTTCTATCTTTAATGACAGCTGGTTGCCAAGTTTTTTCTTGTCTTGGATGGATGTTTGGTTTGGAAGGATGTTTAGATTAAAATTTGGTTCGCTTCTATGCTGTTCGATCGTTTCCCTGATCCGTTGATAACTTAATTGTTGTCTCGGGTTTGGTCTAATATTCGACAGGAGACAGTTAAGTCGTCGGCCAAACATTATTTCTGCAGGAGCTTTTCCAGTAGTTGTGTGTGGTGTGTTGCGATAATTAAAAAGGAATTCATTTAGTCTTATTGATAAATCCTCGTTACTATTCGATGACATTCTGTTTTTGAAAGATCGGACAAGTCTCTCTGCTAGGCCGTTCGTTTGTGGATGGTATGGAGAAGATCGAATGTGTAGCATTCCTTGTTTTTCACAGTATTCCTTGAATGCGGTTGAGGTAAATTGTGGTCCATTGTCGGACACAATCATTTGAGGAATTCCAAAAATGCAAAATATATCATCAAGAATTTTACATGTATTATAGGTTGTTATGTTCTTCATTGGTTTGATCTCAATTCATTTGGATAACGCATCACACAAGACAAGCCAATAAAATCCATGGAACGGACCAGCAAAATCAATGTGCATCTTTAAGATCTATTTTTGAAAATAGAAAACCGTTTGATAATGTTTGCCGTAGTTGATCAAAGATAGGGACTGGATGTAAATGTTTAATTAAAACAGGGTTCAATGTACAACTAAAATCTCCGCAAATTCTAATTTGACCCGTGGGCTTGACAACATTTACGGTGGGTGTAGACCATTCTACTGGTGTTAAGTTTGGATCAATTTCCTGAATGATACCATCTGTAATAAGACGTTCCAATTCAACTTCTACGTTGTTTTTTAAACTAAATTTGATTGGGCGTGCCTGTAAATGTATTGGTTTAGCATCTGCAGGGCGATTTTGTAACTCAATAGTGTTAATCACTAGACATTAGTTGACAACAACTATCTGTCAAAGAGCCAGTTTGGTATTTGCTATTTTTGATTGCTAACGATTATGACGTCAAAAGGAACCGAGATTGTTGATCGTCACCGTAAATGAGTTTTTGTATCGATATTTGAAAACTTGCGATTTTGTACGCTTAGTTATCATCAAACTGTTATTCACTTTGATCGTTGAAAGACACTACTCAAAGGTAGTGTTTTATTCTTATATTTTGGTGATTAACAATGTGATTATTATTTTTCTTGTCGTTTAGTGATTTTTATTTGTGTTTCATAATATTGCAGAATTATGGCACGTCTAATTATGTTGAGTTTAGCTGAAGAACAAAATAAAAAACTCTTGTACAGAGAATGTGGGATTCGGAATATTTTTTTTATAATAAGACAAGTACTTTAGTTTTTTAATAGAAATAGTTAATAAGTTTCTTTTTATAATGTGTAATACTATAATTTTTTGTATATTATTAGATATATGATTTTATTTAAAATCTAACTTTATTTAGTTAATTTAAGTTAAATACCAGTTATGATATAAATAGCATATATTTTAAGGTTTGTAAGTGTACCATAATGTTAGATGTTGTAAATAATTAGTTGTAATTTTTTTAATACGCTTTAACATTAAAAGTCAATAATTGTATTAATTTAGAGGAACTTATAACTATCAGAATAAAAATTTACCATTTATATCTCTTCTATTTATTAACAAAATGTCTTATGTCATCTCTAATTTCCCTAATTAATTCAGCAAGTGATTGCACATTATTTGCCATTCTCTCTTCCGCTGCAACACGTCTTCTTTCGATTTGAATAGCCTAAGATAGAAGATAATATTGAGGTGGTGGCCTTTCACGTTGACGTACTGTAATTAATGAAGAAAAATTATTATGTTATCCTAAATTTAGCAAGCCGGTGTTAGGAGTAAAAAATATTTATTTCGTTTGACATATTTCACCAGTCGGTTTGCAACCTTTGCAAAAGGAACTAATTTATTATGTATGTATTAATTTTAGTTGTGTAGCTTTTAATATCATATACATATATGTCACATTAAATCATATTATAAGATGAGTAATTACAAAATAAATAAAATAGGGACGGAATGTCAGTCTTACGATATGGCATAATAAAAAACATTATTAGCAAAAGAAATTATTCATTAATAAATGAAGTAGAAAATTTGATACTTCGTCGTTGTGGTAGAGTTGTTGTATGTGGTCGGTGGTGGTTCGCTGGTTGGTACAACATTGGTGGTGAGTTGGTGAAGTACAAATTCTGTGAACATAGTTACAACTAATATTATACAGGTTTCACAGTGTAGTCATAGTAAACACACACACTATGTCACAGCAGAATTATTATCTAAAAGATATTATTTATAATAGGTAGGTAACAGACTTTAAAACGTCTGTACACAAACCTCCGTCCTTAGATGTTTCAGATTGTGACTGAGTTTCATTATCCTCTATATCTTCTTCTAGCCATTCTATATGCATATCTGCCGGCTCCGGAGTTGACGTCGATTGTATGAATGTGCTTTGAGAAGAGATAGGTGGGACCTAAAAATCATATTTTAATGGAATGAAAAACAAATAAAAAAATTTAAAATCATTTCTAATGCAATTTGTATTTGATAATTATTTTTTAGATTACTAACCGATACATGAATGCGTACACCAGGCAATCCTTCTACAGCTACGGTGCCTATTATTCCCAATGCTATATTGGGGTTCCTTTCCGCAAAGTCCACCAGCAATTCCATTTGCCTTCCACTAACTTTTCTCGGTGCAGGCATTTTAAAGCGATTGTACGTTTTAGTTTGTTAAAACACAATTGTACAGCGCGATGTTATTAATTTAACTAAACATTTACACTTCATACAACGATCCATTATAGTTAACAACTAACTCTTCACAACGTTTCAATTAACAATAACATAAACAAAAATGAAATAAGAACTTTAAAGTATTCGAAATAGCCGCCAAGCCGTAATTTTCAAGGACATAAGTAGTCAAAATAAAATGTTCTTAAAGTACGTGTATTATCACTTGATACAACGCTTTCACAATTTAGTCGAATAATAGTCGATAAAAAATAGTGATGTTCTGTGTTTACGTTATAAGTGGCTATGCCGCCATGTTAGTCACCGTAACTCACCAAGTTACAAAATACCAATAGTTACCATCATTTAGTTATCATCGAATTACGGTGGACAACTGAAGGCTAGTTTATAACTGATTGTCAAAAGTTACAAAATCGGCCTGCTGATCTCACATGTATATTGACTTCATAGGCTTTGATCTTTCCTAATTTTCCATCAAAAAGATCTTGATATTTGTGGAGGATTTCTTTAAGAGAACTGGGTTCAATGTTTCTTATAGAGTAAACTGATTTAGGAAAAGGCATTTCAAAAATCTCACTCCACTGTAGACCAAAAAGCATGGGCTCCGCATTTCTCATAACGACAACAGGTACTATTTTCATTTTCCCTCCCACTTCTACAGCTACGTCTGTGATTCCTTTTGTTTTTAATTTATTGTCACCATATGCTTTTAATTTTGGTGCTGGTAATAATGATGGTGAACCAATTTGTCTCCAAAACGTTGTACTTATAATGGAATACGATGATCCTGGATCCCAGTCCATCGTGCAAGTAATGTTATTAATTTTACAGTCAATCTGCTTACAGTCTTTGTTGTTTAAAATTCTATGAATATTATTCTCATCTTCATCAGAAATGTCAGCACTTGATTCACTTAATTTTTTTTGTCGTTTTAAAAGTTTTCTTACAGGATTATTACCTTTTCCCCATGATAGTATTGCGTTACCAGATTTAAAACAGCATCTTTCAAAATGTCCTTTATTATTGCAAGCAGTACAATAATGTTTAAAAGCTGGGCAATTTATATCATTATGTTTAGCGTTGTAGCCACAACGTAGACATTGGTTTGAAAATAGACGTGTGGGTGTTTGAAATTTAGTTTGAAACCCAACAAGGTTTGTGTTCCTTTTTTACTTTATTAATATTACCTGATGTTGATGGTAAATACATTGTATCATTTTCAGCTTGTTCGCGTGATTGGGCTACTGCAAATGTAGATCAGGCCATCGTTGTCTTAAGTCAGTTTCCAAATTAACCCATTAGTGCATAAAGTTTTCTAACGTCTTTTAAATGACGATAACAAAAATATGTTATAATTTAGAGTGTATTCGACAATTAACTGACATAAAATACTTAGTTTTTGTGAAAGTTCAGATTTTATAGCCCGTCCGATAAATCGGACGTTATGCATGGCGGACACAATTGATGTTAAAAAAGATTAAAATAAAAGTACGGATTTTATAAAGAAATTTATTATAGAAAGTAACAGAAAATAAACATATTTTAATTTAAAATGTGGTATGCCATGTGACATTTCGGGTGAAGGCCTACATCACATTTCTGACACTGAAATTTACTTTTTCCTCCACATTGATTTGCACACCGACGTTCAGTATTTATTGGAACCAGCCAATGTTCTTTACCGTCGTATCTCATTGTAGATAATGGTTTTGCCGGCTTGCGACCTTGATGTGGTGGTGTGCCATGTGTCGAAAGTAAGCTCCTTGCTATGAAGCGTCTAAAAACGAATAAAGACTCAGTATCTCTTGTGCAGCCATTCTTCCGTGCAAGTAACCAGGCATTTACAACCGAAACGTCTAATAAATATGCAAATATGGGCCACCACCATTTCTTTATACGCATCCGAGTTCGTAAGTTTGCCACAGCCTGATCACATTTGTCTACTCCACCCATATACTTATTATAATTTGAAATAAGTGATGGCTGAGGTACTTGCACTTTGGCTTTTTCTTCATTGGACCAGCGTGTGGCAGATGTAATTGCCAGATTTTTCAAAATTAGTGGCTACTGTGACAACATTGTTATCATTCCACCGACATACGAAAACATCATCAGCTACTCGGTAATCGTAATGACCTCGCGCCTCCTTCTTGAATTGTTTTACGTCTTTGACTGGGCAGTTCTCAGTGCGATTAGCTCTCAAGGTGCCTGTAGCATAATAGCCAAGCTCCTTCAGGTGTCTCATCAGGCTCAAAGATGTAAAATAATTGTCAAAAAACAATTTTATGCCACTGTTTGGTGGAAGTTTGCTCAATGTAATTAGGTTGAGAACTACGTCGCCACCTACTCCAAAATCTTTTTTTTTCAGAACTCTTTCCCGTATATAAACTGAACGCTAACATATATCCGGTACTAGCACACATTGCCCAGTTTTTGAAACCAAACCTAATTGGCTTTCCACGGATGAACTGTTTAGCGTAGTGTTTTCCGTAATACGGGATCATGCTTTCATCTACGCTATAGTGTTCATCCATCCCGTAGTGTTTCTGAAATGTTTCACCTAGGCTTTCCAGAACAGGTCGTAATTTATATAATCTATCTGTTTCATTGAGCTCGCTATTATCGTTCAAATGTACATGTTGAAGAATCAACTCAAAACGGTTGCATCTAATGCTATCTTGTAAAATTGTAGGCACGTCATTATCCTTGCAAAAATACAATCGCTTCTTTGGCAACTTGACATAACCCGACAAAAGCATTGCTCCTAAAATAACATAGATTTCGTCCTCTGTTGCCATCAAAGGTTTGTTTTTTTGCAAAGCGTACAGGTTTGTTTGTTTGACTATATGTTTGATGAGATCATTGTGAAAAAATAGTTTGAAGTATTCCAGAGGATTTTGACATTTTTTACTTTCATCTGATGGTGGCTGTGGACGATATTCAGTGCAAATAAAAGCGGGTTCTTCTTTTTTCCAACCTGTAGATTTTTTCTTTTTAGTTGGCGGTGCAGACCTTGAAGGCTTGTTATGAGACATGAAAATAGAAAGGGGCTGCTCGTCTTCACTATCGCTTCTTGATAAAACGTTATCATTTGATGTTCGTTGCTTATTTGAACCGAGTGCTGAAGACGTTGATGGAGTAGAAATATCGCTATCACCTCGAGAACGTTGCAATTCGCAGCTAGCTTGCAGCAGTCTTCGTCCTAAGTGATTTAGGTTCGCACTATGCTCCTCATCGGACTTGTCACTGTCTTCGTCAGTAACCTGATCGGCATGCTCAATAGGGGGCTCAACGTAAATGATATTTTCCACAGTATTATCATACTCCTCACACTCCAAAGCAGATAATATTTCATGAACTTGCAACCTGTAACCATTCAATAAAATACTACATTTAGTATCCGCTGTGCATAGCGTGCGATATATCGGACAGTAAAAGGTTTGCAAGCATAGCATTCAAAATGATCGTGTCTACGTAAAAAAAGTATTGAAAATAAGTATTCCAATAGTTTAGCAATCAAAATAACTTCTTTTTTACCCAAAACACTATACAAATTACAATAAAAACACAATATAAACTTACCTTCGTCTCGAGAAACTTTGACCGTGTGCCGCCATTTTGCAGATTGTCAGCTGATGCTCGGAAAAGTTCATAAATTGTATAATAACTGTATTGCCACTTTTGAATATATATTAAACTACTGTTTTAAATAGATAAACCTTAAATTGAATAAATGTTACCTCTATGATAAAAGTTTTTTTACCGTCCGATTTATCGGACGTTATGCACTAATGGGTTAAATCTATATTTATATCGCCTAGAACGATTATATTACACCGTGTTCACTCGTTGACTACCCTCTGGACGTGAGGGTAGTCAACGAGTGAACACGTATTTTTATTTTGATCTCGCGAAAATTTTAATATAATATTATTATGTGTTAATTTTGGCTTTTCTGTACTCACCAGATGTATATTTTCCTAATGTTATAGTCCTTACTAAAATAGTAGCACATCTTATCACTTTTACAAGCTCAAAGTTTTTCTGTTTTCACTGACTCACTTTTTTGGTGCAACAATGGAGGAATTACAAAAATCACTTCAGGATATGTCGGAGAGGTTTGCTCAACAGATGACAGCATTCCAAAACCAGCTTTCAGGAGCAACAAGGTCATCACCATCATCCACCGAGCCGTCACTATCTTCCTTGAATGCAGAATTCATTTCATTCCGCTCTTCAGTTATTACCTGTCTTGAAAACTTACAAGCCCAGTTGGAAATGCTTTTCAAAATGCAGGATGAACAAGAGATGAGAGATAGAAGAAAGATCCTGTTGTTACATGGTTACAGTGAGTCTGCCGACCTTACTATCGATTCTGTAATTTATAAGCTTTCTGCATGTCTTAAGTGTCCTGAATTGAAACCTGACAGTGTAAGTCGCTGTCAACGAATCGGTGCCAGAAAAGATGCTAAGCCTCGTCCGTTCCTTATAAAGTTTAAAGATATTGATCTCAAGCACAAAATCTGGGCCGCTAAAACCAACCTCAAGGGTTCAGGGCTGACCTTGTCAGAGTTTCTCACGAAGAAGCGACATTATTTATTCATGACAGCCAGGAAAGCTTTTGGTATGCACAAATGTTGGACTAGAGATGGACGTATATTCGCCATGACTCCTAGTGGTTCGCGTCGTCGAATTGAGAGCATGAAGGACATCGAGACTAGTGCACACACAGCCCCTGTTGAGGATCTGTCTCTTTGCTTAGATCCGTCACCAGATTTTCAGAGAAAAGAGTGGATAAACCCCCGCTCCAAGAAGTTGGGTGACGGATAATGGTTTTTTCTTGCTGTTTTGATATGTACCGGTAATAATTGTATCTCCAGTGCTTGTTGTGGGCATTTATTATACTTTAGTTTTTATTCTTAGATGTATAATTGTTTAATGCACCTTGTTTTCACTTCTTATAACTATATAACAACAATATAACTATAGTATCATATGTAGTAACTTTGTTTACATTCTTTAATATAGTAAATGTCACACTCCGAAATGTCATTATGTTTAATGTCATTGTCAAATTACAGTTACCACAGATTTAAAGCATTTAATTTTTCTTTTTCTAGATTATATAGCATCTCTTTCTATTTTGGCGAACGGCCTGTACTGGAGTTAACAATACGTTAAACTATTTTTATGTGTAAGTTAAATTACTGGTGTACAGAATAAGTAATTTATTTAAATCGTTAGGTTAAGTTAATATTTTATATTTAGTTGATAAATTAGGTACTAGCATAACATAATGTTAAATATTCCACAAAGTAATGAAGATAATTTCAATAGTTCTGCACAGTCCTTAAATAATAGTGAAGAATCTGGTCGCGGTGGTGTTAGCGTTCCACGACTGGAGTCATTATTGGCTTCCTCCTTTACAAATTGTCACAAAAACTTTAATGCTGTGCATATTAATGCGCAGAGTATCCCAGCTCACTACACCGAGTTAATTGCATCCTTCTGTTCCAGTCCTGTTCACGCTATTTTAGTCTCAGAATCTTGGCTAAAACCGTGCCTGTCCTCTTCTATGTACTCGTTACCAGGCTTTAATCTTATACGGAATGATCGTGTTGGCCGTGTCGGCGGTGGTGTGGCTATTTATTTACGTTCTGATATCGTATATAACTTGCTTAGTACCTCTCCTCAGCCGCCTCCAGCCGATGCTGCAGAACACCTTCTAATCGAAATTGCTCTTTCCTCGACAAAAATTATGCTAGGAGTTTTCTACTCTCCTTCCTCGCATGTTAACTATTTTTCTTCCTTTGAAAAGACTCTCGAAAATTTCTCTCCGCTTTATACTCACTCTATTATCATGGGAGACTTTAATACTTGTCTTTTGAAGAATGACTTCCGCAGTAAAAAAATTAACTCTATAATAGCATCTTCTAACCTTAATTTACTACCTCTTCAAGCAACTCACTTTTTTCCAGGCGCTTCTCCTTCTCTTCTTGACCTTATAATAGTATCTTCTATCAACCATGTCGCAAAACATGGCCAGCTATCAGCCGACTCCTTTTCGTTCCACGACCTGTTGTTTCTCTCATATACCATTCGCCCTCCGAAGAAGAGGCATAAGATTATATTGCAGCGAAACTTTAACGCCATGAATGTTAATGACCTGAATAATGACGCTCGTATGATTGATTGGGGTGATGTTTTAACAGCTGATACGATTGACAAAAAGATAAATAGTTTTAATAACTATGTAAACAAGCTGTACAACAAACATGCTCCTATTCGGCCTGTTAAAATTAAACACTTTCCCTCTCCCTGGTTAACAGAGGAGTTAAGAAGCCTCATCCATAAAAAAAATTGTGCTAAGGCTAAGTTTAAGCTTAACAACAATGACGCCAATCAGGCGAGATATAGATCCCTCCGAAATGAATGCAACAGAAGGTGTAGGGACTCTCAGAGGAGATATTTTTATAAATCCGTTGAGAGCGGAAACACGCCTAAAACCTGGAAGTTTCTCAATTCCTTGGGTATCGGCAATCGGTCTCGCTCAGTTTCAGTATCTCCCAATTTTAATCTTGACTTACTTAATCAGCACTATACTTCTTCTCCTAAAACTTTCGATCCCTCTAAAAAAGCTGAAACTCTAAATTTTCTCTATTCGCTCCCTAAACCTGGCTATCCTCAGTTTTGCTTCTCTAATTTCACGGATGAAGACGTTAAGAGAATTGTCATGTCGGTTACTTCTAATGCCTTGGGCTGTGATAGCATTGGTCGTGCTATGATTCTTCCTATTCTTGACGTAATATACCCTATCTTAACACATATCCTGAACCATTCCATACGTACAGGAGAATTTCCTCTCATCTGGAAAAAAGCCTACATTATTCCTCTCCCAAAAGTTAATATTCCTACTAACTCAAACGATTTTCGCCCTATTTCAATTCTACCCTTCCTTTCTAAAATCTTGGAAAAATTAATACATCAACAGCTTTGTCTCTTCCTCAACAAGAACTCTCTTTTCAATTCTCATCAATCAGGCTTTCGAGCTGGTCATAGCACGATTACTGCATTGCTAAGGGTAACTGACGATATCCGAATGGCTATAGATGATAGACAAGTTACAATTTTGACTCTGGTTGATTTTTCTAACGCTTTTAATACGGTTGATTTTGATGTTTTACTAGCGCAATTACGCTCTCTTAACGTCTCGACTACAGTTCTTAATTGGTTTAATAACTATCTGAGGGGCCGCCAGCAGTGCATTCGGGTGGGTGATACTACCTCTTCGTGGAGCACTGTTACTTCCGGTGTACCTCAGGGTGGTGTATTATCTCCTCTCCTCTTTTCCATCTTTATAAATTCAATCTCCTCTCTATTCTCGTGTCGTCATCACTTATATGCCGACGATCTCCAAATCTACACTCACTGTTCTTTAGAAAACATCTTAGATGGGATCAAATTAATTAACACCGATACTCAAGTAATTATAGATTGGGCAAATTCACACGGCCTTTTAATAAATCCGATCAAAACGCAGGCAATTATTATTGGAAGTCCCCAACAACTGTCGAAAGTAGATTGGAACAATCTACCTCTTATAAGCATACATGGTACCAAGATTCCTTATAGTAAGTCGGTTAAGAATCTTGGGATCTATATTGATGCCACTCTGTCATGGAATGATCAGATTAACAAAGTTAGTAGAAAAGTATACGGCGTTGCAAATATGCTGCGCCGTCTACAAAACTTTTTGCCAATTCCTACAAAAATATTGCTTGCGGAGTCATTGTTGTTATCCTTACTCGACTATGCCGATGTTTGTTATTTAGATCTAACTGAGGAACAAGTAAATAAGTTGGAGAGGCTTCAAAATTTTGCAATTAGATTTATTTATGGTCTCCGGAAATACGACCACGTGTCAGAATTCCGTGCTAAACTTAATTGGTTGCCTATTAGACTACGACGAAACACTCACATCCTCTGTCTTCTTTTCTCTATTCTCTTCGATCCTCGCACTCCTACCTATCTTAAACAAAGGTTTATATTTATGGGTTCTTCCCATGAACTTGACCTTCGTTCCTCATACAACCGTCTCCTTTCTATGCCTGCCCATTCATCTAAATGCTATGACTCTTCTTTTTCTGTTCAGGCTGTTCGCCTATGGAATAAGCTCCCACCCGCGATTAGGCTCTCACAAAGTCTTGACTCCTTCAAGACCAAAATCAAAGAACATTTTCTTGAAAGTATTGTCCAGTCTTGATGTTATTGGCTTATACTTTTATTATTTATAAAGTTGCATCTTTGTAAAATCAACATTAAATCTTAAGTTTTTACTATTTAGTGTGTTAACGTTTTTTGTTGTGTTAGTTTTGATATCAATGTATTTTACAATTTATTGCATATTCTCTCTCATTCTCGTTGACTTTTACTCATTTATTGTTATTTTGTTTTCCTTTTCTTTATACAAAGGTTGCCTGGAAGAAATCGCCATAGGCGATAAGGCCGCCTTTGCACTAACTCTTTTATGTAAATAATTATTTTAGTTTTACTATATCTGTATTTTATTTGTTTGTGCAATAAAGTGTTTTATTATTATTATTATTATTACACTTGGGTGGGGAACACTTTAACTGTTCGGATAGCTCAGAGATAAAGAGGGACTGATTCGTCGATGGGGGCCTATACACAACACACACTGACACTTGGTAGTTATGATTCGTCTTTATAGCACCCGACACACACTCGTAACTGCGCGTCGAGGTTTGATGCCGGTGAAATGTTAGACTGTTATGCACGTACAGAATAACGCCACCTCCTTTCCTCTTGTCACGAAGGGCATAGTACATTTCATAGTTCTTAATTTCGAACAGCTTGGCACACCCGTTTGAGATATTCGCTTCCGTGATTGCTATCATGCTGATTATTGAGGAACTTGTACTTATAATATGTTCTAGCTGGGAGAAATTTTTAATCATAGATCTAATGTTAACGTGTAAAACTAATAGTGGATGGCTGCGTGCTGGTATATCTTCTGTGAATTCGTTCCAACAATCATGATTCGTTTCTACTATACTTGAAGTTATAGTTTCCATGTTAGTTGGTTAACTTAAATTGCAGAGATATACCTATATCAATTACTCGTCCTCTTGTTCTTCTCTTGTAATGTTAAATGTTTTATTTTGAAATAAATTCTTTACCCTCCTAATGTCATCCTCCGACCTTATAATGTGTATTATATCTTTTTCAGTTTTTCTAGCTTTGATTACTCCGTTTTTGAACCAAACAAACTTACATAATTCATTTTCGAATAGTAATTGCTTTGCTTTCCACAGCAAAAACGCATTGTTAGGTAAGCGATGTAAAAACCTTTATTCTTGTATTAGAATGTAAGCCTGTCGGCTCGTTTAATTTTTGGCATAAGGATAGGCAAATATCTGTTATATTTTCTCCCTCTTTTTCTTCAATTCCATGGACTTCGGCAGAGCTTTGAAGCATGTTTTGTTCGTGATTGTTCATTTTTTGCTGTAGAACGCTTACTTTGAGATCCATATTTTTATTGTGGTTTGTTAGGTCTCTAATTTGATTTTCGTACCGTTGAATTTTGCTCTCATACTCGTCCATTCTATCTATGTAAAACTGTAACACACTGTGCAGCTCCGTTTGCATAATCTCTCTTATTTCACTTCGAATATCATTCATTATAGATTCCCTATAGTTTGACTTAGGAAGGTTCTCCTTATCGTTGTTTTCTTCTTCTTGATCGGGCATAATAAATGAAAGACGCTTCGGTCTGCAGATACCCGCACAGTTTCGACACTTCCAATCGGCGGATTCGGTGGAGAACAAAACACTGAGCTGATCAGACGATAAACTAGCACATGTTCCATGCACCCATTTATTGCATTTCATGCATTGTAGCCCCGGTATTTTTTTAGTAATAAGTTTATTGCACTTTACACACTTCGCCATTTTTTTAAAGGTCAACGCACTACCTTCCGCAACGAGACGTAAGTCGGTAACGGGTCGGGTTGTAACAATTCGTTTCGTAGCTTTTTTGTCGTACGTAACGGGTATTTGTTGGTGCTTTTTTCAAAACGAAAATTTTGTTTGCCTTTGGATTCTGATTTGCTTACATTACACTTATTTGATGATTTTAGTAACTTGAGGTAGGTGACAAAAACACATACAAGCATGGGTGGAGCAAAAATATTGCATTTGATAAAAGTGAAATGAAGGCCCAACTTTAGTCAGATTTACGCGAAGCGATTACAGAAGAAACAATTTGATGATCGAATGGCCGAAAAAAACAGCCTTATAGTCCTCGGCTTCCGTCATACCACTGCGAATTAAATTCGATCGAACTCTTGACCAATTTGACGTTTTATGTTGGATGAATTACAAAAGTTTCAAAATTTTTGAAATTAAAGAACTAATAAAAGGAGTCATAGAATAGACGGAGACACTTGGCAAAAAACGATAAACCATGTAGTTAAATGAAATTATTAAATTAGATAGGATTATCGATGCAGCATATCGTCGACGCGACTGCAATAGCGCGTAAGAGCAATTTGCAATACCGCGTATCAGTATTTTATCAATTTTACAGTAGGAAGAAATAATTGATTATCTTGGTCAATAGAATAAATCTGTTTGACCGAATTTTTTCGTGGTTCCTTTGCATGATATTGCATAGGAATATCATCAGATTTTACAAATATCTTTATTATATATTGAGATATATCACATGCGCGTTATTGCTGCTAAAGAATAAGTAGAACATTGTCTATTTGAGTAGTTCAGCGGTATTAAAAAAAAAAAGTAAAAGTTTATAATAATTTAATGTCACATAATGAATAAAATTCTTCCAAATTTTTAAAGAGCAATACAATGAAAACATTACTTACATGTAGCATGAAAGTACCTTAGTCTTAAGCTTAACTATTAAAAGAAATAAAATCTTATAGACTGAAAGTTACATTTAGGAATAAAACACAGTCTTTACAATTATTAAAGGAACTATTGATTAGTAATCATTGCTTTTAACAGAAAACAACTTTTAAAAAGAAACTTTTAACTTAAACATAAATTGGCACTATGGTAGGCTTAAAGAAGTTTAATCACTTCTATATTTGGAACAAAACATTAACTTATTATAATTAAGTAGTCGAAACAAAATGTCAGTCTCCTTAGTTTTCCATTAAATCACAACACTAAAAATAAAATCATAGTTCTTAATAATGATATTAACAATCAGCAATAAATCCTGCTCTTTCTATTTGTATGGTAAATTATCAAAAAAGGCATGGCAATCTTTTGGAAGTATACTCTTCAATTCTTGTAAATGATCAAACTTTGTTTTGGCAATTGCCTGCCTCGTTTGGTAAAGTGCAGGAACCATGTTGATCACAGATGACAGTTTTTTTGGTCTTCTAGGCAGAGGTAGAAATTCATCCGTAAAGTGAAGCTTAAAGTCTATTGTACCGTTTGGATTATACCTTAGTGCTCTTATATCAACAACGCAGTGATCACCTGTCCCACGACCAGGTCGAATGGATTCATAGATATGGTAATCCTTCTTAATCTTTGAAAAATCTGTGGTCAGGTGTAATTACTTCGTAAGGAAATGGTTTAGTTCTAGCTTCTTTAGTGATGGTAGCATATTGTGAGGGTTAAAAGATTTCCCGATTTTTCAATTTCCCTTCAATTACTGAGTGAACAGAGTCGACTTCCATTTGGGTGAGCCCTTTTTCCAAATATTTCTGTGTTATGACTATGTTCTTTGCCATAGCTAATCTCAGCAACGTATTTGACACAATATTGTTCCTATTTTGCGCAGTACAACCATCTGTATAAATTATCACATCTTTTGGACTATCATTATCATAACTTGCTAACATAATCTTCGAAAAATGATGCGTATGTCGTAGATTTCAAATCACAGACTGTTTCGTCAAACCAGTAACATGTGACACCATTATTTCCCAGATTGTAGACTGAGAAATTGTGTACAGCAAGTTTGGTTTTGAAATAAAGTGCGCTTGCATTCAGAACAGGACATAGTTTTACTGCTTGAAGATCTGCCGTTAATGCATGCTTCCTTTTTGTGCTGCTTCTTTGTCTCTATTTTTTCAGCTCTTGCCGTATTTTTCAGTTCTATGTGTTCTTTAAACTGTTCATCTGATAAATTACCTGCCTTATGAGCGCAGCAAACGTCACAAGCATCTTTTTTAGGTGAAAAAAGGCCAATATTTTCTTCAAATTATTTTCGCTTTCAAAAAGTTTTCTTGAAACTGCAGGTGCATTTCTTGATTGTGAATAATCAAATTAAAGTCGATACAATTGAGCTTTTGACTGTATTACAGGTTCTAAATATAGCTTAGAAGTTTATTGCCTGCAATAGTGTGATGGAAGTTTCGCCAGTGCAGTTAAATATTTCTTGACCATTTCTTTTTTGTTTACTTTTGCTTGCGATTGATATTCTGTTACAGATATGTTCAAATTCAAATTTAAAACGTTTATTGCCATAAAATATATTTACAAACTTATAACTAAATGTGTACATAAAAAGAATAATAATATAGTAATAAATATATAAGAGGTGGCAATCGGTACCAGTCTCAGCTATGCTGCTGAATGCTTGTCACACTCAGCAGCGCTGGTTTTCAGACTGGCCCGCGCATAGAAGTTAAGGAGTGATTTTTAGTAAAGTGGTATAAAATAACAGTATCAAACATATACATAATAGAGCAACAATACTAACCATTAATTAATGCACATCTGCTTTCCAAGGAGGTCCAGTTTAACATGCCGCTTGAACGTCGTGAAGGTCATCTCCTTAGAACTAGCTCTAAGAGGTGGAGGCAGATCGTTCCATATTTTTGAAGCGGCATATTTGAATCCTCCTTGGAAGTTAGATGTCCTGTGCTTGGGGATGAGTAAAAGATTCTGCGTCCTGCTCCTTGTGTTAAGAGAGTGCGAAGTTTCGGCCGATTCTAACTTCTCGTAGAGATAGCGGGGTTTCTCTCTTTCTTCTTCTTGGGAGCATAAGTTTTTTCTCCTAACCAATATCGAACCGTCCACTCTTTAATTCCCAATCTACCAAGGAAAGTTTTTAAACAAACTCTTGCTTTTATATTATAAACCTTCAAATAGTAAACTTTAGTGTCACTTCGTCTCGAATTTGAGGTTTTAGTTTTTCTTGCTGTTGCTTTTTTTTCCACCATTGAAGCAACAAAATTTTTCCTTTTGTGCCAATTAACCCTCCAAAACCCCTTAAAAAATTTTTTATCTAACTTCTTCTGTTAATTATGAACAATGCATGACTTTACTAGTGAAACATCTCTCTGACTTACATGGTTGACCCATTGTTCTTGCTGGTTTAATTTCTTTTTGAGTATATCGCTCCTTTTTTAAATCTAACATACTCCCCCCCGTTTTTCCCCTGACGCTTTTATTTTTATTCTTTTCCAATTATCTTGATCGAGTTTTTTCCGCTTATTCGTCAGTTCTTCTTCGATTTCTCTTTCAGGAAAAAACTCTACATTTTCTACAGATAGTGGCCTCAGATTTGTTATCTCTGTGAGAGGGAAAAAGGTAGGATCTACCACGGAATGATCGGATGAGAAATCAATATCACTATGATGATGTATGGAAATAACATTGCGTGTGCTGTGATCTTCTTTCTCTATTAGTGAGGGATCAAAAAATGTTATAAGTGTAGTCAATTCTGGTATATTATTGTCATTTGGACGGTTATTTTCGTAATCTTCAATTATAACAGTTTTTTTTTTACAAATTGCAATGTTTGTTCATTTTTACTTTCTTTGCTTCTGTATAATAATTGTTTTTTTTTTCGAGTAGTAATTTTCGCCTTTCGCATATTTCTTTTAAATTTAAGCGTTTCTTCAATTTTTTTTTTTTTTCTTTTTTCTTTTTTTTTTTTTTTTTTCTTCCCCCCCCCCCTTTCCTTTTTTTTTTTTTTTTTTTTTTTTTTTTTTTTTCCCCCCATTTTTTTTTTTTTTTTTTTTTTTTTTTTAAACCCCCCCCCCCCCAACAAAAAAAAAAAATTTTTCCCCCCCCTTTTTTTTTTTTTCCCCCCTTTTTTTTTTTTTTTTTTTTTATTTTTTTTTTTTTTTTCCCCCCCCCCCCCCCCCCCCCCCAAAAATTTTTTTTTCCCCCCCCCCCCTTTTTTTTTTTTTTCCCCCCCTTTTTTTTTTTTTTTTTTTTTTCTTTTCGCATATGTCTTGTAAAGTTGAAGCGTTACTATTAGTATTTCGATTTTCCAAAGTAGACTGGTCACCATTATCTTGGTTTTCCATTCCATCTTCCATTTCCTAACGAAAAAAAGGCTGTGTTCGGCGAAGCTTGAGCTATGTCCACTTCCAACCGCTGAAGAGTTGAAGGGAGACTCCTTCAACGGGCGGGATGATGTTGCGGCGCAGTAAAGGATTACATCAATGAGCAGGCAAATGCATTCAAAGCAGCATTGCCTGTCCGTTTCGAATTTTTCTAAAACTTTTTGTAAAATTTGTGACCCGCACTCTACATCAATGGATGGTAAAAGTATATCGTCTAAAAATGCTAGTGTATCATTCTGCCATACACAAATACTATTGTTATTATTTTTGCTCACAGATTCAACTATTTTATTAATCATTCTCATGAAAACAGATGGTGCATTTGTCAAACCAAAAGGTACCCTTTTATATTCATAATGGCCTTGATGTGTTATAAACACGGTTTTATGTGTATCTTCAGGACTTAGCATCAGTTGATGATAACCTTGGGACATAACTAAGCGTGTGCAATACATTTTACCAGCTAACTTTGAGATCTGATCGTCTATATTTGGTAATGGATATCTATCTTTGACTGTTATAGCATTTAGAGCACGATAGTCGATGCATAGCCTATGATCACCATTCTTTTTCTTTACTAAGATTACAAGAGAAGCAAAACTAGACTCAGACTCCGTTATTATGCCAGCATCTAACAGCTCAGATACCTTGGATTTGACTATTGCTTGTTCACTATGAGATAGCCTATAGGGCCGGCGATAAATAGGCATTTCACTCTAGTAAGTTTAATTTAATCTGCACTCACTTCAAGTTTGTACATCCTAGGTCATTAGTGTTACATGCAAAGCAATGACTATATTTATGTAATAAATCTCTCTTCTTGTTTTCATTTATGAGCCCTACTTTGATATTACTGAAAGGTATACCACCTATGCAAGAATTAGTGGATAAGGCTTGGCTATTAGATTGTTTAGGACAAACAGAAAGACTACACACCTGGCTTATTGGCTGTGGCTCCTGGCAGCTCTCAGCCCTTGTGAGAACCTTTCCAGACGGCCACTCGATGGTCTCGCAGTTGGAATTGATCACTTAATAAACTTCGATAAGTTAATAGAAAATCAAGCGGAATCAAATAAAACCGTTCAGTCAATCTTTAAAAAAGATAGCATCGACGAACTGCACACTATTAAATTTGCTAGATTTGCGCAATCATTAGATTCACTTGATGATAATGTAGGCGAGTTATTACGCCCTATTAGAAATGTAAAAGATAGTTTAGTCTATACGCGTAGTTGTAGTGCACATCATATAATGCTAAGAATAGATATGTTACGCAGTATTTTAGGAACGCTAGTAAGTCTCTATGACAAGAACCAATTATTATTAGACCTTGACCGGCGGGAATATTATAGTATTATTCGCACTGGCTCATATTATTCAGAAAACAGGATAGTTATAGTGTTGAGGATTCCGATTGTCTCTCCAATTATGTATAATCTTTATAAACTTTCAATTTTGCCGAATCATCTGAATCAAGTCCTCATCCCACCATATCCTTATATAGCAACCAATGGTAATGATTACACGGGTCAACATGAAATTTGACTTTGATTGAAAAGCATTAAATTTCGGTTGTTTAGGTCGTAATAAGACGGAAAAAAAAATATGGCATGAAAAATTTTGCTTTTGTGCTTAGAAGACTGATTGAACAAAATTTAAAAAAAATCTCGGATTTAAATTTTTGATTGAAAATAAAAATGTTTATTATTTTTATTAAGTTTTACTATCAAATTAGCTTACAGAAAAGTGGAAAATAACTTAAAAGTGCACACTTTTACTTTTTTTTTATGTTCATAGCTACTATCTCTCAATAAACCCCAAATATAGTCGCCCATCATGTTTTCATTGAATTTTTTCATTGGCCTTGATAGCGTTGTTCAAAATTCATGATGTCCTGATGGAAACTTTCTCCTTGCTCTTCGGAATAGGCTCCCATATTGTTTTTAAATTTATCCAAATGAGCATGCAGAATATGTACTTTCAATAACATCCTGCAGGCCATGGCCTTAAAATTTGTAAGCATATCCTCAACCAACTTTTCGTAGATTTCAGCTTTATTATTTTTCAAAAATCCAGAAACTACTGCTTTAAAACTGTTCCAACTCGCTTTTTGAGTACGATTCAGCAACTTTGGAAATTTTTCATCGGCGAAAATCTGTCTTATTTGCGGACCAACAAAAGCCCCACTGGAAAATAAAAAATAAGTTAATTGAAAGAAATGGGATACTATACAAAAAGAATCGAAACAAAGTTAAAATTATTCTATCTGAAGAAGCCAGTGTCATGCTAATAAAAGAAGTACATACTGAATGGTGCCATTTAGGGATAAATCAAATGATAAATAAAATTAGTCCTTATTATACAGCAAAAGGTATAACAAGAAACAAAGAATTATGCAAGGATTGTGAAACCTGTATTAAAAATAAATCTAGAGGCCAAAATAAAATTGGATTAATGTCACATCTGGAACCAGCATCAAAACCATTCTAGATCATATCGATTGATAGTGTGGCTTTGGAGGACAAAGATCGACAAATAAATACCTACATTTGTTGGTTTATCATTTTACAAGATTGCGTTCATTTTAACAACAAAAACGCAGAATTCTACAGATTTTATTAAGTTGGTAAAAAAAGTTTTGGAGACCGATAAAATTGAGATATTACTAACAGGTCAGTTTCCCGGGTTAAATTCAAAAGAATTTAAGGTTTTTTACTGGATAATCAGGTAAAACTTATTTTTACTGCTGTTGATACTCCGTTTTCAAACGGACTCAATGAAAGATTGAACCAAACACTAATTAATAAAATGAGGTGTACAATAAATGAAAAAAAATAAAAAGAAATCCTGGGCATTAATTGCGAATGAATGTATAAACAAGTATAATGAAACTGAGCACTCAGTAACAGGCTTTGCGCCAGCATACTTATTAGAAGGAAAAGTCACCAGTGTCTTGCCTTAAGAACTACGACAATCGAAATCCAATGAATATTGGTGGAGACACTTGGGTTAAAAATAGAAAGCACTTGAATGAAGCAATTGAATTATTTGATAAAGGAAGGAAACAGAATGAATTCACCATAGGTGAATTGGTATATATTGAAAACAAAAGCTAGATAATTTAAGAATCGGCCCATTTCAGACAAAATATCAAATACAATATAAAGAATGAATACAGGAAAAAAAAGATACAAACGTATACCACATAACAAAATTAATTCTTATGGAAGACGAAATTAATGATGAAGAGGATAATGCTTAGTAGAAGGTGAACTTCGATAAGAATTATATGAGTAATTCTCATCCTGGACGAGGGAGATGTAAAGAATTACTGAGTTTCAAATGTGCGCGCGCCACTTGTTCAAGTATTTGTCGCATGATGGCGCACTAGTCGCATACTAATTATAATATAATCTGTCATTAAAAGTTATAGAATGATATTAGTCTGTGCGTGTATCGAAATTTTTGTAATGTCATTGTTTATATGCGGTCGCCTAAAAAGTGCGAATTATAATCTTTTATTGTAGTTTCTTTTTCCAGAAACCACTTAAAGTGTTATTATTTCACTAATAATCTTATAACATAATATCACATAATTGTGAGTTTTACTAACTCTACTCAATATGTATCATTTATAAATTAGCATTAAAAAAATAAAACAGCACAACATACCTTAAAAAATCCAAAAATATGCGTTGACCAAATAAATTCAATCACAACTTTTTCAAATCGCCGCGCGCAAAAGAGCCTAAACGTTAAATTTAATTGTTAGAATAAAATTCCGGTACATCTAACAAAAAAAAACCTGAGTCTGACATTGTGGATGACTAAAACGGCCACGGCTTACGGATGAAGGAGGAGGCGTAGGCTCTGGACCTGAACGATTGGACTGCGGCGATGAACAAGATGCGTATATGCCTTATTACAAATCTAATTACAAAAGACTTTATCCGGAAAACTCAACCAACACAAATTTTAAAGTATATGTTGAATCCACAAACGACGATAGATTAGGCAACAAGAGCCCTATATATTTAAACCATATTTTTGCAATGGACATAAAAAGTGTGAGGGGTATTCAGAGCGAATGCCAATAAAATAGAAGTTATTTTCAAGCAATACAATACGGCCAATAACTTTATTAATAAATACTTTCCTTACAAAACATGAAATGAAGGCGATTATACCTTAAAAACCGGAATAATTCGATTTGTTCCGGCAAATATATCTAACAAAGAACTTTATACATGAGCGCAATAATGTTCAATATGATTTGATCTCGTACAGAGTCTTTAAGTACATTCCACCATTACTGCAATGCTATAGATGTTTCAAATTTAATTATTCAGCTAAAATTTGCAATGGTAAGCAAAGATATTTGTGGAGATCACTTGTGGAATGCGATAAACCAACAGAAATCAGATGCATAAATTGCAGTGGTATTAATCTTGCGATTTATAGATTATGTCCTATTAAAGCAAAAAAGATTATTGAAAAGAAAAACAACATTTCTTTTGCTAGTGTCGCCTTAACAAAACAAATCGTCACCAATGAAACAGATTTCCCTCCACTACCACCACCAAAACCACAACTTGTAAATAGTAATGTAATTAGTAAGTCTGTAAATATTTCTTCAAATAAATCTGTACATGTTGTAAAAAAAGTTCAAATAGTCCTCTCTAAAGACCTTAAAAGTCAAATAATTTGCAACAGCGATGTACTTATGGCCCTAGTGCAGACGTTGATGGAATTAGCAAATAAAGATGACAGCACACCAATTAATATTTCAAGCATTAAAGATGCATTATTAAAAAACTTAACGTAATGGATTGTGTAGGGCCTAGTTCTACACAATCCAAGCTATCTATTGCTCAGTATAACATTCAAAATCTTCATTAATCCAATTTTTAAAAGAACAAAATATTGACATTTGCCTTCTTAATGAGACATGGTTTAAAGTTGATATTTTTAAAGTACCAGTAATATTTATAACAAAAATTCAAATAATGCATATAGAGGAGTTGCCATATTAATAAAACCATATCTTAAATATAAAATATTTAATACCAGATTTAATTAAGACATTCAAACAGTTGCTATATCTGTATCAACTGGTAATAGTAGTACTAAAAACGTTCTCTGTGTATACTGTCCTCCTGGGCGTATACTAGTAGTGGGCGATATAAATCGATACTAAAAAAATATCGATACATTACGCGATAATATCGCTTCCATCTGATATTATCAAAACGCCTAGTATCGAATTGAATATCGATATATTTCATCCGATATACCAAAAATCAAATTATTTCGAATTGCTTATTCCTTTAAATGTGCAACACTGACAAATTAAGTAAGTATAAAAACATTATTTTATACATTATTGATAAAGTATGACGCATCATCAACAGTAATGAAAAATAAATTATGCTCTGTAGAAAATCTTACACTAACAAGTGACATTTGGTCAGATCTACAAAGGCGAAGTTATCTAGGTGTAACTGCTCATTTTGGCATCGGAATTGAATTTCATGTTGTAACTTTAGGTGTTTACCACTTAGATGAAAGGCATACTTCCGAATACATTGCACAAACGCTCACTAAAACATGTGAAGAGTGGGGATTTAATACTGATAAGGTCACAGCAGTAGTAACAGATAATGCTGCAAATATGGTAAAGGCTGTCGAAATAGCATTTGGGAAAAAAAAGCATATACCTTGTTTTGCGCATACACTTAATTTAGTAACTCAACATATTTTGGCTATTCCAGAACTACAGGAAATATTACCAAAAGCAAAAAAAAGTCCCTCCACTCCATCGCTTGGAGCTTTCCCGACGTCATGGATAATCCTGCGTTAGAGGCCCACGCCTCGAAAGTAGCGAATGAACAACTCAGCAATGTCTCTGGTTGATCGTGTTTTTTTAGATACAGGATAAATTCCTTCATAATTCTTTGTATTGTCTGACCCACATTGAATAGTCTCATGTCCTGCTTTTCTAGGGCATGCGTGTTCAGAGCCCTTAAAAACGGTTTTAAAACCCTCAATGTCATTGCGGCGTTCCAATAATTTTCTAACCTATACCGTGATTCCTCATCTGTCGTTTTCTTTGAATGGCTTGAGTCGTGCTTTTTTTTCGAAGGCTTCCCTTTCTTCAAAACAGGTTCGATTTCCAGAACAAATTGAGTATTCGGGTCGGGGAAATTCTCCGTTGTTCTTAGCAACCCACATTGTTCACAATTTCTGCTTGATTTTCGTAAGTAATTTGTGATTGCCCGTTGAGCTCCGTCTCTTGGTCTAGATCCACTGTTTGGGGTTTCATAATTAAATATTAAAAATTCGCGTAGAGCCGCAATGAAATTTTCAATACATCCCGGTTATGGTTCGATTGTAGTCGGGCTTCAACGTTGCATACAAATACACATAAAGTTTGTTTAATCGGGACTAGAGTTTAAAAAAAAAAAAAACAATAATTTTAGAAGAAAAATGTTTAATAAAGACGAGACGATGATGACAAATGACAATAATCATCCTGTGCCTTTATCAGAAGTGGGGTCTGAAGGGCTTACTTCAGAGGATAACACGCATACCAGATCTTCAGCACCGACACCAGAGCAAAGCCTGTCACAACAAATGCAATTGTTTTATCACGGATGTTGGCATTACAACAGCCGCAACTGGCTAACAGCGCGTCTATCCAGTTGGTTGACTTTAACCCTGACGCCAAGGAAGCAGACATTGAAGGTTGTTGCAACGTAACCGAAATCGTAATCAAAGGCCGTAAGTTGGAGGGCGCAGACCTGCAATTATTACTAGCAAGGCACTAAAAGGTCAAGCTACTACATGTTTAACACGACTGCAGGCATCGCAGATGACTTGGCCGCAAATAAAGGAACTGTTGCTCGCAAAGTTTGCCAAACCTATGATGCTACAAGACCATTTCGATTTAATTATACGTTTTCAAGTTGGCGCTAAGGAAACTGCGACAGAGGCTGCTATACGCCTTTGGAACATCATTAGACGAATTCCGCGGACGGAAATGCTTGAAGACATTACTACGGGATTTGTATCGTGAGTTTTATGTCAATAGGACGGACTAATTCGTCGAGAGCTCCAATCTCATAACCCTACAACTAGATCTCAACTTTTGCTAATTATCATATACCAGTGAAGCCACCCAAAACACCATAGTCTATTTTAAAAAGCCTAGAAGTCCAACTATGAAAGATAATTTATGTGGAGTACATGTACGGATGTTGACCCCGTGGACGTCAAACAATACCCCATTAAGGACAGAGACGCCTCATGCAAAATAATGGACTAATTATTGAATAATAGCCTCATTCTAAGAACGTGCACGCAATGAAGAAGGAACACCTGTAACCTTACCACACATACGCTCGCTACCAGTTGTTAGTTAAGTTTATATTTTAAGTCCTAATTTGTAATATTTTAAATAAAGTTTTTTCTATAAATAACTCAGTTTGAGCTATTTTGACTGGCGCCCAACGTGGGGCCCAGCAACGTGAATTCTCGTCGCAAAAATATAATTATATTACGACGCAGTCATAACGATTCCGTTAAGTTATTACGACCAAGAATCACGGTATCTCTTAAGATTGAAAGTTAAAAACCACGGTAAAATAAATACGTCAAAAGACTCAAGAAAGAAATGTACAAGGCAATAATCTACACTCTCGTGTAAGTACCTTGCTGCATATACTCCTTTCAAAATTCCTTTCTTTCTGAAACCCCCTACTTTTTATTTATAGAAACAATAGTCTTAGTGGTGCGAATCGACACCTTCCTTCTAATATCGAGGGCAATAAAATGTCGGCGCGTAGCGTATCCGGTGATATCATTAAAAAAACCTTCGTATAACGGAGAAAGTAATACTTTGTATAATTATTTAAATTGTGCTAAACAATGGTTAGAGTTTGTCGGTGGGGAAAATCCCGCAAATGTAATGTACTGCTAAGTAAATTAGAAGGAAAAGCTTCTTTGTGCGTCACTATGATAGATCACGCTTTCAAATGGATAAACATAGAAAATATCCTAAAAAAAGAATGTGGAGATAATAGAGAATTTAACACATTGTTAGTAGAGCTAACCAACTTAAAACGCAAAGTAACTTTCGGTGATTTAATTTTTGATATAAAACAAAAATTATTTTTTATAAAATGCAAATTAATCGATGAACATAGGGACAGACAAAAAGTCGAAGCTATAATGCTGCCATATATAAGCGTAGCACAAAACACGTTACGTAATAATTTACCGTATTATGATCAAATATACGTGACAAATTGTAGTTTTGAGGAAACAGTCACTAGAATATTACATTTAGAAGCTGAAGGAAGATTCGATAATATTAAACAAAAAATTTCAAATATCTTACCTTCGCCAAAAATAGTTCAGAAAGTTGTAAGACCCAATTATCCATACTATTCAAATACGTCAAAAAATTATCCACAACCAAATAATAATATGAGATATGCTTATACGCAAAATAATAATGTAAGACATACTTATCCACCTACGCCAAGGTCTTTAAATCAACGACTACAACAGAACTGGCCTCAATACCCAAATAAACCGCGAAATGAATTTTTTAGACAACAATTTCAAAACAGAGGACCGCAATCTTTTCAAAAACGGTTCCAAAACGAAGATGTATCGATGAGAACGGCACCCCCCTTATAGGCAGGTCAAGTAGATTTAGGAAAAGGTTTTACGTCTGAAGAAGTATTCCATCTTGAACGGAATAATGATAACAATGAAGAAAATTATTTTAATTGTCAAAATGAAAATTTTCAAATAGATAAACATTAAAAGAAGTTAGAGGATTTTTAGGATTAATAGGTTATTACAGAAAATTCGTTCCTAATTTAAGTAAAATAGTAAAACCACTTACAGAAGTAACAAAAAAGAACGCTACTACAGATATAAAAAATATATAGAAGCCTTTGAAACGTGTAAACATTTATTAAGTAATGCCCCAATTTTAGCATTCCCAGACTTTAATAAACAATTTATCATTACGACTGACGCATCTGATATAGCTTTAGGTGCTATATTAAGCCAAGAAAATCATCCTATAGCTTATGTGTCCCGTACACTTAGTGAAACAGAGCAAAAATATAATACAATAGAAAAAGAATAATTAGGTATTTTATGGGCAGTACCTCATTTACGGTAGAAAATGTAATTTAAGAACAGACCATAAAGCTTTAATTTGGTTATTTAAACTAAAAGAACCTAATCAAAGACTAACTCGTTGGAAATTAAAGTTGCAAGATTATGATTATAATATAGAACTTGTAAAAGGTAAAGAAAATTGTGTAGCTGATGCTTTAAGTAGGATTCAATTACATCACACAAGTAATGACTCATTAGCAGTCCAATATGGTGAGGAAGTGTCACTAGAAAGTACACCATTGAATACTGATAGCAATTCTTGGATGCCAGTAGATAATAATAACGACCCATTGTCTTCGAATAATACAGTACACTCGTGTCAACAAGATAATGACAAGGAATACCAATCATTGACAGACATCCACCAAAACGGTTAAGACGTGTAGTGTTTGAATTAGCTTCTTACAAACAAGCAAATTTTAAAGAAGATATTATGTGGTATTTTTATATCCCAGTTGAAAATCAAGCACAAGTTATTAAAGAATTTATGTTAGAATATTTAAGTAAAAATAAATACGCCTTTGGTATACCAAATGAAGAATTATTCTATAAAATTTCAGAAGTATATAGAAAATATTTTGATCATAGTAAATTTAAACCTGTTCGATATACTAGAACTCTAGTTGAAATAGAAACAAAAGAAGAACAAATAAAATTAATTTCGGAATACCATCTCTTCGGGAATAGACATGCCGGAATAGAAAGTATTTATAAACAATTGCGAGAAAAATATTATTGGGAAAATATGAGAAAACAAATAAAAACATTTATTTTATTTATGTAAAAAAGAAAAATATAATAGACATCCTAATGTAACAGAGACCCCTTATGAACCTATGAATGTATGGCATATAGACTTTATGTCCTTAAAGAGCCAATGGTATCTCACAATTATTGATAAATTTTTAAAATATGCAATAGTTAAACCAACAGAAAAAAGCAAAGTATATGACACACTCTCAGAGATATTTGCGTTAATAGGTGCACCAAATAAAATAATTCACGACGGAGAACAATCATCACGCCTAACCAATATAGTATATTGCATGATTTAATAAAAATGCCAAAGAAAGCATCTGTTACTAAAACAAGACAGGGCCGAAAGAAGCAACACGCTTCAATTTTAACGTCAACGCCACTCAAGGAAAATCTGGTAGAAAAGGAAATTACTAAAATGAAAAAAAAGTAGGTAAAAGAAAAGAATGGAAAGGAAAAGGACAAGGAAAAAAGACTAAAGTACAGAAAAAGGGTCCTGAAAAGGCAAAGCGCCAAGTATTACAAGAATTACAACAGAATGAAACTTCTGTATCGGATGTTGGCACTGATGATTTATGCCAGGACGATGAGAATGATGACGCAGAAGATGCTGGAAACAGATGCCTAGTATGTAACGAATTTGGGAGAAACAACGAGATGTGGTACAGGTGTACCTCGTGTGGACTATGGGCTCACGCGGAGTGCACTGGATGGGAGTCAGCTGATGGTTATGTTTGCGATGAGTGTTAGATTTTATTTGACTCTGATTGCCTCCAGGATGATCACCATTACCCCTACGTTGGGGTAATAGGAGTCAAATCTGTTTTTTTTTTAACTTTTATAATTTCCAAAGTTGATTGCCAAAATGACTGAAATTGATCTCTAATGATAGTTTAATAAGTAAATGATATGTACAAGCGGTTGCAATAAATACTTTCCTTTTAATTAAAATTTTATTTGAGTTCTCGCTTAAGTGGCCCCCATTACCCCCATTTACCCTACTAATAATTATTATGATAGGTAAAGTTCTAGAGCCTTTTTAATGACCTACTTTTTAATGCTATTGTCACAAAAGTTTAAAAAAAACTCATTTTTTTAGTAAGTTGTGTTTTCTTTAGGTAATATGAAATTTTCTTATGTCATATTTAGAATTACTTTACTTTATCTGAAATTAAAATGAGTTATATTACTTTGCACCGCATGAGTTATATTACGTACAGGTGGCGTTAAAAACTCACTAAGTTGAAAACTAGCTTTATAACATTAGATAAAACAGAAAAAAAAAATAAAAATAAAACCATTTTGTAATGTATCACGAGCGCACCGGTATTAGCGCTCTACGACGTGAGAACGCCCGTGGTGATGAGCGTGGACGCGTCGCGCGACGCTCTGGGCGCCGTTCTTCTGCAGCACGGTCGTCCCGTCGAGTACGCGTCTCGCACCCTCACCGACGCCCAGAGGCGATATGCTCAAATAGAGAAGGAGCTGTTGGCCATCGTATTCGCGTGTGAAAAGTTTCATCAATACGTTTACGGTAAACAAAAGATTATAGTCGAAAGTGATCACAAACCATTGGAGAGCATTTTTAAAAAACCATTAATGTCCGTCCCAGCACGCTTGCAGCCCATGATGTTAAGAATACAAGGTTATGATTTAATTGTTAAATATGTACCGGGTAGATATATGTATATTCCTGATACGTTGTCTCGCGCGCCTCTGCCCGATCTGTATAGCGATGAAATTCATACTAAGATTGTATATCAATTGAAAATGGTCATCAACAATATACTTGAAGGAAATTAAAAAACTTCGTCAAAGAATGGGGTTTTGATCATATTACATCGTCTCCTAACTATCCTCAGTCTAATGGGAGAAGTGAAAGAGCGGTTCAGACAGTCAAAGGACTTTTAAAAAAGTGTTTTACGGATAAAACAGATTTTTATATAAGCCTCTTAAATCTTCGAAATACGCCATGAGATGGTTTGAGCTCTCCGGCACAATTGTTGATGGGTCGTAGGCTCCGGTGTAAGTTGCCCGTTCACCCGAATGTATTAAAGCCACAACCCGTAGACCCAAAAGAACATGTAAAAATGTTACAAAATCAATGTACATCGAAAATGTATTATGACCGAAATTGTAAGTCTTTGCCCGCACTCAATGTAGGAGACCCCGTCATAATATGTGATAATAATAATAGTAGATGTCGGGGTACGGTGATTGGGCGAGCAAACACTCCTAGGTCTTATATAATTGAGAACAAATTTGGATCACGTTATCGGCGCAACCGGCGCCATTTAAAACAAATTGTAAAACCTGATCCGCTGTTATCTAAAAATGAAGATCATCATGATCAAAATAATTTAATAAGTGAGCCTGACGGTGACGACAGTTCACCAGATGAAGTGGAACGCACTTCCAAGGAGCGTTCCATAATTTTAACCAGAAGTCGGGCGAAAAAACTGAAATATGTTTGTAATTAGTGTGTTTTCTTTATTTTCATATTGTTCATATTTTTCTTTAAGGGCGAAAAGTGTGTGGTAGTGCGTAGCGTCTTTTAAGGGGAAGATGTTGTATTGTTAGTAGGTAGTCAAGCTTTTAGTATAATATATGTAAGGTAGCTACATGAAGTAATAAAGGGGTTGTAACTGCACCTTGTCTTTATCTAGTCACAACAGGTTTGACCACACAAGATGAAAATCTTCTCGTGCCTACTCAGTGTGTCCTTCGGTTGATACAACAAATTAAAGGAAGCAATCGGAATGTGACTGCTGATAACTGGTTTTCTTTGATAGAACTGATTGATGAGTTCACAAAACATAAGCTTAAATATTAATAATTAATATAATTCATGTCTGTAAGAACTTTTTTAAGGCAACTCTTGACTTGGGAGATCAAGCAATCAAAACAGCTTTACTTAAAAAGACTGAAACTGGTTTTATAGAGGAAGATAAAAGAGGGAAACATAAAAACCACCCCAAAGTAGACCTTGCAGTTAAAGAGAGTGTTGTTCAATTCATCCATTCTATTCCTCGTATTGAATCGCACTATCTCCGAGCTCAAACTACACGGGAATACATTCTTAGCGAGAGGTCGTTAGCAGACATTTACCGAGATTATAAGGATTTACGGCAAGCAACTTACCATTTGCTTCTGAATCAACATTTCAGCGGATATTCAACTTCGACTTTAACATCGGATTTTTTAGTCCAAAAAAAGATTTGCGTGATTTGTGTGAGAGTTATAAAAATGCAAATGCCGAAGAAAAAATGAAACTGCAACAAAGCTATGAACTGTATCTGCTTGAGAAGGACATGGCGCGACGTGAGAAGGAAAAGGACAAACAAGAAAAAGGTGCTATAGTCGTTGTGTATGATTTACATGCCGTACTGCAGGTTCCGAAAGGCGAAATATCGTTGGTTTTTATAAATCTAGAATAAATTGTTTCAATTTTACAATGAGTGATTTACATGCAAAGAATGTAGACTGTTTCTTTTGGAATGAGACTGAAGGAAAGCGTGTCGCGGTAGAAATAGGAAGCTGTGTTTTATCTTTCATAGAAATGCAGTTAGAGAACCATCCCAGTGGCGACATAGATGTGATATTTTATTCAGATAACTGCTGCGGGCAGCAGAAAAACAAGTATCTCTTAACTGCTTATGCTGTGTTTAATATGAGAGTGAAATCGATCACCCATAAATTCTTGATCAGAGGCCATTCCCAGAATGAAGGGGATAATGTTCATAGTGTCATAGAGAACTACACAAAGAAGTGAAAAGGCACATCAAATCCGGACCCATTTATACACCGTTACAGTATTCAACATTGATACGAACTGCCAAAAAATCTGGACCAGCTTATAAAGTGCATGAAATGACCTATGACCGCTTTTACGATTTGAAAGCCTTGCAAGAAGCTTGGGGATCGAATTTCAACATGGCAAACTTGAGTTTTTAACGCCACCTGTACTTCGCATAATTTTAAGGTGCAGAGTAATATAACTCATTTTAATTTCAGATAAAGTAAAGTAATTCTAAATATGACATAAGAAAATTTCATATTACCTAAAGAAAACACAACTTACTAAAAAAAATAGTTTTTTTTAAACTTTTGTGACAATAGCATTAAAAAGTAGGTCATTAAAAAGGCTCTAGTACTTTACCTATCATAATAATTATTAGTATACTCGATATCTATAGTAAATACTCCGAAAACAGTTTTTAGTCATTTCTAAAAAAAAACGTTTTTTTGAATTGCCGGAGTTTTCATCTCAGCCTGGGTCAAGGTCTCATTCATGGAAGCCAACAAAAAAGTCAGAAAAAGAACAGGTTCTTGGGATGGTCTTGTTTATGGGGGTAGTAAAGCTGACGAAATTAGGTTATTATTTGAGCAAAGACAAGATACTTGGACTAACTTTTCCAGCCAGCGTTATAGTGACTTGAGTATAAACAAGTTATACAAAATGTTTAAATACGAAAATCCTCAATCTCCTGTAAAACAATCATATTTCCGGCATATTTTTAACAGAGAATTTAATTTAGGTTTCGGTACACCCAACACTGACGTCTGCTCAACTTGCATAGAATTAAATGAGAGAATCAAAAAAGAAAACGATCAAGTCAAGAAAAATGAGTTAATGATTACAAGTAGAGTACATAAATTACGAGCAAAAGCGTTCTTCAAAATGCTACAGGAGCAAAAAGATGATATGATAACATTTTCCTTTGATTGCCAAAAAAACAGTCCACTACCTCGAATTCCAGACCAAAGTGCTTACTACAGCCGACAATTTTATTTATTTAATTTCACAATTGTGCAAGGATCCTCTAAAGACAAGTTTAACAAGAACACGAATTTGCTAAAACAGCTAATCAAATAGCATCAGCCGTCTATGATCGATTAAAAAAAACGAATTTATCAGGTATCTCCGTCATACGCTTATTTGCTGATGGATGTGGTGGGCAAAACAAGAATAGCATAATGCTAAGTATGCTATCTAAATGGCTATTGGAAAATGTTTCTGTCAAACGCATTGAAATAATATTTCCCGTAACAGGGCATAGTTTTATGCCCCCGGACAGAGTTTTCGGTAATGTAGAAAAAGTTCTGAAGAAACAAGAAGTAATCATTCAACCAGAAGAATATTGCGAATTCATTTCAAGTAGTGCGACAGTCACGAATCTAAGGGATATTATTATATTTGACTTCAAAACGGCCGCTCAAGAAGTCTTTAAGCCGACAGCGAAATGGCCATTCAAAATGACCCAATGCAAGAGATTTATTATAAAAAGATCTAAGATTTCAGGAAACACAGTTATCCGCGGTGAACAGTTTTACAAGTCAGATTCAAATAAATCCTTTAACCCTTAAATGCATAAAGTAGTAAAACTGCAACATACCATTCAAACGACCATAAAATTATTATATATACAGGCCTCTATTATAATATACAAGTTTCCGAACAGACCAATCCGCAGGAAATTCGAGAATGAACATGGACTTTTCAATAAGTATGAAACAGCAATAGTTATACTAGTTTTTTCAAAGTTAGGTATTGTTTCTTATAAACAGAACAGAAGCAGATGATTATGGCGTGAGTCACAAATGTACTACGGGCCGAAGACATGGTGAATTATCAAAATAGTACATCAAGCAAAATCTGAACCGACCACAAAATACAAGTAACCGACCTTTTGTAAGAACAACTTGTTCACTATTCTATGGTCTCACCAAGAACATCAACCAACACATTTCGATCGGCATTCCTTACTCAGTTTATTTCAAACTGAATGCACAATATTTAATATTTGTTATAAAACTATGTGACACCATAATGCAAGGAATATATTCACATAATAATAACGAAATATTGAGAGCCATAATGTATCTTATGTACTTGATATTGTTACAACTTATAAATTATGATGCATAATGACAATGAGCTTACTAAATTCACAATGCTTGAACCTGAATTCTGAAAGTCTATAGATAATAAAAATATAAATACAGACGCACAAGGCACAAGCTACCTTTGTCTCTGTCTCTATAGAGTATAAATACCCACACCACAGACTATTAAGAGCAGCGTGATATTGCCAGAAGCAAAAAAGAATCGATTAATTAAAATCGATTTAATAATAAAATAATCGAATCGCCAAAAAAATATAATAACTTAAGATATGTAAGTAGGTTTTGAATGCCAGTATTACTAAATGTAAATTTTGGATTGATTAATAATAATTATTGCCGATACAAAAATATGTATTTTGATTACAATTTATTTAGAATGTAAGTTTATAAAGAACTACATAATATACCTAGCGCCTAAGTAAATTCAGGCATTTTAAACTTCAACCTGCGGAATAGTACCTCGTGAATTATTCCATTTCAAATCTTTAATATTGATTATTTATTATATTTATGGCAAAAATTTTTTTCGATAATTCATTTTCGATAAGCAGCTAAGATTTAAAAATACATCAATCCTACAATTTCCAATCGCTTCTACCGTTTGAAAGTTCTGTATAGACTCAGGTAAAAATGTTTTAATTACTAATAAAGTCTGGGGATTTCATAATTGTAACATCTAATTTTCTGAGTCACCTCAAACTAATACATGGACAAAATTGCGTAAATGTATATAAAGCATATTTAAAAAGAAAAAAAAAAAGAACATAAAATGAATACATTCGTTCGTGACAAAAAATCTAAGAAGGGTGAAAAAGTCAAATCAAATACTCAAGAAATCTTTATTCACTCTATGATCCCATTGAGATGTGTTGAAAACCCATACTGTTTGAAAATATTCACCAATTCGCAGATATCTGATAAGTTGTCGAAGTTTGAGTCGCCGTATAAACAATTACTACAAAAAACAAATGTCATCTATTAAATCGGAATTATTGGTCTGGAAAGAAGAGAAGCTTTTAAGGTATGACAGGACATTGGATAACAAAAGATTCGAAACGGCATTCAGCGGTTCAGGCTCATAGTCACGATCGCATTATAGATTTAATTAAACTAAACTACTAAAGTAGTTGCATCAGACTCTATTATATTACTGACAACGACAAGTAATTATGTTAAAGCGTTTCGCATTTTTGGCATGCAACTTACTAACATCAGTACGTGTGAAACCAATGAGCCGGAAGATCCTGTGTCTGAAGATACAGATGTAGAATCCGACTCAAGACTGGACGAAGGAGACTCAGTAGATTTTTTTGCCTGCCCATCTAAGAAGCTGTGCGCATACTTTGAGCTTATGTGCTCACTGCTCAAAACCAACCGGTGGCAAAGGAACTCGATGGTGTGAATTCATATTATGTTTAGCTCCAGCCAGGTCCATCGTCGTCAAAAATCAATAACGAGCCTGAAGCCATAGAAGTCATAACTCCAAGTAAATATCTTAACGAATGTTCACCTATCCCGAAAATTCCTGTTCCATTATACAAAAGAGGCAAGCAAAATTCAGAAAAATTATTAACTCTAAGAAAGCTAAGAAGCAAACACCAGACAAACCTAAAGAATACAACCAAAAATCAGTTCTTAATAAGTCAAGAGTTCGATGAATCAGATTTTGACCAGACTGAATCTGATAAAGGAAATACTCAAAGCAGAGAATGTTTTGATGACTATGCAAGTACCAAGTCCACGGCGGACTAGAGAAGGAGAAGCTTGCAGCTCTAAAAGCTTATCTGGGCTAAGTGAATTCAAAGAATAAGTATCATGGCCAAAGTAAACAGTATCTTTATATCTTGATTATTTGAAAATTTTGATAACCGTTATTTTTTTTTAAGAAGGAAGCTTTGTTTTTTCCTAAAGAAGTCTTAAGGGACGCTTTGTTTCACGTTTTATTATTTCTAAATTTTGTTCTGTAAAGTTTGAAATAACTTTTAATAGACGTTGTTAAGTTGCTAAGTTTACTGGATTAAATTATTAATGATTGAAAGACTGAGCCATTTGTTCCTATAAAAGTGTCATTTACTTTAGTTTTACGGTACATTTGGATAAGAAAACCTTATAATATATTATTGCAACAAAGAAAGCAAATAAACCTTTTATTTAATTTTCTTCGAATTTTTATTTTTTTTATTACCGAGGCATCTATCCCATTGTAGGGCAACTACCCCATATAGTAAGCGTCTATCCTCAAAAAAAGTTTTTTTTAGAGTCCGAATATTTACAAATCAACGGTATGCATTGAATAATGATATTAGTAGATAGTAAGTATAAGGACTATAGTTGTTACAAATATACAAAAGTTTTTGCAGCAGCTGTTTCTGGCAGCTTACAAATAGTGGGGCATCTCTCCTACTTTTACCTAAAACAAAGTCGATTTTTTGTCCCTATGTACGCTTAAATCTTTCAAACTACACAACTGATTATGATGCTGTTTTTTTTAAATAGATAGATTCAAGAAAAAGGTTTTTATATAAAACGTTCACAGTTTTTTTGTAGTGCATTTAGTTCCAGCATTGTACTTGAGCGAAGCCGGGGCGGGTCGCTTGTATATTAATAAATGTGTTAAGTGTTCGTGTATAAACATACTTAATAGACGAAATGTCAAAGTATCTTGCTTAAGGGTGTTTCTTGTGCCGCCTTCGCATGTGTCTAGAAAGACAGGAGGGCCAGGCGAAATTAGCCCCGCAACTCGAACACTTGTATGAAGCGACGGCCGAATGCGCCATGCGGATATGTGTACGCAGTTTGGAGCGACTCTGAAATAAAAACTATTTTTATTTAAAGTCTACAAAATTTAGCTATAATTATCACAGACATAGTTTAAATCTATACTAATACATAATGCTGAAGAGTTTGTTGGAAAGCGCTAATCCCTGGAACTACAAGTTGGAATTTTTGTGTTGGTTAAAGCAATTATCGAGGAGGCTGCTGTAAAACATCGTGCTGCGACTTATAGGAGCAAACAAATGTGGCAAAATGGGGAAAATTGTTTATCCTTGTGGGTTTCCGTTGCAAAATCGGTTCAAGATACCCAAAAAATATGTATGAAAGAATGATTTCTGAGATTAGCGCATTCAAACAAAAAAAAAACTATTCAGCTTTATATATTGGTATAGATTTCGCCTGTGACCACGGCTGCTGAAAGGCATCCGGGCCACAGAAAAATATTTTTTAAATAAGTTTACCTTATATATTTCACGTTTCAAACCATGAGAGTGTTTTGATTAAATATTTGTAGGTTATTAATAAAGCACCGTCGTTTTATCAAAATCAATCAAGCTGTAAACGTTAAATAACAAAAATCCATACTTCTTATTGTTGATTATACATTCTAGTAATATTAAGAGGCAATAATAATGATTATTTATTTTAAAAAGGCCAGTCGGGTGTTACAGAGCAGGTCAATATAGTATTAACAATACGAAGAATATAGTTATCTGTATATCCTATTAAAGGTAGACACTACATGCATAAAACAAACATGGCGTGTTGTACAGACTAAATATAAGGTACAGGTCGCGACACGGTTGTTTAGCGCTGAACGAAATATAGAGGGGATAGTTGCCCATCTGTACAATCGCGCACGTAATTGATTGGAAAACGTGACTGTACTCGAGAGGCAAGCGGAGCGTTGTATTGTTCAGAGAAAGACAACACGACTAGGGAACCAATCAACGCTAGCGCACGTGACGTTCACTCGCCCCGCGCCCGCTTCTGTCCCCTCGATATTACTGTTACGATACTAATTTTTGACTTCTGCGCAGGATTCGTTCCGCGCTTAAGATCCGTGCCGCTACTTATATAAATAAAGTAACAATTGTACAACTTACAGGAAAATGTTTTCCACAATGGTCGCACAGATGTTCAATTGTATCCTTCTGATGTACCTGCTTGTGTACGTATAGCGTATTACGCGTCTTAAACGACTGAAATAAAATTCATAAAACATAACAAATGGCCCAAAAATAAATTCTGCGAATTGAACTCTTTTGAAGAGGATTGTTTTATATTATTATATTTGATAATGAGGATTGGGTTCGACACCCGGTTTAAAAATATTTTAGTGCACACTGTCAGCGAAGAAAAATATCTAAGTAAAATGCTTATAATTACTTACCTTTTGACACACTGTACATGTGTACACATAATTCTTAAGATGGTCCCAGTTTATGTGGTCTTTAAGCCGGCTTTTATCAGCAAAGCGCTTTCCACAGTCACTGCACATATATCTAAAAGAAATAAAAAAAAATAATAAAACACAGTTTTAATCACGAAACATATTAGTTACATTTGTTTATAAACGATCTTTAACTGCGGCCTGATGTCAAAACAATTTGTAAACATGGTAAACTAGTATATTTCGCGTTTGAAACCGTCAAAGTGTTTTTTTTAAATGTACTACAGGTAACATTAAAAAAAACAATGACAGACGCGAGCTTAAATCGCAACAGTCAAAGTACCTTGTTTATACACCGTGCGATGGAATGCCTATAAATTTTCTATTTCAAGAAGATGTATCTGCCACAAAATATAGCAAAACTCTTTGTGCCCTGCTGGGCCGAAATTCTTATATTCTAGCTAGGAACTTTCTTACTCACTTCAATACCAAACGTTTTACAAATGCTTTCCTTCAAATTATAAAATGTAAGATTGTTTTTGTTACCACAGTCAAGATTGTGAGTATTAAATTAAGTACTTACTTGCAATCGTTTTCGGAGACGTGTTTCTTGCTTATCGCCATGTGCTGTTGGTAAGTGGCGATTGATGAGAACGATTGATTGCAGGGGACGCATACGAGTTCACCGGACTCCCTGTAATTAAAAGAGATTAGATTCTTAACAAATACATTATGTCTTGTCGAAGTTAAGTTATTGGTAAAAAAAAGTTACCCCTTTAATTTCAAAGTCCAAAATGTTTCAGAAAATATATCAATTGATTGGAAAAGGTGGGAATCGAATCCACGACCCGTTTATTATAAGCCATACATTACGACGACACTATTTTTCATAAGTTTTGGTGGATATAGTATATTTATTGGTGGTATGGTATATTGGATGGTCATTAGTATATTTTTTTGCTTCTATCACTTACTTGGCTTTATGGCCCCTCATATGCCGCATGAGATTTCCGTACCATTGAAACTTTTTATCGCATTGAGGACAACAAAACGTCTGCCGCGAACTGTTGACGCTGCTGCAAATTTGTTTAATGGCAACCGACTTATCTTCTTCGTTTGTGTCTTTTAATTTTCTGTAATGAGAGAAACGTTACTATAGAGAAAGAGGGGGAGAGAGTCTTCTCTTTCTTATGATGCATGGCGTTCACTCGATGGTAACGGATATACGATAATAGACCCGGACGGAATTTCTATATTTCTTGCACCAATTTAATATACAGATTTCCTCATGAAGTCCATTGAAAAATGTTGGGCCGGTGGGGTTCGAACCCACGATTCGTTGATTATTAGCCATATATTGCTTCCACTAAACGAACGAGCCCACTAATACGCGACCTGATGTATTTAATTTAGTACCTTGTTTGTATTGAGTTTGGTTTAACCTCAGTGAGTATCTACATTTAGGTACAGAATATTAATATTAGGAGAAGATTAAATAAATAAGTTAAAAGGGAAAGGAAGGGTGGCGCCCACAAATCGTTGTGTACTTGCTCGCGATTGTGGAAAGGAGACAACAGTATATTATTTGAATAAAACACTTTAACGTCGCAGTTGGTTGGTTTGGCGGACGACGAGACAGATAGCGCTAGCGGAGTAGTTCTTTACTTTGACGTCAGACACCCCGTGACCACGGCTGCTACAAAGTGAATCCGAAACGTCGGGCCGATGTTAAAAAAAATTCAAGTAATATAAAGCGCGTTTTAAACGGTTAAAGTGTTTTGTTTAAATGTGTGCTACTCGCGTAAATTACAGTGTTTATATTATATCAAATCGTTAGGTGAAACATAAGAAATTTAACAAAACAAAATTCAAATTAGTCTTTCGCTTGTTCCTTTGCCTTTGAATAAAAAACCTCACCTCAATTTAAGCTGTATTTGATGTTTTGAACTGGTTCTTACGTGCCGCCTGAGATTTGCAGTCGCCGAGAAATACAAGCTGTAAAAAATAATGTTAAATATATAAAGCCAGACAAGCCAGTCAGGTAACTATAAAAAACATCGATGTAATCAACCAAGAATAAAAAAATTAATAGTATTTTACTTTGATTTGACGATGGCATATGAAAGACTACCATTAGAAGAAATATAACATACTAGCTGACCGACAACCGGACGATTTCATTACCACAAAAACGCTACATGTAAGTTAGTCATAAAGGATACAATTTAAAGAATATTTCTTTCATACATATATTTTAAGTATCATAAACCAATTTCGCAACGCACGCAACGGGAGCCTTTTATAGCTAAACCCTTCCTCTATAAATTATCCAACTAAGACAAAAATATTTTTTTTAATTTGAACCAGTAATTTAAAGAAGTTTTTATAGAGATAATAAAATAAACATACAGACACAGACAACATAGAATATAAAAAAAAACTTTTAACGGTTTAAAAAGGTACATATTATAGTTAACTTAACTTTAATTAAGTAAGTTAAGATTTGGGCGCTTAGCAGTCCTGGGTACTATTAAATTAAAATAAACGAATTTCGGATCTCACTTGCAAGGCTCACAAAACGGCTTCCTCTTCTGGCCGCTCTCAATGCTGTGTCGTTCTAGATGTTTCTTGAGTGACGGTTTCCATCTGAACACCTTAGTGCAGGTATCACACACGAAGACATTTTGCTTTTCGCTGTTAAGCAAATGTTAAATACTGTCTGTTATTTAGAAGGCAATAGAAGTAATTCATTGATACTTAGAAATGTAGCAATATGGTACTAGCATTACTTTTGTTTCTTTAGCTTCGGAAATTTTAAATAAAATGTGTAGGACTAAAAAAACTAACTCATTTATCTTTATCCTTTTAATACCATACCATACCTATTACAGTTAGTAACTGTTCCCATATGCCATAATAGTATGTAGAAGGATTTTCCTCATGCATTAGAAATTTATTAAAGACTAAAAATACTCAGATGAGGGTAGTTATTATGTTTGTAGACTTATGAATTTATATATTAGTTTAACTAATTTGAAAATTATTTTAATAATATATATCGTGTTAAACCGTTGAAATGTTTTATTTAAATGTCAAATGTTATTCCAGTAAATTCTATTAAAAACACATATGCCGAATGTAAGTAAAAGATATGCTCTTATAATTACTCTAAACATTTATACATACCGACATACGATTGATGAAACAAACAACATACCTGGTTTGAGCATCTTGTACATTCTGTGATTCTTCATTTTCATTAGAAATTTCATCTCTGAAAGTAGAATAATATAATATTACATGACAACAACTACATATTAATTAAAAACATTTTTTATGAGCCAAAAATAGTATATATTATAAATCGTAATTTTCTAATTTCAAACAACCCTCTAATGATTACAACTTTCTTCCTCGTTAAAATATGTCTATTTTAATAGATTACTTCTCCTTTGATACCCTCTCTCAATTGAAAAGCTTGACTGAAAACTTTTTTTTTTTAATATACAGAGCCTCAGACTCTTTCAATCTGGTCCTGTCACAGATTATTTTCATTTACAGACAACTTTCAGGATTTCAACATGTGACGCTCTGCTTAACAGAATCCCTTCAACCACTGGGACTATTATGAAAAACCACAGATAGCTAAATATTTTAAAATTAGATTAGCTAGTTTAATAAGAAATTATTTTAAACTTACCCCAGGTAATGTACCATATTATGATGCTTGATGACTTCTCGCTTATATATAAATCTGGTGCAACAAATATTACATTCATATCTAATTTTGTGTCTGTTTATATGATATTTAAATGATATAGTTGAATTGAACCCACATTTACATATAGGGCAAATGTATCTTGATTTCTGAAAAAAAAATTTATGAATGAATAATATGAATGAAGCCATAAATGTTTAAAGTGAAAAATATTAGTCTCTCCGTGACTACCGCTACTTTACATCATCCGGAATGTTGAGCTATTGTTAAAACGGAATATAAATTAACATATTTCGCGTGTTGAACCGAATATAGTATTTAAATAGTGTGAAATACTTACAACATCATGTTTTTTTGTGATATGTTCGTCAAGATCCTCTGTATTTGTATAAGTTGTTGCACATAAATCACATTTAAACATAGCATTCACATATTCATCACTCAAAATGTGTTGTTGTCTCTCGTCTTTTATCTCTTCTTTACTCAACTCAAATTCTGTATATATCTCTGGCCTATTGGAATCACTTTTAGTTACATTTCTGTCACTTGTTCCTAATTTTAAGTGACTCTTACTCAGAGTTACATAATTTTCTCTCAAATTTAATTCTTTTTTACTTAAATCTATATCACTTTTCGACAGATCCTGTTTTTCATTATCAGAGCCATTTATCTGTAAGTCATATTTTTCTTCTGTACTCACATTGTTCTCATCTATTTCCCGTTTTAAACCATTATCAAGACTATCTTCATAGTCTGTATCGTTATATTCACAAAGCACAATTAGCGGTTTTGTATTGATTACTTCATAAAACTCTATTTCTTTATGATCTGACAAAGAAATATTGTATAGGTGGATGCGTTGCAGACTTGTTTTTGGTTTAATTAGATTCTAAAAAGCGTGTTTATTGTTTAAATATGAGAATAAATTTATGTAAAAACTAGAATTAAAAAAGACCAAAAATGCATTCTTGAAGTTAAGAATAAAGACCTATTTATATGTAAAAGCACAAAAAATATTTTAACTTTTTGTTAATGATTATGACCCAGGATGTGAGCAAGAAAAATTACAATCATTACGGATTAGTAAGCATTGTTTTAATTTGAACACATGTTTATTGAAAAAATATTTATCCTAAAAAATAAACATTATATTGGAGTATTTTCCACACAAAGGTAGGGTATTACAAAGTGTATTCTAAATTATGTCCTGATGAAGGGATTTCTTGTAAGGTTTAAGCAGTTTTCCTAGTTAACAATAACTTCTTACCTTACTTAGACAATGATTCAACAATTTCTCCGTACTGACAATGACTTTATCTTGAAATTGTTTAACTTTGACTAGAATAGCTGTACATTCAAAACATAGCTGGATAGCTTGGTTGAGATCCTTAAGCTGAAAATATTTATACACATTCTCTAGTTATTAATGAATTACATAAATAAAACTGAAATCTCATTAAGAAATGCCGAGTTAGGTGGAAGAGCTCTAAGAGGAAGCAGACATTTTTTTTAATAAATCAGACTATAAAAAATTACAAGCAAGTGGGTGATCAGACTTTTGTGACCCAACCTGATAATTCGCAAGACTATTGTAAAAACTTACTGGCAAACCAAATGGTACGTCTACACTTCACACTAATAAAAAGCCAGTTTTAATAGTATCTTCTGTTCCTTTGACAAATTTTCTTATAATCGAGTATAAAGGAGCTCCGAAGGGAACATTACTATCATTGCATTTGTACTTACGGTTGTTTTCTTCAAAATCTGTGTAAAACATTCTTTTAAGCTGGAATCGTGTAAATTTGATACTTTTCTCTCAGAATTTAGGCACGCATGGCATACAGGTTCATGAAGCGGGTCCATTCCTTAATGTACAATAAAATTTAATTTAACATTGCTGTGTACAAGCTTAAGGTTTTATTTTGTAAACAACTTTGACAATTGACATTGTAAAGTATACAATGACAATTACAGGTGTGAAATTTACAACAGAAGATTAGTCATAATCGATAAAGGTAATAATCGAACAAGTAGATTTTTAATTTTAATGTAAATTTATTAACTGATAAAATGAACGTTTAATAATTTAAAATGTTAAAAACCACTTACGTTAAATAGGTTTTAATAGAAAATAGGATTCTATGATAAATATTCTATGATGATAAAATCTATTTACTGCTGTGAAGAAAACTTCACAGCAGTAAATAGATTTTATTAGCAGTGTTCAATTATTTTTACATAATAGTAAGGATTTTAATTTATTTAATATGAGGTGGTAAGCGCCGGGATTTTCGAAGGTTTTGCAAAATTCCCACGACAGCTCTATGCCATTCATATAAAAAAAAATGATTTAACACCAATTCTTAGTTATAATAAGTAGAACTTGGGCCTTCCGTAGAAGATAGGCTTTACAGTCTAATAAACTACAATGCAATAGTTTATATCTCAGTACACCATTAAAAGAATAAAACGGAAATATTTAACGGTTTATTTATGATCTCTTCCTATTTGGATTATGTAATAATTTCTTGTGTGTATATAGCGCCGCAGAGTGACGAAATGTTGAACTACAATGCGGACACTGGTACGGCCTTTCCCCTGTGTGTGTCCGTATGTGGTCATTTAAAGTATTAGTGGACTGTAAAAAGAAAATTTTACAATATTTATTACCTGTTCAAGCAAAAATTGAAGAAGACCAAATAGAAATAATGAAACTGTAAGCAGTCTTTATCTTGTATTGTACTGTGTTTACGTTTAAAAGCGTGAACGATTTTGAAGACCTTTAACATTTCGTGAGTAAAATATTATACTTTGAATAAAACACTTAACTGCTTAAAACGCGAAATTTATTTTCATGAATTTAATTACGATCCGAGGTTGAGGTGATGGAGAGTGACCCTAATTTCAATGTCTAATCGGCTATTCTACTTCTCTATCTATTTTACTTAAGTGTGTACTCGCGTAATCAACAAACAATACAAGATAATATAAGTTAAGGTTCGAATGAACATTCGCGACAATCAGATCCTAACCATAAGATTTAAAAGTGTGAGATTGTTATTTCTTTATGCTAAAGCTGCTTGCTAATTGTTCTGGTAGAGTGCTTTCCACGCCTTTTGGGGGGCTGGAGTGAACGCAAAAAGCAGGTATTAGTTGCGACAAAGGGGGTGTGCGAGTGCGAGGGGTCTTATAATTGACAGTATGCGCATGCGCAAGATGGCGGTCGCGCTAACTTCAGCCCGGCCAAAAAGTTTGGAGAGAACTGTACATAGTTTCACTTACCGCAAAACCGCGTCCGCAGTGATCGCAAATTTTATTCTTCGGCGGTCGAAATTTCTCGTGAACCTGTCTGACGTGTCGAATCAAACTGCGACTGCTTTTGAATATCTGCGAACACAGATTATCTATAATGTCGACTAACTCAATTTTGAGACTTACATATGAGGCTCTTAGAGACCTAATAACAAATAACACGATTTTCAATAAGGAGAAAAATAAAATTGCGCAATTAGCTTAGGCTACAATGAATTTGTACTGTTATTTGTGTAAGTATTATTATAACATATTTTTGGTCACTTTGCTCTTGGGTATTAACATTTCTAGGCTATATGTTGTTGTTTGTTGTTTTAGTACTGGTGAAAAATAACATTATTTCAATAATTTATTTCCTAATTTGATTAAGGTCCGATTGTCTATGTTTTGATTATAGATTTGAATTAAATACTGTCTATAGTTTACGCGAGTAGTATACATTTAAATAAAACACTTTAACGGTTTAAAACGCGATATATTGATTAAACTTATTATGAATAACTTAATATAAATATGAATACTAACGAAACTAAAGATGAAGCAAATTTGTTCCCACAACAAAGATTCAGGTGATAGAATAGAGAAACAGTATATCTGTTCATCTTTTTTCTGATAGAGGAGGTAGACAAATATCCGTTTCACTTGATTGTAGGTAAAATATCCCAACCATATAACATCTAGATAAGATGCCTATTTCGGCTTTAGATTTGCCTTATAGCTAGCGAGTTTATAAGGCCCCAGATAATAAAAAAATGCCATTTTTACATAATTTTACTCACCTTAGAGCATTGGTCGCAAGTGTGATTCGACTTCTTCAAATGGGTAAAGTTAAAATGTTCTTCTAGGTTCCGCTTCATTAGGAATTTCTTACCACACTCCTCGCAGGTATAACTGAATGAAATCAATCGAGACTTTAGTAGAAGATTAGTGCTGTGTACGTCTTTTATTAGATCTATAATAAGAACAGCTATACTAAATAATATATATGAATAACTAGTTGAGCCACGCGACTTCGTACGCGTAGAGTAATTGTTTTGTATATCAATTTTTGTTTTTGCAAACCCCCCCGTTTAACTCTATAAATTTAACCCACGACGACGTCCGCGTTCCGTCATTCTTGCAAGTTAATCTTAAAATATAGACATATACGTCGCGGACTTTTTTTAGATCATTTAAAGACGAATAGTTCTTTTGTACATATTGTTTGTGTATTTAGAACCATTTTCGCAGTGTGCGCATTGGAAACCCACAAGAATGAATAATTTTTTTCGACATTTCCCGCCGTTTCTTCGCTCCTATTAGTCACAGCGCCATGATTAATAGCTTATAGCCTTCCACAATAAATGCCCTAACTATAACAAAAAAATCTTTTCAATTCGATCCATTAGTGAGTAGATTACCGCATTCAAACAAACAAACTCTTCAGCTTCATATGTTAAGTATAGATTATGTATTTCCTGATCTGTTGATGTATCTTTAATAAATATTAATTAAATTATTAATAATAAACTCACCGCATCATGTCATCGGTGACGTGCCTCGAGTGCATCTTGAGGTGCTGTTGAAGATTCTTCTCGGTCTTGAAGGTCGATTGACAGTCCTCGCAGTAGAAGTTTCCAGAAGCCTTGTGCATTTTCTGGTGAACGCGTAGACTCCAAAGCCGTCCGTACACTTTACCGCACACGTCGCATGGAAACTCGCCTTGCAATTTATTCTCGTGCACCGCTCTTGTGAAAAAAAAAAGTTTTTTTTTACATTAAGAAAATTCTGCGACATGAACCGGCATCCACAGCGTTCCGTGCTTTTGCTCTAACCAATTGAGCTATTGATACATGCAGATCTCGCGCATTCTAATTTCAACGTGTGGACGCCAAAAACGTGAAAAAATATTTTTAAATTATATAGTGCCATCAAGTGCAATAACATGTGACAAATATGAAAATTTGCAAAGTTATTGTAATTCAATACTAATTGGAATTTGAAAATTACTATTTAATAACTTGAATTTGGAAATGTTTTTTGTTAATTTTTGTTAAATACTGTGTCAATAGTTTACGCGAGTTCCACACATTTAAATAAATAACTTTAACGGTTTAAAACGCGAAATATTAGTTAAACTTATTTGGAAATTATTTTTAACTTCGGCCCGACGTTTCCAATGCTTTGCAGCAGCCGTGGGTGGTCACGGGGAGACTCGTGGAAGACGTCGGGCCGAAGTTAAAAATCATTTCCAAATAAGTTTAACTAATATATCGCGTTTTAAACCGTTTAAGTGCTTTATTTAAATGTTTTTGTTATTAGGCCACTCTGGCTTTACAGCCTCATAATCTAGACAATAAACGACCGTACGGCGTACCTGACATGAGTATTCAGCGATGTGGTACTGCTTAGAGTCTTATTGCAATAGGAACATGTGACTGGTGATAAATGCGACCTCCTGTGTTGGCAATGTTCGCTGTATTTACTGAAAAAAAGATAGGAAGGAAGTAATAATTAAAAGTAATTTAAACAAAGTCTACATGTAGTCAAACTATTGAAAGAGGGAGAAATAAATTCATTTACTGTTATAAGCCACACAGAAACTTATATAAAACTTATTCCTAAATTAAAAAAAAGTAATAATGTAACTTTATTTTTACACAATAAAATAATGTGTGATGATAGGTGGTAGAATAGGATCTTACTCAGCCTATATCAGGCCTAGGCAGAGACACTATTTTTGCGGTTTCATTTCAAAGCAGACAGCAAAAGATCAGCAACTTATCGTTCACTGGGTCTTCTCATGCATTTACTGCATGACACACACAGGGCAGTAGTTTAAATTGTGTTTAGGTTTGAGTGTAGTGTGTAACCATAAATAAATGATTCACGTTTTAACGGTTTAAAAGCGTGCCGTGGTCTTGGTCTTAGTTTATATGCTTTTTGCCCTGGTACCCCCAGGGCAAAAAGCATATAAACTTCGGGTCGCAGTTAATAATAAATTGAATAATTTTGCTTTTCAAAGCGTTACTTACTAAATATTTAACGGTTTTGCGAAAATAACGACTACGATGTTATTTAGTTTCATATTGTCTATGGTCAAACTTACTCTGTGGTGAAGTCGCAGCGTTTACATTTAAACGTGTAGGATATAGCTTCATGCTGTTCTTGGTAGTGTTTTAGAAGAGGATAAACAGATGGCGTTCGGGATCTTTTACCACAGGCTATGCATTCGTATCTGTAAAAATCGACGTTAAACATTCGTAATGTTGGCAACATGTTTTCTAGAATTCGTCAAGGGCGAGAGATCCTAATTTGAATCTCAAAGAAACGACGACGGGTATGACAAACGATTCAGAAGGGATATGTCTCAGTCTATGAGCTATCATGTTATAATAAACGAAAAAAGTCAGTCGCGCAATTAGATACGTGAAACGGACACAAAAATATGTTCGTCATATGCCCATTGGAGACAACGAGATTTCACCATTATTCGAATGTTAACCAACCATCACACATCCCCATATTTCCTTAAAATAAAATCATTGATAAAAAATATTCATGCATTCATA